TATAGTTATTAATAATATTAGTTAGATTAGTATATTCTAATAGAAAGAGGTCTTTTTTATTCTTTAAATATATAATACTAACTCTTATATACTATTAGATAATATAGAAATATTTAAGTTCCTTCCTTAAGTATAGGTTTTAAATAGATATATTATTTATTTATATAGAGTAATAATTCTAATAGATTTTATCTTTCTTATATATTTAGTATATATAAATAATATATAATATCTAGAGATTTCTTTATAATTAGAATATATTATTACTATTCTTAGATTATTATTTTCTTATTTCTTTAGAATTATATAATATAAGTTTTATTCTAGCTATATATTATAAATATAGATATAAATAGGCTTATTTTCTATAGGTTTTTATTATTTATTTATAAGGTTATTATATATTTCTATTAGTTTTATTTATATTTAGTTTCTAAGGCTATTATATATTTAGTATTCTCTATAGCTAAGTTTAGAGTTTTATTTATCTTCTATTTTTAGATATTTTTTAGTAGGAGTAATAATATTTTAGTTAGCTACTAAAAGTTTTAGTTTTCTAGCTAGATATACTTTTATTAGAGTATACCTATAGAATATCTTTATCTTTAGTATAGAAGTATTATTAGAGATTGTTATTTTTTCTAGTATTTTTTAAATATTATTACTCTTTATTTCTTATTAATTAGGAGTAATATAATAAGTTTAAGTTATTTATTAGGAATTAAGTCTCTTTATTATATTATAGCTATAGTATAGGATATTTTATTGGTTGAGTTATTTATAATATTAATATTATTCTAAGTAGGAACTAGTTTCTAGATATCTTTATTTTTATTTTAGCTATAATTTCTTTTCTTTTTTAGTTTAGTTTGTTACTCTACTTTAATTTTACTATTTATTTTCTTATACTATATAGCTTATTTTTATACCTTCTCCTTAGTATTATCCTTAATTTCCTTAGGTATTCTTTAGGTATATAGCTTAAGAATAGAATATTATTAAGATACTCAACCTTTTAATTATTATTTTTATAAGCTCTATTAAATTCTCTATTATAGCTACTCTAGTTATAATAAGAATTTTAAATTAAATAGCAATTTGAGATTTATTATTATTATTATTATATTAATAATTAGTAAATTATATACTCTTACTTCTAGTATAAGCTTATACTTCTAGTTAGATTTTAAGGTATATACTTACTTTTAAAGTAGCCTATTTTTTATAATTTTAGTATTTAACCTTTAAGTAATTCTTCTAGATAGCTTCTAGTTCTATAGATTCTAGTATTATTCTATAGAAGGTATTACTTTAGTATCTCTTTTCTTAGTTAGTATTATTCTTCTTGCTCTTTTAGAATAGTATCTAGGATATTTCTTTTAACTTTTTAATTTTTTTTTTTATTATCTTTTAAATTATTAGTTATTAATTTTATAAAAAGAGTAATAAGAGTATTAAAGATTATAGACTTATACTAATTATTATATCTTAACTTCTAATTTAAATTCTCTATAATAAGCTGCTATATATATCTTTTCTTTTTAATTTAAATATAAGATATTATTATAGAATTCTACTATATAGCTTAATATTAATACTTTTTAAGTAAGCTTTTAAATTATATTTTAGCTGCTTATTTTTTATTAATAAGACTAAATATATCTTATAGTTTTATTTAAATATTTTAGCTAGTATAAATAGCTTTAGTTTTATTCTTTTTTATATAGTAAGAGTTATTAAGGTAGTCTCTTATAATAGCTTAAACTATTAGAATATTTATTTTTAAGGAGTCTTATAGTATAGTAAATCTTAGTTTCTTTTCTAGTAAATTATATAGAATAGTAGCTTTAAAATATCCTAATTTATATAAGAAATCCTTAAAAACTAGTAACTACTTTATTAAATAGATTAAGTTACTTAAATTTAAGGATTTCTTCTATATCTTTTTTATTTACTATAAAAGAGTTTAAATAGGTAATATAATTATAATAAAGTACCTCTTAATAAATAAAATCTCTATTAAGGTAGTTATTTTATATTAAGAGCTAGGTAACTTATTCTATTAGCTTATTAATTTTATTATCTTTTTCTAAGTTTTTTTTAGTAGAGATTTTAATAAGCTTATTAAGCTTAGCTTTAAGGTAATTATTTTGCTTTTAGAGTCTATTAAGGTTCTTTTTAATAACTTTATTATTAGAGTTGGATTTATCTATATTTATATTATTAATAGGGTCTTAATTCTATATTATTAAAATAATAGAGTTTTTTCTAAATTTAAATAAGATACTTAAAGTTATAAAAGCTATCTTAATTTATTTAAGATATTACTTAGGTTAATATAGTAATATACTAAATAAGAGCTATTAATATATAATAATTAGATCTAACTTAAGAGTATAGAATAGGTTTAAGGCATAGAATATATAATTAAGTAAATTAAAACATTATAATAAGTAATATAAATTATAATTTAATAATAATAAAATAATAAATTTAATATAACTAAGTATATTAATAGCTAATAAGGCTATCTATCTATAAAAATACTAAAAGAGTATCTATATACTAATGGTATTTATACAGGCTTACTAAGTAAGAATAAGTCCGATCTTATAGCTTATCCTAGGAAAGTAAATTGTATATTCGGGCTTACTTATATGGGGTAAGTTCGGGATCTATATTAGGTAAAAAAGTGGGTATGTTATGGTTCTGCTAGTTGTAACTGCCTGGTCTCAACCTGGGCTGTGATATAATATACTTTTTCTATAATAAATCTTATAACTTTTAATCTTCTTTTTTTCTCTCTTTTTTTAAAAATTTAAAAGTAATTAATTAATTACTCTAGCTATCTTCTGCTTTTAGAAGATAGCTTTAATATTATCTTTTTTAATCCCTCTTCCCCCTCTAGCTCCTACTCTACAGATAGATATAGTCTGCACTAAGAACCTCACCTACTAATAAAATATTATTGCCCGAGCTTGTATTTAATAAGATAATAAATAGTTAACGCTATTTACAACAGGGTTAGCTTGCTTTTAAAGAATTCATACGAGTCACAGTAAAAGAACTTGCTTCTCATAGTGTAATTCTTGTTTTTGTTGGTCTGTGATGCGTCCATCTAGGGTAAGTCGGTAACGCCGATGTCGACTTTAATAACGAAAGCACCTGCATGTGTTTTATAAAACTGATCCCTTTTATAACAGATCCAGACTCAACCTTCACCCCAGATATCGAAAAAGCTATCCACTTCCTCCAGAAATTGTGATCACTCATTATGTTCAAGTTCAGCCCCCACTTGTGTGCCTGGGTTGTGCTGCTCACTTTGAATTGAGTCAAGACGTACATCTCCAGGCCCCGGGTACTTTGAGCGTGATTTGGTGTGACAGACTTGGATCCATGCTTGAACCTCTCGATGTAGTTTGCGCGATGAATATCCACACCATCACTGTAGGTACCGGGGTATGTATATACCTGATTACCCAACCCAGTGCGCGGACAATGCCGAACTCGATTTCACAACTCCCGTGCTCCCGCCATTCGAGAGCCCCAGTGCAAGTCGCGCCGATCAGATCCAGGCCGAAAGGGCTGGGCAAGGCCCGCTGTTGCTTTAGTCTAGTGACCGGGACCTAGACTTCTATAATGACGAGCCTAGCCCTACATATATCCATAGTGACATCGAGTGGAAATTAAAGGAAAAGAAGATAATTGGTTCTGCACCAGTCCATCTCAGGGTACAAGACGTGAAAGCCAGTGATGAAGCTTTGAACGCTATTTACATACAGAATATGCAGCGGTTCCGGTCAGATCGTTTGGTTAAACTCCAGCCACAGCAACACAGGGGTCTCCAAGACTGGGTGTCAAAGGATTGTCTCGAAGCTCCGCAAGTTAAGTAGCCGGTGTAATCCCAAAGTAGAGTTCTTATCGATAAGCTATCACATTTTGAGTGGTCTGCATGAGATCGGTCAACCGTGGACCAATGATTCCTGGAGGGTGAGCGTGCTTTGACACGCCAACCGTTCAAGGGAACCATCTACAAGATGGGGATAGGCGCCGTCCCCGCGTGAGTGGATGCCTGAGTTATCCGCATACCTGCCTGGTATCGGCGAGGACAGGCCGGGTCAATGTCTTGGGAGGCGTTGCCGCGGGACTAGAATGGCAGCTAAATTATGCCACCCTCTTGTTTATTACCACTTGAAGCAGCGTCGTTTATATTTCCTATCGTAGCGTGACATAGGAAGGATTAGGGCGGCTAGACAGATTTATGGTATCCCACGCGTCGCTGAACGGCCTGCGTCGAATATTGTAGATAAATTGTTCTCCAGGACCCTTGGAGTGGCTAGTTATATCCTAGGGCGCAAATTCCAACATTGTCATGTGCTCCTGCAAACCCCTACAGTATCTCTCTACCCCCAGTATTCACCCATAATTATTTTCAGAGGTACACAAGGCCCTAGGATCGCGCCCGCTGATTGAGACGCGTCTCTTGAAATCGAAACGGCACCATCCGAGCCAATAAGCCTATAGTCATCAGCCAACAGGTTTTCTGGCTGCTCCGCCCAGTTATCAGCGGCCCAATAATCCGGCCATTACTTACCCCTCATCTATCGACAAGGCTCTTGCACCGCGATCAAACATTGTTCATCAATCTCTTTTCTTGTTTTATATAACTTTGAGACTTAGTTTACCCATGGCAAGCGTTGATCTTTATGCCGTGCTGGAACTCCCACGGACGGCAGAGCCAGACGCCGTCAAGGCGGCCTACCGACGACTGGCCAAATTGAGGCATCCGGATAAGAATCCCAGTGATCCCAATGCGACTGCCAATTTCCAGAAGGTGTGTGGCCCTTGAGGTGAAGTGCAGACGTTAACCGCCCTTCCAGCTTCATGACGCCTACTCAACGCTATCCGATCCTCTCAAACGCCGGCAGCACGATTTGCAATATCAACCACCAAGAGCTGCGAACACCAGTCAAAATGGCGCTCAGGGAGCACATACTGAGACACCGAGTCCATGGACATTCAACAACAGGAAGCCAAGCCAATTTTCGGAGACAAACGAAATGCGCAAACACCGACAACGCCAAGAGGAACTAGAAAACCTGCAGCAGACACTAAATCAGCAGAGGACTGGCATTGAAAAAGATTTGTTGTCGGCAAAAGCGAACTTACAGGAAAGGAAGGCAGCTCTGGGAAGGCTCATGGCCGAGGCTGCAAAGGATAAGCGTGACGAGGCAGCCAGGAGTGGCTGGTTTGGGTTCTTATGGCGGCTAACGCCAGAACAAGAAGAGGAACGAGACCGCAGGGCGACAGCGCGAAGGACAGGGATGCTTGTGATCGAGGCACAGATTGAACAACGCATATCCGTGCTCAAACAGAAGGAGGAGCTGCTGCAGAAAGCTCTAGATGGGATCCTAGAGGTAATCAGACAAAAGGCTACAGCAAAGAACCAGTATGATTGGGCCCGCAAGGCCGAGCAGACGCGCCAGCAAGAGGAAGAACAACGGAGGTCTGCTGAAGCCCGAAGCGAAAGACAGCGGCGAGAAAAAGCTGCACAGGAGGCTGAAGCTCGCCGAAGAAGTGATGAAGCCGCAAGAGCCGCAGAGGCACAAAGAGCGCGTCAAGCAACGGAAGCTCAAAATCGCAAACAGGCTGCCGAGGAGGCTGCTAGACGATTCAAGCAGGCATACGAAGCTGCTAAGGCTGAGTCTAAAGCTCAGCGCGAAAGTGACAAGCCAAAATGGAAGGGGCAAGGTACAGGGGAGACTGAAAAGTCTCGCCAGGGGAGAACACCGAAATATTCCGAGAGGCAGGGTGGATCATGCCAACACCGCGCATGGTGGGATCAAATTCCAGGACCTGGCAGTTGCCAGCGCTGTCAGCGGCGCACTCCTCGATTTGCGTTTCGATGCCCTGGGTGCGAGATGATAGCTTGTGCTGGCTGTCGCGTGGCTCTTAGGAAAGGGGCCTGAAATTCTAATATGAGGACTACTAGCTGCCCGAGGCATATATGTCTGGCTTCAGCCTCAATAGGTCTTCTTAAATAGAGGCTCTTATTTAGTGAATATACGTCTAAACTTTTTGACGGTTAATATATTCTTTGTTGTATCTAGGCAATTGCAGCTTATTTTATTTGTCAATCTTCAATTTTAATCCTCAGTCTATGCGCCGAGACTAATACAGAAGCTTATGGCGGTGGGGTAATGTTGCGTCAGGTGCAAACGGGAACGCTCCACAATGCAGAGCTGATAATGTACCTTATGTACAACAGGTAAGTTAGATCTATAATAATCAATTCTAGCTAAAGCCCACAGTTTATAACGGTTATTATGTGACTAAATGGTGAGAGTCGGCGCCTGGGAATCTTTACTGATGGGATGATTGATTGAAGGGCTGGATTAAGCACCTCCAAAATTAGAGGGTTGAGGTTCTATTATTGGAGGTACAGGAGTCAAGAAATGGATGCAAATGGTCCGCAGATAAGAATTTGACGGGATCCCGTATTTTCTAAGAGCTATGGTCGTATGTATTAGCAATGGCTCAGAACTGAGGTTATCTTGACAGCTTTTTTTGTGCTCACGTGTTTTGCAGTCATCAGTGCGGGCCAACAGTTGCCTATACTAGATCGATGCTAAACTGGTGTTAAGACATGAATTGACTATTGGAATATCTGTTGAACGAGTTGGTGACTTGTTAACTCATGTCGGGCCCAGCCTCGGACTAGGCGCAGTGTGATGTTTCCTGAACTGATCTGTTCCACGCACATTCCTGGGACGAAGTACAGTATTGAAGGAGCAATTTCTTATCGTCACAGATAAATTGTTGTACTCAACTAAAAAGCTGTCGGTCTTTAGTTCTATATCTAAGACACAATAATAATTTCACCCGGCTCGGTCCGCTCCACTGAAGTATTCAGCGCTTCCTCCCAATGCTCAAGCGGGAAACTTCGGACTGGGCCCATTTCAGCTCTCTCGCCTAATGGCAGAACGCCTGTTTCGACCATGGTGATAAGCCTCTTTGTCTGTTGACGCGTGCACATCCATGTGCCTTTAATCGTCAACCCGCGCCCCATAATGTCCATATATCCGAAATCAGTGCCGGACAGCACGCTTCCCATCAAACTGATGCGAGCCCCATGACTCAAAACGCTCAAACAACTACGGAAGTGCGTCGACGTTCCAGCCTCTGTTGGTGACATGTCCCAGAACGCGTCAATAGTTCCACCAGCCACCGCTGCCAAAGCCGCCGTGTCCTTCTCAATGTCGTTCGAAATTTGAACAGTTGAGATGCGTGGGCTAATGGGAGCTAGTTGGGAAAGAATCGTCGCGTTTCTTCCGATAGCGATAACCCTTGCCCCCATGGCGAGGGCAAGATGTACCGCTGCGCTACCATAACGACCGGTGGCTGGCGCGATGATGATAGTGTCCCCAGCTTTCACATCGATATCGGCGAGTCCTCCGAATGGAATGAACATGCTGAAGAGATGAGTTAGGTCTTGGAGAGTGTACCCGAGCCCTCCATCTTTCGGATCTCCCATAAGGCGCTGTTCATTCATTGAGTGGCAGTTTTCCAATGGCAACTTGGCATATTCGGCCAAGGTTGAATCACGCCATTCCCCACAAGAAAGTTTGCGGCTTTCTTCATCGAACCCTTCCATGAAGCCAGATATGTATTTCGCCTTGGAGTTATCCCGTCCCCTTATGTAAGGGTCGAAAAACACGAGTTGTCCTGGGCTCAATGCAATCGCGTCAGGCCCAGTGTCGACTACTCGACCAATAGAGACGAATCCAGGAACCAAGGGAAGGGGTAGAGGATGCCCGCTATTTGGATCTCGCCACACCTTTGAGGCATTGGACCGAACTGATGTCGCAAGTATGCGAATAAGGGCGCTACCAGGACCTGGTTTCGGTAGCGGCCGTTGTTCGAGGAGCAATGGCTTCCCCACCTCCGAAAGAACGAGAGCACGATGCTGTGCTGGAAGTGTAGAATTCATTTTGGTTGTAGCCGTTGGTTTCTTATCCTTTTAAAACAGGGTATTAGAATGTGTGGCTGAGTGAATATTCGTCCATCGCTTCGTCTAGTTATATACTTTGCGGATCACTTATTGTGGGTGTCTATTCACTGCTCTTCTCAGGCCACTCGTATTCGTATCAATGGAAATTTAACTTTGCACAGTTGTAGGGGCTAATGATGAAACTAGTCTTGGCTTTTTGATAATAACGATATAGGATCTAAGAATAATCGGCTGAGGGTCCCTCTGCGGGGATGTCTGGTTGCGGAGCGGAGCGGACTTTGGCTTACAGAGCATTCCCACGGGTTCATAAAAGACTCCGTTCCAGACTCCGCATCCGAGCCCATAGCATCGCGTTGCGGGTGGCATTTTCGACGAAGTAGAAGTGGGATAAATCCTTTTAGTTGTCGCGCGATACCTTATGCAACTCGCACCCCAATGCGCTGGTATCTTGATTTGCATTGTCCCTGTTTCAATGCGTTTGAGATAGAACTCAGTGCTCTCATATCTTTCCTGAAATTTTACACCGCCCAGATCTTCTCATTACTAGCATACAATACACTGCGACTTGGTCGAGGCCTTGAACATCTTAGATGATGTATCCATAGCATGCATACCACCTGCAAATTCCCTCAAGTCATTGCTAACCTGATAAATAATTCTATCACTTTGTCTTAACGAACGAGGAACGGATAGTCAGAGAACGGTTGGTTTATGTGCTGATCTGTGGGCGAAGAAATTGTAAATCTACAGAGTGTTGCCGAAACGGTGCGATTGGCTCTTGTGTTCCGTTTTGTTTTGCTAGCGAAACGGTATTATTTTGAGAGTTGAACCAACTCTGCCGTTTTCAGTCATTCCGTACCTATGTTAGTCATCACCTGGAAGGTGCACAACGCCAAGCTTCATCCTCACTCGAGCCAGTGATCCAACAAGAGACGTACAGCAGCACGCCCCATTTGCACGGCTTCAAATCCGAAGCGTACTCGGTAAATATTTGGAACAAGATAATTATAAGTCTTCTTCGGCTCATGAGCCAAAAGCTCCTGCTTCGATCAATGATAGATTGGTCGCGAATGCTTTCATCTCGGGTTCGTTGTGGGCCGGTCGAGACCATGGGAGTCCTTGTCACTGAGAAAAATCAGCACTTGTAGTGACTAATGCATGGGACTGATGAAATTACACCGCGGCCATGTTGGTCATTTTTTTTTCGTGTTGGTTCACCCTCGCAGGTGGGCGTGGCTGGGAATGGCCTCGTGCAAGAAGTCCAAAACTTGACCAAACTAGCCTCACACCACAAATTAAATCACGCACACCCCTGGATTAAGCCATGGTACCTGTCAATGTTGTGTAACTATCGAGAAAAGTGTAGATTTAGTAGAGCCCCGCAGGGTAAGAAGAGATCACTTTTGTGACCAACACCGAGAATCACTCTTTTACTACCAGCAGGGGTTGCTTGACTAACGGCAGGGATCACTCTTTTACGTCCCAACAGCCGTTACGTACAGACTGCCTGTTACGTCACAGCCAGAATCGCTCTGTTACTAACAACAGGGGTCACAGTCCACAGACCCAGAATTTAGTCCAGGTCTTGACTTTACGCTCATCCAGTTATTCATTCTCCCAGCGACCAAGTACGTAGTCCAGATATGGACTCGATTAATTCACAACCAACAGAGAGGGGTTGGAGGAACTGGGCAGGAGAAAGTCAACAAATGGATGCGCGACGTAGTACTTAAATCACACCTCTTCTACGCAGCAAGGTGTTCTCATCCCATATTCAAGCTCAATCAATTACAAACATAATTAAGAATGACAACACCCCGTCCTATTTCCGACAATGAACCTCCTCATGGACAAGGCGACCAAGGAGGAGAATGCGTATTCAGATGCATGGCTCTCGATATTCCACCCCCTCGGTATGACGCGGCCCATGCGTCCGGCGTCTTATCGCGATGCGGCCGATAAGGAGAGCCGTTGCGCGCCGTCAAATCCAGGACCAGTACATGCAACGGAATGCTGCGTTGGCCGCTCAGCGACAGAGCGCTCCGCAAGATGCCAGTCAGCAAACTGCGTCACAGCCGGCCATGACGCGAGTTCGGGTTCGGGTTCAAACTTCCATGCCACTTCCAGGAACTCGAGGTCAACAGCAAATGAATCGCCGCATGCTCTCATACTCGAATGGCGGCGTTGCTGGCGTCTCGCGATCGGCAGGGGACGTAAGAGCCTCAGCTCCGGCCGCGGTTCCGACACCGGTATCGCTTCCGACGCAAGTTGACGCTGTTCCCCAATCTGCCCGTGGCATGGTTACAGTTACTGTTCGTTCCAGCGAGGCTCAGGTCACCTTCTGGTCCGATGTTCGTGGTCAGCGCGCTCAGCAGGATGGAGCACATGGACAGCAATCTTAACTCCTAGGCAGAGAAGGACACTGGACAGGTGGCCTTGCTACATGATGGCAGAGAGAAGTAAATGACGATTTCGGAAATGTGTTGGATAGATAGTGGAAAAAGATACACAATTCCTTAGTCTTGCACTCAATACTACTCGCCGCCTATTTCCCGAGCTTTGGGCCGTGTCATGAATAATTGCCAAGAATGGTTACGGTATTTCACCGTTTAGTACGGTAACAGAACCGTTAAATGATGGATGCGACCCACGGCTGACGTTACGGACTCAAGTGGCTTGAGCAACGCATACGTTGGAACTTCATCTCTGAAGTTACTTGCAATTTTAACACACGCCAATAAAATAACAAGCGTCTTTCACAGAAAGCAATTGCGCAACTATACGAATAGCTCTCATCGGGTAGGACAAAAAAAGAGATGAAAGGCGCGGAGCGTCGTTGCTCCGTTTTGCTGTGAAAACTCTCTAGCGCAAAAAAGTTGGACCATTGCTAGTGGAAAGATGGAATCAAACCATCGACGTTGGACGAACAGGGAATCGAACCCTGGACCACTCCCAGATATCTTCAGAAGATTCTTGCTAAGGGAGTATTATACCACTAAACCATTCGCCCTATTGGATGAGTTTCGGCATGAAAATTGAGGCATAAACGCGTTGTGCGTGGGGCTGTTTGATGGACCTCCTTGGATGAGGGCAAGCTACTTACTTTGTGGGTCTGTTCGTCGGCGCAATCTCCCGTGGGTCGGCTGAAACTTCCATAAACTGGCTGGATCCCCGGTGATACGCATGTGTGGCAATAGAACATGCTACTGTTAACATCATAGCGAGGGTATAGAGGTGTTCATGAGTGCCACTTACCAGACACCTGCAGGGCCGGATAATATTGGCTGAAGGAAGTATTTCATCACCATAATCGGCAAGCTTGCACTCACCAAATGTAAAACACAAAGCTTATACATACAAATGTCGACCCAGAAGCGTCGCCGCCGGTGCAGTTCTGCTTCGGTTCCAGTCATCTAACACTCCCGGGGAGGACTTCCTTTACATCAATGAGTACTTTGCATACTGGATGAATGAATATACGCTAAATTCTAAGTCTAATTTTGATACATTGGTTGTAACCATGCGAGCAGCCTTCTCACGCCACAGGATTGTTTTTGACAGAGTAATGTACAAATCCAGTACTTTAGACGGAATTCGAGTTGTCGGCGCAGGACCAGGCGGCTGACCCTCCAGACTTCTCGTATGTGTCAATAATGCTTACAATAGAGCCATAAGTACCAGCAACCATCAGAAATGTTCCAGAAAGGACGACAAAAACGCTCCAGCAAACCATTAGGGTCCACTTGAGAGTTCGATCTTGCTTTCCTGGTGTCCAGTTGTCATAAAGCCACATACAACCCATCGGCTGAAAGGACATGAGAGTGCCAAGAAGTGCACCGATAAGGGACACAAGACCGCCGAAAACAGGAATGCCGCTGGCAATGAGGTAAGCGATCACAGTGATGCCGCCGGTGCAGCTAAGCCAGGTTGCCCAGTGTACCATGGAGTTAGCCGTGAGATGCTTGGAACCTCGTAGAAAACGAATAAATAGATATTTTCCAGGTAACTGCACAACTGTTAGTTGAATTACTTCGTTTTGTTTTCGTCTTCAGATGATACTTACATGAATAACGAGTGTCGTGGTGACGATTAAGCCAGGGAGAGCAAGACCATAGCAAACCCTCTTCATAGTCGAACCGGCAGATCCAAGAGCAGGCGAGGCAACATATGACCCGCAGAAGTAGTAGACCACACATCCAATTGAGATATACGTGACAGTCACAACACTCTGGCAGATCATTAGCGATCGGCTGTAATGCCGAGGATCACGCATCTCAGCGGCAATTGAAAAGAACGCAGGAGTGCCTGCGTACGCAAACACGAGGGCAGACACCGCTGACATAGCATCAGTGAATGATGGGTTGTTGGTGATCTTGTAGTCGGAAACCCAAACACCAGTCTCAGGAGCGTCAGCAGGGCGATCTTGTACACCGACGGCGATAGTGACCGTGAGAACTGTGATGAGCATTAGATGGCAGTTTAAAAAAACATGAATATAGAAAATTACTCACTGGATGCAATGATGCACACCAGCCCGACCCATGCGAGCCAACTAATGCTGCTCAGCGTGCGGATACTAGCGAAGGAGAATCCGACGACAGCAGCCACAGCGACAAAGACAGCAGTGCATACACCGTGAAGTGAGAGGGCGTTCAAACCAATCGAAACACTCAGCATACCGGAACCGGCAACGAAGATCCAATCTAGAGACGTCAGCAGAAGCCTATAACTTCCGGCGAGTAAACTCACAGAGGCAGAAAGCAACCGCAAGGGTTTCACGCCCGATACGACCAAACATCAATCCACCAGCATCGTCAATGCCATACACCTGAGTATGGCGAAGCTTGAAGACACCAACCATATAGTCCGACCAAGTGGTTATAGCAGCGATGGTACACAGGCAGACGACTCCTGGAACTATGCCCAACGTATCGAAAGCGGACGGGATAGAAAGAACACCGAGGCCGATCTGGGTCTTCATCATAAGGGCGGCGGTTCCTAGCCATCCCACCTGAAGAATGTTAGTCCATGAGAGTTTGAGTGCGTTTCGAGATACACACGTTGCGGTAGTTGGGGCCCTTGTCTGTGATTTCGCCGAAGACTGCATCATGAGCCTGAGCCGGGTCGTCATGTACTTCTCCGATATGGGATGGCACAGTGGCCAGATCCTCTACGTCATCCCTTGTCTTGATCATTTCGGAGGCTTTTAGGATAGATGTAAAGAGGTGGTAAATATTATTTGACGCAACCTATGCCATATGCCAGCACCTTTTATACTCCCCGAGATGGGTCCCGAGATGGGTCGGGTGGGCTTCCGTAGTCTGGGGAAGTATACAAGGGTACTCCCGAATGGGGCAGTAGCATGGTGGCAATAAATATCTCGTAATCACCCTTGCGGCTACGCTAACTTTGCTGTTTACCTTGCAAGGATTCCTAACCAGTTTCAGATTCGGAAAATGTATCTCATTCGCCTCAGTGGGCGAGATGCCTCGAAAGTCATACGGGGAATTGCGGGGAGGTGGAGTTCAGCAAGATAGAGACAATTAAAATGATACTGTCCATGCTCAGCGACGATAACAGTGCTCCATCGGCCCAGAACCCGAGATGTTACGATATTACGTATGCACGACAGTTTCGACCCGCTTGTTATCCGGGGAATCCGGGGTTATTACTGCGCCGGCTTCTATGAGGGAGTTCCTTGCATTCCTCGTAAATAGTAACTGCCATTTCCGGATTAGACTCCGCTGCTCGTCGCATGATCCGCCGGGCAAGTCGGTGTGTGATTTGGGGGTTCTCATGCTGGTCAAGTTGGCAAGAGAAGTAAAGGGAAATCGTTGTCGGAGTTACGTGTTGCGAAGACTCTTGACTTTACCCGGAGATAAAAGGGTCAAAATCCCGGGATACTATCAGTGCAACTACAGTATTTTATTTCTATAGATACAGTCAAAACAAACTGGAAGGCGTTATTCGGTAAAATTCCCCATTGATCGGTCGAAAGATCCGGGGCTCAGGATCGGCGACGGCGTCACCGTATCCACATAGTCTCATACTGACATCACCGTTTTTGTTGAACAAAAAACCGCTAGACTACTAGGTAAATTGGGTCCGATAAAATACCCAACTCGCAAATTCAAGTTCCTGGGAATATTGCACACCGCGTCGCCAGGTTGTCGTTGCGTAAACACGTATCAAAGCTCAAATTCAGAAGCGCGTGACTTCGTGGATTTCTCGGCCCAGAGACCGAGCCAAGCCTGAGTCTTTTCCTTTATAAAAGATATTCTTAGACCGCCACCCCTGACATTTTTCAAAGCTCTTGTTTGTCCAGCCAACCAACGAGCATAAAAATCAAGCATACTCCAGATATCAGACAAAGGATTGAGTGATTCAGACAGCTTCAGTGACGATGGATGATCTTGTCTTTTGGTCTAAGAAGGAAGAAAGCTAGCTATTTATACCTAGGGATCTGACTGATCCAGATGCCCTTAATCTAATACCGGATGCCCTTGATCTGATGATGCCGTAAATAGCCGATGAGTTAGGTTGTTGAGGTCAATCTAAAACTAGGTTGTTGAGGGCATCTAGGTTCAAATGAAACCACGGTACGGATCTGGTCCTATGCAAAGCTGAATTTTCCCATCAGGGTGTCTGACACTAAGACACACTTTGACTGCAAACGCACTAATACTATGTATCTCCTTATCCAACTTCCCAGCGTCGCATCGTATCTTCAATTACTGATCCCCGTTTCAAACGCATATTCGTCGGCATCTTCCTCAATTTGCCACGGAAGTTCAGGGGTATTCACCGCACCTGACAGTGTTGCTGCACATATCAGCGCCTATCGATGGGCAAATGGTCGATTTAAATTTAGCCGCAGTTTTGTATTGCGTCCAATCCTCCAATTTCGCCCGAACAAATCCAGCGGCTGTTGCAAGACTGTCAACCCTCACAAGAGGGGTGCGATGACAGTTAAGACAACTTTCAGTGCTACAAGCAGTCGACACACTACCACGTAGCAGCGATCGATGGCCTAAACCTCATTTAGCAGCAATTTGCGAGTAATCAAGCGCGAATAAGTCTGCACGATTAGCCATGAGGACGATTAGGATGCGGTGTACTTGACTCAGAAGGCTATAGGAGGCAGACGGCTACTTTTCCCATTGCCCTCAAAGGGTATTCCGTACAAAACATTGACTCCTTTTAAAGTTCGCCAGAGAGGAAAGAATAGAGTATTTAGATAAACTTTTCCATGTCTTGCATCTAAAACGCGGTTGCATAAGGCTTGGCTCTGAAAGACACCCCGTATCTAAGTTTCTCTACGGACACTCGAAGCACACGTCTGCGATCTCAGCTGAGCTATCCTGAACTAGTCTCATCTAAGACGTTCAAGACCTTACGTGTCGTGAATGTGCTTTAGTCTTTCCTCCATCTGTTCTCTCGGAGTCTTCAGCTTAACCTCTGGGAATCGTGGATCAGGCGTCCACGGCATAGTATCTGCTCCTTCCAGTAACCACTTCAGAACAACCTTCTCCAGTTTATCGGCAATTTCCTTATGCGACGGGTCTTCTGCAAGATTGTGCAGCTCGCATGGATCGTTTTGGCGATGATACAACTCAGCCGGTTCATACAGCCGGTACACGTATGTCCATGTCTCGTCGCGCAATGATATCGCCTTCCCCACCAGAGCTGTATCCTCATGTTGTAGAGCAGCTTTAAGGTCGTATGGATAAGGAGCCTGCTCCAACAGAGGCTCCTCCGAGGTGAGGAAACCGCCTTCGGAGAATGCATATCTCTTGTGCTCTGTGGCATCACCACATAGCAGAGGGATCCAGGAAAGTCCGTTGTGGGCAAATTTCTCTCCGACACCAGAAATTTCTAGCATCGTTGGGACTAAATCCACCATTTCTGTCATTGCGTGGATCTTCTTTCCCTCGGGCAGCCCGGCACCACCGATGATGAGTGGCTCGTGAACGAGGGTCTCTGACAATCCCGATGGCCACTTCTCAATTAAGCCATGGTCTCCCAGGTACTCGCCGTGGTCTGTATAAAACATAGTAACGGTGTCTTTCCAGAGCCCGAGTTCATCCACGCGCTTCATGACGCGTCCAAATTGGTCGTCGAGTCTCGAAATCATGCCGAAGTAGGTGGCTTTGATCTCTTTCCATACTTCATCGGTAGCTCGGCTGGTCCCATAGCGCTCGCGGATTGACTTCATGTACCGCGGTTCGTAGCCAGTTCTCTTTTCCGGCAGAGCCTCGATTCCAGACATCTTGGCGCGATCATACATGGAAAAGTAGGGCTCTTCCACTTGGAATGGACAGTGGGGGAAGATCAAGGGCATGAAGAGCACCCAAGGTTTGTCTGTTGGAGGACAGTCCAGCCAAGTCAGCGCTGATCTAACCACGGCCTCATCATAATCAGAGGCCTTGTCGGCATCTCGCAGTCCCCGATAGAACAACCGGCCCCAAATGCTCTCATCCTTTTCCTTCTCTGTACCACCGCGCCCAAAGTTGGGAACATACTCTGGCGTCTCAAGGAACCCATATTCCGTCACGCTCAGTTCGGTTACTGTTGGCGCGAAGGTATCGCCACGCGGCGCGAGACACGCAACGTGGTAGCCAGACTCTTTGAGACTGCGGAAGATGTTGGGTTCCCATGGCTTGATGAGGTTTTCGAGGCTGCGGTGGCCGCTGACGTGCGGATATGTCCCTGTGAACATGCTGCATCGCGACTGCGAGCAAACCGAAGCCTGCGTGAAACAGTTGGTGAAGAGGCTTCCACGAGCGGCAAAGGCATCAATATTGGGTGTCCGAATACCGGAGTCGGGGCCAGCGGTGCACCCTAGAGAGTCATACCGGAGCTGATCTGGCATGAAAATAATGTAGTTTGGCCTGTCGCCTCCATTCTTGGAGTCGACCTTCAGAGGCAAGGGTTTTGCCGGGAGCTGGTGGGAAGGCATCTTGCTCCTGGAACCGAGGTTACGGTTCGTGAGGGGGAATGCAGTAGTGCGAAGTTTGGAGCAGGCTTGGAGATTTAATTGAATGCGTACTTCCAGCATCTATTTTATGTCATCTCCTCCATCCCCAAACTTGCCGTCTTCTGAGCCGACTCTGGAGTTCCGGATCTCGTACTGGGGCAGGCTCCGGATCTCGCCCTCACCATCCGGAGCGGAATGACGCGATAGGGCAACGCGTATTCAAAAGCAGATCCACCCCCAGGATCATCCGCCATCTCTCCATCACCGCCGGATCTCGCCCTCGGCTTCGCGACATGGATCCTGAAGTGAGCGACCTTCTTCCCCAGATCCAGGACACTGGGTCACCGGGTAAAAGGCTCGCGTGCAGGCAATGCCGCGCCCGCAAGGTTAATTGCCGTGGCTAATTCGAGCGACGCCAAGCTGACGGCGTCCGTGTAGGTCAAGTGTGATCGTCGGCCGGACGGCTGTCTGCGCTGTGAGCGGCTCGACTTTGTCTGCAGCTATGCATCCGTCGATGGCATCTCCCCGCGAGAGAACGACGATTCTCCTCAGGAACTCACCCAGGCGGGGACGAAGCGTCGACGCTCATCAAAGGCTTGTACATCATGCCGCGCGACAAAGGCGAAGTGTTCAGGAAATTACCCCTGCCAGCGATGCGAGTCTCATGGACAGGAATGTCTTTTTCCGATCCCAAGAACTGCAACGCAGGCAGATGTAACACCTGAAGCACTTGTATCACCCGCCAGCACTCAGGCAGAACGCTATGAGTCCGCCCAACCACCACCACCAGCGGCTAGCCCAGGAGAAGACTCGACACGGTGAATTAATTGGCTGATGTACGAAAATTATATACTAACTATGGGCCAGTGCGTTCGAATTGGAAAGGAAAGACGACGTTCGAAACTACATTCACACGTACTTTGACAAGAGCGACTTCCTAGACTCCCTCTCTCTCCACAGAGCAACCGTCTTGACGGAATGGAGTCGCGGCAATCTGGACAAAACCTTGCTCAAGGCCATCTGCGCCTCGGGGCTCCGTCTAATGTCTCCACAGGAGGCCTACCTGAGTCCCCTCCGCTGGGTGGACGAAATCCAGACTGAGCTGGTCGCCCGCATCGGTGATATTTCCGTCCCCAAACTCCACGCTCTGGTAATTGTCATCACTTTCCATTCCACGCTGAAATTTACTGGGGACATATGGGTTCTACTGTCCATGGCAGCAAGAGTTGCTTTTACAAAGCGTCTCAACTACGAGAGATCTGCCGTGGATTCCATAACACAAGAGTGTCTCCGCCGGCTGATGTGGTCCATCTATAGGCTTGACAAGGTATTCTCAGGGGGCATCGAGGATTTGACCGTCTGTCCTATAAATAGACTGCACGTGAGGCTCCCCAACAGCCACCACAACTTTCAACTCGGGCTACGATCATCGGTGCAGTTTCTGCGCCATATGGACGAAGGGACAGACATGAATATTCTGGCCTATCTAATCCGGATGTACGACCTTCGTGATAGAATCTTCCGGTTAGTAAGCCCGCTCAAGTGTTTATACACAACTAACCCTTGCGCTAGATACACAAGGCGGGTCGTCCTCGAAGGATGCAGCCCGTTTACCAGTCGGGAGCAACTACACTCACTCGACCAAGAGTTGGTTTCATTCAAGACGTCTCTACCAGAGGACTTGCAGCTTGATGCCGACAGATTGATGATCATGTGCCACTCTGAGGAAGCGCGCGGATACATCGTCCTCCACACCCTATTATACCTCTGCCGTTGTGATCTTTTCCGATTTCTAATTCCCGGAATAAGGGAATCGGTATCAGCAGATGCCATGGAACAGACACCGCGAGCATACATCAATTACTGTCAGCAGAGGTGTTTAGAAAGTGCAGTTTGGTGTTGTGAGTTCTGGTCTCACATTCGCCATTCAGAGATGCGCAATCCCGTAGAGGGTGCGACTTTGACCATTGCCCTGTACCAATGCACCAAGATTATCGACCACCTCTACTTCCTCCTGCCCCCAGAAGGAGGACATTCGCTACCCCAGCTAAAACAGAAGCTTCAAGACGGATTGTTCCTTGCGTCTCGAGGTCAAGACAAGTGTGAATGGGTCAGCTTATGTGTACGTTGCTGCAAGTGTACCAAGTGACTTATACTAACAGTCCAGATTTCCGACGTTGAGAAACTGATTCCCGGCCTTGGTATGCGACCTCCATTGTCGGATACCCCGTAAGCAACAAGTTCCGCCCAGCAGGTCTAGACAAGCTAACTGTTTCGAGTCCTCCTCCAGGGACTCTCAGTGAACAGGAAAAGCTACACCGACGCTCCAAATATGTATTCACCACAGAAGACGAGGATAATATCGGTTCGGCGGTGAATCCTCGGCGATCTACCGCAGACGAAACATTGGCAGCAACCACATCGACCTCCGATGCTGGCACAGGTAGTGAAACCTGGCCATTTTCTATGCCTGGCCAGAACGAGGAGACTGTTGAGTATTCGGGAAGAAATTCATTGGGCTCGGCTCAATTCTTCGGAGACGGACTTGTTCCATATGATTTGTCGAGCCAAGTCACCTCTTCATTCGATGATCAAGACTTGACTTTGTCAATGAACCCATTTGACTTGCAGATGAATGCATATACGGATGCGGACATTCCCCCGTTTTTAGCACAGATAGAGTAACAGACCTGCTGTATTTGATCTATAAAAACAAACATATACTCTACGCTATAAAATCTTCATCACAACATCAAGCCCACCGCGAACACTAAAAGACTCAGCATGAGAGTGCGTGGTGGGGACCACTGAACACCAAAAGACTCGCCCTGCTCAAACCCACTCTCCTCACCACCTAGGTACAAGACCCCGAGTTCCGTCAAGCCCCCCTTATCATCAAAAAGCGACACACTGTCACCAGTCCATCCGTTCGCTTCGTCGGAACGGAATGCTCCGAACCACGCATAGCCCTGAACGTAATCGAGATTGTCCAAGTACCGTAGACTGTCGTTCATCATAGCAAGGGTTTGTTCTTCATCTTGCTTCGGTAAGGCCATCTCGGTGATCCAGTAAGGAACGTCGGGGTATGTTTCGTTATAGAATTCGCGGAGTGTCCCAAGCCAAGACACAAGGCCTACATAGTCGCCATACCAATGCACAGCTACAAAGTCCATGGGGCAGCCGTCATCAGATATGTCGAAGCAAGTGTCGTTGAAACTGCGAAGCCATTCAAGACCTCTGGTCGAGCCAGTGACAGAGGGATAGCTGATGTCCCACTTCCGTGACCGAGAACTTGTTGATTTTCTCAGGGGTGCGATGTTGGACATGTACGATTTGGCAGCGTCCTTGGCAGAGATAGAGCTGCCTCCAGTATCAGTCTCGCCGTCAGGCTCGTTAAAACTGAGCAGGCGAGTGGAGGAGGCGGGCAAGTTATCGAGGCGAGACACGAGCTCCGAGTCCGAGGCATCGTCCAGACCGTGAATCAACGGTACAAAAGGAACAGTATCGTTTACTGCATCTGAAGGCCACAGGGACCAGGTGTAGTACCACGAAATTGTTGAATTTTCGGACAGCAATATTTCGGTGTCGGAAGCGTGGTCGTCACCATGATAGGCAAGCCCGCGTTTTGACGATGAGTTAGAAACACCGGAAACGAGCGATAGAAAAAAGCCAAAAACATAGCAATGCGCGCTAACTCTTCTGTAATTTGTCATGGTTGTTGTGTGATGCGGCCTGCGCAAGGAATAGTGACATAGATTTGGACCGAAGATGCTCGCTTTGAGTAACTGGAAACAGCAACATATAAGCCACAGAAAAGCAGCCTGTGACGAAATCCAAATGTGACGAAACAAAGCTGCACTATACTTACTTGAGCTAAGCCCTCCCTGTTATGAATCCTTGCTGGTGCTTGACCTTGGCCAGGTACTCGAGTATTCCCAGATTTCGGTGCCATAACCTGGTTTTAGCAGAGGCTGTGACGTCATCCTTCACCGCTGCTGTTAACGCAACAAATCTGCCATCATCGGTTTACAAGGGATGAAGTTTCTCAATCGAGCTCAAAAAAACGGCTAATCTGCGGCTCCGTTTATTTTAAGGGGCGTGGGCCTTTCTCACTGGTCAAATGGATGATACGCAGAAACAAATGACACCGCTGGAAATCGTAAACAGAGAGCATGCATCATCAGGTCCTCAAGATGCAGATGTTGACATAAAGAATTTGATCGGCTTGAAAGATAAATCCGCATAAATTCAATTACTGCGGTGCCGACATGAATGCGTGTAGCCAATCAAGGCAGAGAAGCATCAGTCCGCCTTACATTTGACCAGGCTGCAGCCCAACTCATTCCCATAAACACTCCTATCACACCAAACGGTATGCTGTCAGTAAATTAGGCTCAATGTTTTCCGCGTTGCCGTCCCAACATACTACCCAAGAAGTGTATTTGAGTATTAGTCCCTGTTTCACCGGTCACCACCGCCATGGGGGGAAAACCCATCTTCCGTCTATGGACGTGCCATATGTGCGATCACGAGTGGCTTTACGACACCACCCCTATGTGCTTGGTCTGTGACCACAAATGCTGCACGTCCTGTTCTGGTCCCCTAGGCCGTGTGCAGGACGATATCTACACGCTCACTAATGAGAGAGGAGAGCCAATGTTCAAGACGCCTAGAACTGTTATTAAGAAGACACCTAAGACCGTTGTTAAGAAGACTGCAAAAGTTGAGGATGCTCCCGAGCTTACTCCCAAATTGCAACCGGAGCCTGAGCAAATGCATTCGCATGACGGAGGCCAGGAAGAAACATCCGGTACCTGAAATAAGGGTACTAGCATGATTACACGTGAGTTTAATACTTCAAGAGGCTTGGGTTGTGATTTAACGCTACCAGAACCCTCGCGCACTTTGCCTGAGTGGGTAGACAGCATTCTTTTTGGCATCCCATCATGGCCTACTTGTGAGCCGCCTGTTCCTCCGGGCCAGACCCGCATCAGATGGAGATGTAGATGTCGCCTTTACCCTTATTTATCCGTCTCTTTTTCCCAGGGTGAAATGCAAAGAATATCGATGTTGGCCTGCGCCTGAAGACCAATCCGTTCCCTCCCCGGCCATCGGGTCTCGAGAGTTGACACACTATTTCCACCGTCCGCATGCCGTTGAGATACCGCAGCGAAGTATACACAATCAATTGCCAAAACGAGCATGTGGGCAATTACAATCGTCGCCCGACCAAGCAGAACTTGGTTGGGGCATACACTTCGAAGAAGCTTGGCATTGGAGGACCATATATTTCGTTCTTGTCATCCTCATGCTCCTAGGTGTCCTTTTTGGTGTTATATGGACGGTCATAAAAAGGGATATTCAGAGTGGTTTCGCGATTACGGCAGCGTCTTGTGCTTTGGGGCCTGTGTTGCTCGGGTATATTGCCGTGAGAGATGCCTTCTAATGTTGTTTGCTTCCATTTCTCATACTTCTTATGCCTATCAAAGCCCAGTTCTCGACTTGCCGGGTGACACATCCCAAGTGCGGTGCTAAGACGACAGTTCAGAGAGTGGAATCAGTAACAATAAAGAGAGTCGAAATTTTCGTCAGTTCAACGCCTCCTTTTACCCCGTAGATCCCCTCTCGATATCAGCATCTTCACCTTTATCCAACCTATCCGCAGCCGCAGCACGCATCAATGCAGCTGCATCGGCCTTTCCAAAGTCCCGGATCGGCATTCCAGTGTTAAACAGAAAGTCAATCTGCTCGAGCGTTTTCCCTCTGCACTCTGGCACGCAATAGTATACAAAAACTGTCGCCACCACCATAAACGAGCCGAATATGAACCCAACCTGGCTGCCCAGGCCTGCGTATTTATCGTAAACTAGGTACGGGATCGAAAAGTTGACGGCGAAGCTGGATATAGTCATGAGCAAATTTCTACAAATATTCCACAAGAACTTACTTCATAATCACGTTGACTGTGAAGCCGACGCGCGAGGTCACATCGCGGAGTCGGAGCGCTGATATTTCAGTTACCACGACGTAGGTAAGCGGAGCCCAACCCATTGCAAAGCCCAAGGGAAACACAGCCATCATAGAGATGATGCCATTCTTCCTGGCTGTTGATACAGGAGATCCGATTCCCAATCCTCCCATGACCATCATGGCAGAAGTCATAACGCAGGAAGAAAGCATCATCAGAATCCTTGGCTTGGTTAGCAACCTCAATTAGACCACTTCAAAATCACGTACCTTCTGCCAATTAAGTCTGTCCAGAGAAGAATTGTGACCATGGTGATGATGTTGATGCCGGATGTGATCAGACTGAATTTGAACGGATTGATGGTGCCCAAGGACTTGACATAAATCGCACCGTACTGAGACACAAACGCCTGACCGCCGACTTGCTGGAAAATGTTCACACCAATGGCAATGGCAGTCCGCTTCAGGTTCAGGCCTCGGAACAGCTCAGAAAACTTGCCCTGTTCAACTTCTTGCTCCAGCGAGGTGCGGAGCTCCTTAAACTCGGCCTCCATCTGTTCCTCAGAAAACGCGCCTTCTCGCAGCATGCGGAAATTGCTCCATGCGTCTTCGACGCGGTTCTTTCGAAGTAACCAGCGAGGCGATTCGGGTATAAACCAAATGAGACTCAAGACGATGGATGGGACAATGTAGAAGAGACCAAGGGGGATGCGCCACGCCCTGTTATCCTGGATTCCGCTCGTTCCGTAGCAAACGGAGTTGATCACAAGCCCACCAATGGCAAGACTGAGCTGGTACGAGCCCACCATCAATCCTCGTGCATCGGCCGGGACTAGGTAACGTTATTAGCAACATTCGGTCAATTCCGCTTGGTGAGCATACCAATCTCGGACTGAAACGTGGGCACAACACCGAGCTCCATCCCAACATAGACATAGTTAAGGATTCGAGCTGCCATGATTTGCTCCCGGTGAGTTGATGTCACTCCAATGGTTGCGGTAACGATAGCGTAGCAGCTCATGATGAACATGCACCATCTTCGGCCCCATCGAGAGGAAATGGTGGTGCCGGCGGAGACCCCTAGCCTTGTTAGATGTAAGCCGATATGTCTGCAAGCGTCTACATACCGACGGCGAATCCGATGTAGTTGAGGCTGTTGAAGAGAGAGAGCCAAGATGGCTCAAGTATATATGTTTGCGTCGCTTCGTTCCACACGCCAAACTGCTTGTCAAAAGCGTCCATGGCCTGAGTACTCGCAAAGGCCTGATTGTCAAAGCCATAATTGAATGTGGAGACGGCGATCAAGGCGCTTGCGAGGGCAAGCCTCCGATTAAAGAGGCGAAATTTAGCGAAGACAGCCATTGCGGAAATGGACTGGAGGGTTTCACGGCTGTGCTGCGAGAGCGTATCGAATGCATGGCCAGACCAGAGGATACTTCAGCTTATTATAGGTCATGATGTCGGCCGATGAGCGTCAATGTCGCGATGGTAAGGGTCGGTTGAGGAATCCCGGGGGTAGGAACTCGTGATCGACGCCTCGTCGAGAAAAAGGTGGTTGACCGCGATTCAGAGCCCCAGCTGCCATGTTGTCGTGCTGAACTAGATCCACTTGTTGAGCGAGATCCGGCGGATTCGCGACTCCAAGAGTACGACTTCCGATAGTACGAGATCCGGACGAGCCAATGACACGTCAGCCGATACCTCCAGCAACGACTCAAGTGCAACGCCCCCGCAAACAGCCAATTTCCCCGCGTTTCTGTGGCGAACTTGTCTGGGATCATAGAGCTAGAGAAACTTTAGCAGCCGGTGAGTGAGTTCCCCAGCCGTCATGGAAGTACGACGAGGGGGTAGTCAGCTCTATCGTGAGCTTGTTACACGGCACCGCCCTCGGTAGCGACTTGACATGGTCTATGATGATCTTGGTGCAGTCCTGCAAAGTTCTTAGCTGCTCAAGTTCGCCTTAAGCCTGAAGGAGCAGGACAATTTCCCTACCGTAGGGAGAGTGGTCGGCCAAGTACTACCAGTGTTCTCTCGGTATGTCGGCTCACCGTGGAAGCCCCAGAACTTTCCGCCACGCGCAGTTAGCAGGGTGGGAATGCTCTAATTACCAAGACCCGGATGTGAGACTCGGGGGCAATATTGAGTTCGGAAATAGTGCGCTCGCCTTTATACGGTGTCACAATCAAATCGATTTTATCCGAGATCCATTGTGGTTGAAATCAAGATAATAACCACGAATACGCAGGGTGTTGAGAAGTGAGATCCTCCCGTAATTCGTTTGGACCGTATCGACCTTGAAAGCGTGCCAATACCCATCAGATTTTCGATACACGGCTGTTCCGGGTGGATGCAACCATCCTTTTTCAATCCAGCTCAAATAAGCCCAAAGTGCAGATAATCAGTGAGGTGTAAACGAGCTAATGACGTGCCGAGGGACTTGAAGTTGCGTCAAAAGCTCTACCACGTTGGTATTAATTCAGTAAATGAGTATCACCAGCTACACCACAAAAGCGACTTAGATACAGCGCGGTGACCAGTTATACTAAAATCTTACGCTATTGAAATCTGTAAATTCGCAGATCGAAGTCCAGTAGAAACCTAGTGCTTTAGTCTCAGTTACCGTTGAACCCTCCTCTCTTACGCTAATCAATGCTGGGTCTCCTTTCTCGAACCTGGCAGTTCTTTGAGCAGTGCACTTTTATTGTACCACACTGGTCGTAATGGTATGTCCCATCTCGCAATCAATTCGTCTCCTCTAACCTCAATTATCGTTCTAATCTATCGATAGTTTTAGCGCCCTTCTCACCAGTCTGGACGTCCGATTCGGACGGTCCGATCCGTCCATAAGGCTGTCAGAGATATCAAAGAGCTCCAAGCCGCTCTTGAGAGCCACCGAAGGGAGTTGGAAGCCGCCAAGGTCATCGTTTCCAGTGCCAATGAAGAACCTGATCTACAGGGCGACAGTCGTATCACGAAAGCTGTCCAACACGTCGGTGTCAGTACCACCGCTGTACAGGAGCATCTCGACTCCCTTGGTAGGCGGTCTCGCTATCGGAGGATCCGGAATCAGCTGCTACCAGGAGCCAGAGAGAAAGAGACACTCGACACACTGATGCATTACCGAAAATGCGAATCGCCCTGTTGACCCATCGAATGATCAGAGACGCAAATCACGCATCACAAATAATCGGGCTAATGGAAAAGTTTCATGATGAATGTTTTTGATGGGCCATCCACTCACAATTGGCATGGAGCCATCGACGAGGTGCTGATTGACAAGAACGAGATTGAAGATCAAGCAGTTATGTTGAACTACGCAACGACAATTGGCACCCTGAACCACATGGCAGACGAAATTATACGCAAGATACAAGGAAAGATGAGACGAAATTCTGTAAACAGCAGTAGGGAATTCAGAGATACAATGGCAGTCCTTCCATAAGGTCCAGTGAAGTCTAATGCGATGGTTGAGAGAAATTCATTGAAGTCTATCTAGACTGTCCGAGCTGCCGCATCGGAAGCCAATATTATATCAGAGCCCGGCAATTGATCACTAACATGTTGACTTACCAGACGCTTCGATGCTTTCTAGTGCCTAAAACACGCCCTACAATACGCCCTTCAATAGGTACGCCTTTGAGCTGACAGGCCCCCACTCAACTTATTGCCCCACATTTCCCAGAATCCCCCGCAAACCAAATCTATCTCTCTCGATCCTTTTCACTCTTTCAAACTCAGACATCAATATTCATTCAGCGTCATGGAAGCCTACATTCGACCTCTGTCGGTCCGTGATCTGGACCAGTGCGTTACTGTTGAGACTACAGCTTTCCCGCCAGAGGAGGCAGCGTCTCGTGAGAAGGTTTGTTCCCCCTCAAAGCTTGTCAACGACTCGACCGTGAACCAAATACATCACTGGCTTGTTTGATCTCACTCGCCTTTTCTATCGTAATCTTCTCTTCTTATCACAGGCTTTTAATCGTCCAGGCTGACTTGAAAGTGCAGATTGAATACCGGTTGTCTACGTTCCCAGAGATTTGTTTTGGGCTCTTCCTCCGAGGAGAACTCAGTCAGCCCGCCAAATTACCGGATAGCATTTCCTACCTTGCGGAGGCGCCAGTATCTGAGGATGCCAAACTTGTTGCTCACACTCTAGCTACGAAGTCGGCTAGCCGGGTTGTGAGAGATAAGGATATGGAGATGCCCAGCGCGTGGAAGACCAATCCTCAAGCTGGGTCTGAGCTGGGTCATGACCCAAACGGCAGAACCATCGCGCAGCACGCGCTCGCTGTCTCGCCAGGTTACCAAAATGCTGGCCTAGGCAAGGCTATAATGAGGTCTTACATCACTCGCATGAAAGAGGCCGGCCAAGCAGACAGGATTTCACTCTTGGCGCATGATACCCTCGTCCCTTACTACGAAAGCCTCGGATTCACAAACCTCGGCAAGAGTGAGTCGGCCTATGCTGGAGCTACGTGGTACGATCTGGTATGTTTGCATTCTCTGTTTTTACACGGCTTATTGGTCATTAACCGGATATCAGGCCTACGAGTTTTCTCCCTCTTCTGCCGCATCCGCGTAAGGCAATCACGGGCTTAATCCTGAGTCACTACGTAGAACCATGACTACATGTCTATACTACGAATGGTGCTACCAGGCTAGTCTAGATGATAGATCTCTGTAAAATCTACGATAAAATAGTGCTAAGAACGACTACCAGGTAGTAAAAGAGACATGTAAAGAAAACGAAGACCCAAAAATGTTCACTGATCACTGAACATGACATACGTATGTAGGACTATAATAGAAATTTTTCACCAAGATCTTGATTCTAAATCATCAGGATCAAGCATAACAGTATCCTCGCATCTCATAACTGTCTGTTCCTTCCAGCATACATATAAGTCAACATTAGAATATCAATCAATGGAGGTTTCATGAAACTCACTCTGAATTCTCTAATTAAATTATACCTTTGTTTTTCTGATTTTCAGGTTTCTAGTATGTCGAGCAGCTCGCCTTTTTTAGCTCAAATTGCGACATCTCAAATAAGCGCAGGTATGGTCGGGCCAAATCGGAACACGTCAGTCGCAGGCATGAGTCATATTAGTTGGCAAAGGATCCTTAAAGTGTGGCTTCACGGCGAGACTGGCTGGTCCTATTTACTTTGGGACAAAACTCAATGTCTCAATTACTGTCCAAATGGCATCCGCTTACAGTTTAGAACAGCTCCAACAGTTCCTAACTCACATCGGTTTACCTGAGCGCCTCCGCCATGAACCGCCTTCGTTGAGTCTTTTAAAGGCTTTACATGTGCACACCCTATCAACGCTTCCATATGAGAACCTTTCACTTCACTACAATGCCGCTCATCAGATTGAGCTAGACCCTCAACATCTCTTCCGAAAGATTGTAACAGATAACCGGGGTCGAGGTGGATTTTGCATGGAAATCGCCATCCTCTACAACCACATTCTCCGGGCTATCGGCTTCGATGCTTATACTGCGGGTGTTAGGACGAGGGGAAGGCTTGAGGGCGTTCCGCGAGGAGACTATCCCGGCTGGTAAGTTTCTATTCATCCAGCTTAAGAATATAGTACTAACTTTTCCACAGGAACCACATCGTCAACATAATTACTTTCCCCGACGGTAGCAAATACCATGCTGATGTTGCATTCGGGGGTGATGGCGCATTGTTTCCAATGCCTCTTATCGACGGCTTGGTCCATCAGAATCTAGGAACCCAGCAAATCCGATTAGTCCGAGACTGGATCCCTCACCAGGTGCATCGAGCTGAAGATACAAAGCTATGGATCTACCAATACCGAAACGGCGTCGACAAAGACTGGAATTCGTTTTACTCCTTCCCGGGGATCGAGTTCTACGCATTAGACTGGGGCGTCGTCAACTTTTGGATCGGAGCGCATCCCGACAGCCATCAGAGATTCAACATGCTGACCATCAAGTTTCTTCGGAGGCTGAAGGAGGGTGAAGGTAACAAGGACGAATACGAGATCTACGGCAAGCGGATGCTCGTCAACGGTGTGGTAAAGGAAAACCTAGGCGGCAGGACTCAGGTCGTTGCGAAATGCAAGTCAGAAGCGGAACGGGTAGAGGCATTAGAGAGGTACTTTTCCATTGTGCTAGAAGCAGATGAAAAGCAAGGCATCCGAGGTTATTTTTCTGAACTCCGATAGATCATGGTAGGAAGTGTGCAAAGTCGATAGCAACCTAAACAATTGGTTGTTGTTGAGTCTTGAAGAAATCCCAGGTAACTCCGTCGTGCTTCGTTTCCACCAACGATTTTCCATCACTCCCCACGTTCATCCTCCACAGCTCATTCCCGTGTCTCATCAAGAGCTCGTATCCCCCCTTCTGCGGGTGCGGCCGCACGCAGAAGTACTCGTGGGGATAGTGATGACTGACTTTTGCGATGAACTTTTTTTCCCCGTCGTGGCCGATGTAGGTCCCCGATACGCAGTTGCGGAACCCCAGCCATCCCTCCTTCTCCACGCATCGCCAGTGAGACCCTCCAGGGGCGGTGACGCCTTCGCACAGCTGCAACTGTCCGTCGACAAGAGCAATGGCCATTCCGTTCTCTCGGTTTCGAATGACGAATACCTCGTCAGGGCCGGGCACCGCCTCGGTCACAATTGTGTCGTGGCCACCCTCGGCGATGGTAGATGGAGTTGGTGTGTTGCGGCCGTCGCCATCAGTTGTTGATACCGTGGACATGGTGTCGCAAAAATCCAGGTCTTTACTCATTGTGTTGATCCAATTGATGGGGGTATTTTGATATGTTCGGTGGGTAAGGGTGAGGCGGAGTTAGAAGCACTCCAATTCGATATGTTCCAGTTCATGAAAATTGAAGAGTAGTTCGTAACGCAATAAGTAATGTCCACGTCACCCTTAAAGCAGCCAAGTAAGACCCCGCTCTGGTCAAATGGCGGTCTGAGAGTATCCGCAATCCGGTGTAATTAGAATGGAAAGCAAGCGACAAAGAACAGCCAGGGGAAATTATCCTTTTTAAGCAGAGAAATTATGAGTCCAGTGAGATATACCAGAGGCTCTGATTTTTTTATGCGCCTGCAGCCTCGTCCTGCGCAGTGGCGATGATAGAACGGATATAAATTTCGGGTATATCAAGCTCTAGGGTAAGTGCCTGCAAACTGCAGTGTACCATGTGCCCGTACTGCAAGACGTCTCAGTCTCGAGTTCAATTGACTTGCCGCTATTTTTCGCTATCGTCAAAACAGAGAACTGTAATTCTGGGATGGCGCTCTGCCATGGTCAAAGATAAGAGTTGGTGCTACCGTTGTGCTGAACCATAACATGGCAACTGTGGGCTGACAGACGGCATCACGCCGGCTATTGGCAATGGAGCCAACCAGAGCGGTAGAAGGGAGTGAACTGTGCCGATGCATACTGTGTTTAGCTAAGATATCCCATTAAATTGACCAATATGGTATTATCTCTCTGTGCTTGTCTTGACAACCTCATTTCGGATGCCCATAGTCTGGTTCATCACATCTGTAAGAAGCATCAAATGCGGCCTTGGTCCAACGCAGAAACCACATGTTCTGATAGTATCATACGTGGTAGAATTATCAGCTAACTTGCATTAGTAATGCCAGATCTGACAGCTCTGAATCCTCGCCATGAGGGCGAACCGGAAATGGCACTCTCTGGTGGATGTAACTGAGTGAGCACAAGGGGTCAGGTGCAGCATTGCGACTCTGCGGTGTCACACAGCGGCATGCTCGCTCTCAGGCACAGGGTCGAGCGTTCGACTGCATGAAGCAGAGGAACAATGGATGGAAGCTGCCGAGTTATCCCGGGTGGTAAGCCATCGCACACCAACTCTGCTTCGTACGACGGCGGACATTGTCTGCCTTTGCAACTCCGTGGTCACCCGGCCCGCGGGGCCATGCTCTCCGTGGTCGACACCCCCCAGGCTGCAGAGACATTGGGGCTGCGGTCACGAGTCGTCCAGCGGGCTCGTGACTGAGCGCGGACAGCCTACATATCAGCAACATGTCGAACCCCTTCTCCCGGACGTTCCACCTGTCCAATACGAAGCGGCGCCGATGCCCTTGGCGACAGAGAGTCCCATGCCGAACATGCAGTCGGGTTGCGGAAGAACAACAGGACCCTTTGACAAGCCACGGCCCAGGCCTCGACCACCCCGACCGCCTCGAACATGATCACCAGCTAGCCCGGTCGTCGAGCTCTCAAAATAGCCCCTCCAAAACCCGTTGCGACCAGATCCGCGGCAGCCGAGCGGCTTGCTACCTCGAGACCGGAGCCAAGAACTGCCCGGCGGCCGAGCAATGGACAGGCCGGCGAGTCTAGACCCGTCCAACGGCCCGCCACCGAACAAGTCACAATGAAGCCAGCACCAAACCAGAGTCCCATTTCCCAACCCCCAGTCTGGATCGCACCGCGCAGAATAAGCCGAGGGCGTCCCGTTTGATGCCTGGGCCGCCAAGACCTTCACAGCGCTGTGGCTCAGGGCACGCGGACATGCGGCAGTGGTCTGGACCCTTGGCCCGTGTCGCCCCGTAATCAACAGAACCGCCAGGGCCTGCGTTGGTATTCCCGAGGCGTTCCCAGGGATCCCGGGGTTCCCAGGCGTCTGCAGCTGAGTCGAGGGTGAGGTCGCAGGGGACGGAGAAGGGCGCGCGCACAGTCCAGTCCAGTGAGGCGCTGCAACGGCCAAGCAAGCAAGCGTAGGTGGTGCGGCGTACTCCGTCCGTCGTGCTTGGTCGTACTGGAGGTGCTGTTGCGCGTCGACAAGGGGGGTTTGATCAATTGCGACCCCGAAACCGAACGGTTGCGAAACGCCACGACGCAATATTGCACGCCAAGCATGACCTTCTGGAAGGTCATGCACTTCGCTGATGTTGGCCCCCGGCAGAAACGACGCTGCACACACCGGGGTCTGCATAAGAAATACGGAATACGGTCATGCTGGGAGTTCCTTTCTGGGCAACGTCTTAGCCTGCGCTTACTGAGATGTGAATGATGGTGTGAGCAGCCCTCCAGACGTTTTGTTCCATTTTCGCTGTCGGTGTGAGATGATCAGCTTTGAAAGACGAAGCAACGCGCCGATAAAGGGGAAATCTCTTTCGGCCATCATGCTTATCACACGCGAATGCCTATTCTGGCTAATTCCCAGCCTTGACCCTTGTCGTATCTCTGCGAAAATCAACCAAAGTGTCCTAGGCCCTAAAACGATAGGGTCGAAGACGATAATTACCCGTCGCCGCACGTCCCAGACGGCAGATGCATACCAAGGTTGTCTAGGGCCGCTGAGCTTGGAATGGTTATTTCTATCTTTGTCCCCTTGCCGTTTAGGGCATTTTTGTTAATGTCACGTTGCATAGCTCCGTAGTCCGAGGCCGCGACAGGAATATCGTTAAGGCAGTAGGTTTGTTCTTCTCGACCGCAAATAGAACTGGAGTGGTATGAAGGCGAACCCCGAATCTCAGACCATGGTGCCACATTCTCGACACATGGGAGTCTATATTAGATCGATCTGGAGTAAATGTCAATGTGCAATATCAGCCCATACGCGCACGTACGGGACCATCAACAAAGCCATGCGCATTGACAGTCCCCAATGGCTCTTTCAAGCGCCACTATGTCCAAGCTGGGGTCTCGGTGGGTTGTGAGTCCGTTTGACATTGAGCCGGACGGCGTGAAGAGCTCGACGTTACGCGTTCGACGTCGGGATTGGGGGAATGATCTCGAAGCCGTTCCTGAGACTGCTGCCCTTCCGAAGCGGGCTCTACCCTTCTAGAAGCATACAGCCCCGGCTAGTCTCTCGAACACGTGTGAGTGCAGATAATCTGACACAGGGGAGAATGTGGGGACCGGATATCTCCTTGGCTCGACGGAGGAATAATCTCCATCGTAGCCAACGTCCGCCCTGACCCAGAGTCCCGAAACCTCATCTAGACCAAACACGCCAAGAAACGTAACTAGATCCGTTGTAGCAGGCAAACTGGGCCTCGATTGAGTTAGCCCCAAATAGGGGTCCAGCATCTAGACAAAATCGTCTACTCTCATCCAAATTGGGGGCGATGACTCTCTGGCCAGATGTAAACCCGTGCAACGGTTTCGCCAGGGTCGCAATAAATGTCAGGCATTTTCCAGACGTTCGTCTGCGGGTCACGGATCGTTCTAGCTTCCCAGGCGGGGCTAGGAGTGACATTCAACTTTGGCGAGCGTGAGCTAAATTCCGGAGGGCTGAGGGATCGAGGGACCGAGAATGGATACGATTACCACTGAGGCGGCACAGCAACGTAGTAATTCTGCACCAAGGCCACGTTTGTCAGCATGCAATCATGACATGGTCAGCTTGGCTGCAGTTTGCAGCAGCATTTGTAAACCGCCTACAGGAACCATCTCCCTTTGCAGTTGGTCCCTCCGTGACCTGCTAGGCCGCTTGGCACAGCTTCGCACAGCATCAATAAGGCAGAGGATTTCAGGGTCGTGAGGGTCTTGATAGGGACAAGGCCGTGGAGGGTTGGGATGATGCTTTGACGCGGTCGCGGCCATTGGCCAGTAAAGTGCTTGCTCGGCCGACGAGATGGAAGCCCTGCCAAGAAGCGGCCGCTGAAGGTCTAGACCTTCCGACCCTGATAGCCTTCGGGTGTTCATGGCCGGAGTCGTCGGGTCGGCGAGCGAGCGAGGGAAAATTCCGTGCCTCGCTGCGCAAAAAGGCCGCTTGGCTTCCTGAAGTGACAACACAAAGTGCGCAGTCGGCCAAGGGAACCCGTCCCGTCATATCCGTCGTCGGGACGCGGCATCTCAAGCCAAGCCCACCAGACCAGACACCGTTAATATTATGTACCTACATAACAACCCAAAGAGGATCTGTCGGTGAGGCTGATCCATTGACACCTGATGGAACAGCTTTGTTCTTGGAAAGTTCTCGCCCGGGCTCGGCTCCGGCGGGACCTGGAACTGGATTGCAGCATCGTGGAGATGAAACAAGAAGAGCCGCCTGGCGATCGTGTGGCGAATCTCTCTCACCGCACAACGCCCAAATAACAGGGCAGCATTCTGCGCAAGTGCCTGACCTCGACCAGCATCGAAAGTTTGGCAGGTGGATCTGGCTGTCGTGGCGTTGATCTCGATTAAAATATTCAATCATGCCGCCTGGAGCAGAGTTTTGACTCACGGACTAGCGGTCGAGACGCTACAATGGATCCTCGGTGCCGACGATGCGTCAAAGAGCTTCAGGGACGACAGCAGATTATTAGTTCGATGTAGAAAGGGTGTGCAATGAGAGCCATCCTAGCACACTTGGGCTAGCTTGTGAAGGCCAGCGCGCGTCTGACCGGTGTCATAGGACGGAAAGCCGCTTGGCACCAGTTTAAAACGGTTTGGTGACGCAAACCATCGAGGCATCGACGGCCAATCGAGATGGAGGCGAATCATACCAGTCGATGCTAAGACTCTGGACGAGACGAACATCAAACAAGACTTTCTGTCACATCTGTCAATCGAAATCCCTGGGACCCCACCGTTCGCACTGCTTATCGGCACCGTCCACTCTATTTCTGCAACGGAGTACACGTATCACTGAGTTCAGACGTGCGTGCCAGCAGCTGCTGAGGCCAAGAGTCCGCGCGGACGATCACTCCGGAGAAGTCGGACGATCCCAGATGGATGAGCCACAGACACGCGCGAATCGGCGCAGCGCTGAACGGACTGGCACGTGGGATGCGTTTACCTGGGGTCTGCGACGTCAAGGGATTCCGAGAAGGGTTGTGATGTGCGCTCGGTTGGAATCAGCGATAAGACGGCCCTCAGTAGGTGAGTGTTGCTTGTTGCGTGGACGATTGCATCATGGCTTCAGATCCAGATCGAGAATGCGACATCGCAGCGATGAGCAGACGAGGATGACGAAGGTCTCATCTGATGACAACAGACATGAGACAGCGGGAATTCTGGTTGTCGCCCGTTGAAACACTCTACTGCTGCAGACCTTGGCCAGTGGAAAAGAGAGCATGACGTGACTTGATGGCAGCGGATGTCCGCAGTCTTGAATTTATTGCTAGAGCGGCTGCATCGATCGAGATCTTGTAGATGCCAGGGCGACCCAGGTGGGACAAAGGGCCGGTGAAGCAAGAGTCGTAGACGTCAATGTCGGGCACAAAACCGGACTCTGCAGCGCGAGAGCCGGGGAGTTCAAGGCGGGGGGCACAGATTGGTAGGGTTGCATCTGGCCATCCTGGCGATTCTACGAAAATTCCATGGAATGTCCAGATATGTCCAAAACACCAAGGGGTTTCGTTTCTTCCGGGACGGTGCAGATGCAGACGCAGTCAGGCAAAAGGCTGAGCGCTGACGGCGTCGCGGCATCAAACCAAAATAGGCACTTCGTGTCCAAATCCATAACTTGTCGCCACAAGCTTTCTGCGACTGTGCAGCGGGTTGGGGATAGATGAGGGGGCCCCGTCGCACCAACGAGCACCCACGGTAACAAACTGAGGGTGTAGAATACAGTGGCTGCGCTGGCTCCTTGCTGCTGGCTGCTGGCTGCTGGCTGCTGGCTGCTGTCATCATATCATCCACCACCCAGCGTTTGCATGTGGGAAGCGAGCTGCTATTCCGGGGAGCTGAGGGCCGCTGTACGGGAAATTGGCAGGGTCATCAAGGAGTCGCCGATGGGGCTAGGCCGCTTCGGGCGCTGGTCGTGAATCTAAAACCGCCGAACGAAACAAGGGGCCCTTGGACAGCTGGAGCTGCCTGGAACCTGGCTTCCAGGCGTCGGTCAGTGAGTGGCCAGGCGCAGTGAACAGCCAGCCAGCAGCGTGTTACCAAAAGGCAGCAGTTTAAGGACCAATCACAGGGCGCCAGCTAAATTACGGGAAACGGGGCCCTGTGCAGCCCGTCTTGCCCGTTCCAGCCGTCCATTTCGCATGCCTCTCCGTATCTGCGCCCTCGCGACTCCGTACCCCCGACAACTCCGTTCTGAGGCACCGCTCAGCGCATAAGCCCGCTTCTGCTCACCGAATATGCAGCAATCGCGGCCCTCCGTGGGTGTGCCTGGCCGGGCTGTCAGGGTCAGCAGGGCGCGGTGAGTCATCACTTGAACAGCCACGGCCGTGCAATTATCAAACTTTGGAATCGTCGTCCGTCTAAGCGTCTAGGTTGAGTAAAAGAAATTCAATGCCAACAAACCTCGAACCCACCCGTGGCTCGCCCAAATGTCGCGTAGCTATTGGGCATTAGCTCAGAATGGTGATTTTCAATGTCCCGGAGCCATTGATTTCATGTTGGCCGTTTATGCGGTGAATACATAGTGTTCCATTGGCTGATGGCATCTGTTTTCAATGTCTTCTTTCAATGCCGTGCTGTGGCGGACGCGCATGCATCGTAGGCAGCCGATTATATGCTCCTACGTATTACTTTAGGTACCTCCCTGCTGCGCTCTATACAGGGCGATCCCAGAGCACAGAGCACTCTGTTGAAAACCCAGCCCAACGGTTCAGGCCCTCATCAACAATAAACAAGACAGGGTCCAGGCTCGTTAATTGTCAGCCTGATGGCAAAGGGTCCAACCACCAAAGCCCAAGCGGAAATCACCAAAAATTCTTTCGCGACGCCGAATGTCCGTGGGCCGGCGTTGCATTGAAAGGTCCGTCCCGAGAGGCCGGGCAGCATCCGCCCGTCAGGCCCCGTCGGGCCCCGTCTTGCACTCTAGCCAGCAGGGAAGTTGCCTGCTGCGACCCCTGTGGCGACAGTGACATTGAGGCTTTCAGGCTCCCAAGGCGCATTCAAAGCCCCGGGGGGACGCGTTGGTGTTTTCTGGAGTACAGCACCGCCAAACCTGGAGAGAAAAAGAAGGTTGCCGTACCGTTGGGCTGGACGTACTGCGCGGGTTTCCATTCGCGGGCTCCGCACAGCCTCGACGAGTGGGAATTTGGCCGAACTGTCAATTCACAAAGGGCGAGACATTCAGCTGGCGACAGCCTTTTGGACAATGTCGTTGGCCGTGGCTGGCGTGAAACATGCAACCCAGGTTCCAAGCCCCCCATCACGCATCTGCGATCCCGCCAATCTGCGTGCTTGACAGGACGGGTGACAGGATGTCACTATGTCACGATGGCTGCTGTTTCCGCCGGAGGTAGATGACACTAAACTGCTCGGGTTGGACGGCTCAGATCATTGACGACGACGTTGCTCAGAGGCGCGGCCGCACACTCGCCGACGTTCTGCGAGAAAAAGGCTTTCGGCCTCGGACATGGTTCGGCGCCTGGAGTGCCAAGCCTCGAGATTTCGCATGCTCAGACGCCGACATGTCCGTCATCCCTGCGCCGCTGCGCTGCGCTGCCCTTTCCTGTCCAGTCCCAGCCTTTGGTTCAGTTCCGTCTTTCTTCTTCTGGCCTTGTCCAAAGGCGGCACCCCCGTCGACTCACTTCACCTCGCCAACAAAGGGCCAACGCAACAGGTCCAAGCCACTGGGGAAACAATTTGCTGAGGCTCGCCGCAGCAGGAAGGTTCCCGTCCGGCGGACACGGGGGACCCGGCGCAACAACAACAACAAAGCTCGCAGCAACCCGTAGAAAGCTTGTCGTTAGCGGTCAACATGGCTCTTCCCGAGAAGCCCGTTTAGTGAGCATAGTTTGTGGTTTGTAGTGTCCGGAGCAGCCTGCATCGGCGGTCGGCAACGTGATGTGCGCGTTATGTCCGGCCCTTCTCTCTCGTCGTCAGCGATAGAGTGCCGGACCCGAAACCACGCCGCCGAAACAGCCGGGCGCTTCCAGTAGAATGGGACTCCAGTAGAAGTGCGTTTCCCAACAACCTGGCCGGCCCAGCAGCAGCAGACTCATCCGGGGAGCGGATGAAATGTCAAGTGCGCTGAGCAACGGGCTGACGGGGCTGGCTACGAGCACGCCTGGTGACTTGGCTTGGCTTGGTGACCTGTCTTGGTGGCTCTCCTGGTGACCTGTCCACGACGCCGGTCCAGTTCCGCATAGATGCATACGTGGTACGCAAGCCCTTCGAAACGGAGCGGAGACGGAGACGGGAGAGACGGCCTTCGCCTGGCGTACATCTCGATGTTGCATTGGAGCCCCAGCACACACGCCCGCCCGCGCCAAGACGCTTCATCGCCACACGCCCTGCTTGGCGCATCTCGCATTCGCACGCCCACGCTTCGTCTTCGGCCTCCGCCCTCTCCGCCAAGGTGCATGCGACGGTGCATGCGACCCGCGCAAGCCATCGCCCATCCCACATTCGCATCCCCCAGCCTGGGCCTTTTGGCTGGGTGGGCGTGCCCTGGCTTTAAGACACGACCGCTGCTGATCCCTACGCCGTCCTGCGCACTCCCCTCGAAACCACTTGCACTCGTCGTCGATCTGGCTCTCGCTCCTCAGCACCAAGCACAAAAACAAACCAGACCCTCTTCTAGGCCGCACCCCCTTTCCCCCGTCTCTCTTCCCTTCACCTTTACTTGAATCATCATCCAAGACCTCATCCCTCCAAGCTTCAAGCTCCACGCCAGCAAACACGCCCCTAGAGCCGTCCGACGCTGCACGCCTCAAATACACGCCGTGCCCACTGCACCCAACACCAAGACCCTTCAATCTTCCATCGTTGAAAAACCACCTTCAGCCCAGTGCTCCTGCAACCAACACGGACTAAGCCTCAGCCACCTGCAGACCCGTGCTGCGTCTTCGCCCTGTTCAATTTAATCCAGCGCACACCCTGGTCGCTCTTGCAAGCCCAGGTCTAGTCAGCCAAGCCCAAGCCAGCACATCCCCATCCCGTCCCCTGACGTGGGAAAGATATAATACATCCGCCATGCCCTCCTCCAGCCGCCCGCACTACGACACTTCGTCTTCATCTTCCGCCTCCGACTCAGACTTCTCTACCGACTCTGCCTCTGCCACCGGCTACAGACACAGCATGGACTCCGTACAACTCCCCATCGCCTCGGTCGAGGTGCTTCGCTGCATGCGATGTGCCCGCTCCGTCGAGGCCACCTCCACCGACGACATCACCGCCATGGGCATGGTCCGCATCGCCCACAACCTCTACTACTGCGAACGCTGCGCCAAGATGGTCGGTTACAAGTAAATGAGCCGCCGTCGCGGTGGCCACTTCCATCGAGTCGACGGGCCTACGGGCTTTCGCATGTCACTTGCACAACTTATCTTACTTGGAGCACCTGCAACATCTTTGACTCGACAGACTGGACACTATCAACATCTCCCATTCATCACCAACAAACCCCACCGGCGCATCGGACGCCTGCGCAACATGGAGCGTACAACCCCCCGTCCTGTTCAATGAACGGATGAACCAAAGAGGATTTGCTCTTGCTCTCAAGTCTCTTGACCTGAGCAGAGCACTTACTCAATCCTTGTGGATAGGCACCCCCCGGCCAGCCGGCACCTCGCCAGCACTTCACGGCCACCACAAAACACCGGCACCGAATCCGAATATTTCCCCAAATACTTGGAGCCGACGTCTTGCGCCGCTACGACGCGTTGCCTGGGTCGATTGCCAGGCACCGGGTTGATTGGGTGCGGCATGTCCGGGATCAGGGCTTCGTCAGCCTCCGGATCAGCAGTCCAGCCTCTTGCCAGGCTGCCACCCGCAGGCGGGACATCACTGCCTCTGCAACACCACACCACAGCCCCAGAAGTTCCAGCACGGGAATTATTCGAACGGATTGCCGGATAGAGGCTTGACCCCATCGCCCACAAATCCACTATACCCTCATGTACAATTTTTTATTATTATTTCTCTCATCACCCCATACAATATCATCATGCACCTTCATGTTACCTTGCGTTTCTCGCAGCCGGCCATCCCATATGGATGCGCCCTGACTATCCCCGTTGGATGCCTCACAGCCACCGGTCTGTGCTGTGCAGTCTGAGACGGACCTTGCTCCGCCGACGCCCATTGGTTGTCTCGGTAGTATTTGAATCTAAATCACCTTTTACTTTGACTCTTGCTCCGTTCCTGTTCCATTCCGTCGTCTTCTGTGTGGGTCCCAGCTTGACATTCCATGTGCTCAAAAGCCAAAGCTCCAGTCAACAAAGCTCCATGTGCCTCGTAGCCTCGGCCAGATCAGATCATCATCATGAATTCACGACGCCGCACCCGCGACGAACCGCCGCAGCGCCCTAGCCGCAACCTCCCCCGTTGGGTTGTGCGTCAAGGTCAGGGATCCGGCGGTTTTTCCATTGCATCGCGGGTGCGCGGATTGGACGGCCAAGGCGCGCAGTATGCGACCTGCTCTCCCACTGCACGACCACCTCAAAGAAAAACAAGGTGCATGCAGCCGCTGACGTCGGGCGTTGGGGTCCAGACGCGCCCCTCTCTCCCATCCGCGCACTTCCACTACGTACGAATTGGGCGGGGGGGGGAAGAGAGGCTGTAATGCTATGCTACGCGAGGGCATGCCGGCGCGGAATTTGCTCTCGAGGGAGGACGACATTCCGCATCCGGATGGAGGGCATCTAGTTTGCTGGCTTTCCCATTCTCTCGGACATTATCATCAATTTGGCCATCGGGGCTTGAGGCCCTGGCCTGGTTTTCTTTTCTTTTCTTCACTATGACCCCTGCTTCTTCCCAATGATGCTCCACCCAAAGTGATTTTTTTTTCTTCTTTCCTTTTTGTGCTGGTCAAAACAAATCTGGTGGAGCCTCGTCGTCAAAAACGGATGGGGTTCTTTTCAAGGTCTCGACTGGGTCTGGGTTTCGCATTGTGGGCATAGGTTAAATGGGCATTTGGCATTTTAGCATTTTTTTTTTTGGGGCGCATGGACCAGGCTGTACTGGGAATGGCATCATTGTATGACCAAGCTGTGCGGCGGGAGCTGCTTACACCATGTAGACAATGTAGAAGACCGAAGTCATCGATTCTCTTTCAGCCATTGTCCAACCGCTCGCTGTCGCCTGTCACTTTTTGCGCGCAATAATTACGGGCAGACGACATGTCCCGCGTCAGGCGGCAGGCATGTGCCATGGCCATCTGTGCCGGCGCCATCTGCACGATGCAACGGCACGCTGCACGCTGCGTCCCATTGCTGCTCTAGCCAACCCCAGCGTGCAGGTGACGGCATCGCGACAATTGTTGCTGGTCTTAGTCAGGATAGCCGACGAGGACAGGAAATGGGTCTTGGTTTCCCACCAATTCCCATCCCTAAACCCTCGCCCCCAGCCCGTGAAAGCTCGACCCGCAGCAACGTCCAGCGCGGGATTGGCTGGCTAATCTATCTAGCCCGAGAAAGAAAGTCTGAGTTGTTTGGTCCTGGATCTAGGCTGGCTGTTACTTCACACGGCTGTGACGAATCGGCCGCGGCATCATCGACTCTGACTGGAATGCTCGCGTGCATGTCTCATGGCGTTGCCGCCACTCCAGCACGCCGCCGAATGCTAAGTCGTTAGGTTTTACCTCTTTTCTTTTCCTGTAACCGACTTTCCCGCCTCATCGACGCCTGAAAAACGAAGCACTTGAATGTGCAACGAATGGAGGAGGGAGGGGCATGCTAGGTCGGTCGCTTAGACTGCCGCCAGCTACGACGAGGGCCCACGCTTCATAAAGTCCGCCCACGGATAGGTTTATATCCGCGCCGCAATTGTTCGTACTGGTCAAATTGCACAACCCGTGGTCTCTCGTCGGGCGCCTTACTAATAAGGTACGGGCTACGTGCGAAGGCGTTAGAGCCGATCGAAACCCGGACTGAAAGGAGCAAAGACCCTTGGAAGCCCGACCTTTCGGCTCCGGGCCCCTATTCGGCCACACCCCCCTTGCGGGCTCAATTGGGCGGTGGCTGAGGGCCCGGCGCGGAGCCAGCAAGGACGAATGACGATGTTACGTAGCAGTGGTCGGGAGGTTAAGTTTAGCAGCCACGGATACGGCAGTACGCAGTACGAAGCGCAATTGGGCTCGGACACTTCAGGGCCCGGGGTTGCCTTGATTTCGTTTGCGACACCGAGGCTGTCAGTGTTTCAAGCCGTCTTTTGTTTACTTTTTCGGTTGTGTTGGTCATTTGCCATCATGATATGATGTTTGCTTTCTCTAGTCCAAGCCCGGGTTAACCCGAGTGCGGGAGGGAGCGCTGAGCTGTCGGTCTCAATTGCGGCGTCGTGTCGTGCCGTGTCGTGCTGTCATGTTTCGCAAGGACGGCAGCGCCATCTACGTGTGAGTGTGTGTCTGGTGTTTCGTTTCATTTGTTTCAATCGGTCTGAAAATAGACGGGCCAGGGGTGGAGAACAGGGCAGAACAGGGCGGTACAGTAATAGCACCAGCCGGGGTCTTGGCCTTGGCCTTGGGAGATGGGATGGCATTGGGAACAGGGTTGCGGGGGGCCTGAGGGTGCAGATACGAATCAGCCCTCACGCTCGCCTTGACTTGAAGGGCACAAAACAAAGCAAACAATAAGGCGAGCGCAAACGCGGGCTCGGGCTCTTTGTCGGGGAGGCGCCGTGTTAGCACCGAGTCCTCGCATGTCAGACCATGGGATTTCTGAGAATGCGGCTGGCTGGACATGGGAAAGCAAGCCACTGTCTCAGTTGCCTTGTCCAGGCAGGCCGTGTCCCGCGAGCTCATCTCATCGGCGGCCCGGGACTCAGACATCGGGGCTTCGGCATTGGTGTTTGCCATGAGACAGACAGGCCGGATCGTCAGTGTCCCGGCATATATGCTATGCATGTCTTATTGAATCCCACGGCTTGGCCTAGGCATTGGTGACGGGCGTGTCTTGCCTGGCGCACTACTTCACTCCAGCTGTCCACCGAGCGCCCTCACCGGTCTCGACTCAGACCGACAACAGGATTCGGCACCCGCCATTGTCCGTGATCCTCTCCGCGACACCAGAAACTCTCGTGCCAGAGCAGTCCGGCTGCCGTGTCTTGCGCAAATGGAACCTCACGGGCCAATCCGGGCGCCCTTCGGCCCGGGGTCCGGATAGCCTTTTGGCGCAGGTTTCCCTTGGCATCTGTGGTGGCTATTAGGGCCGCCCCCCACAAGTTGCATGACCGCTTCTTCCCACCGAACGCCTGCGACACGGGCGAGAAGCACCCTGTTTTTTCTTGCTGCCGTCTGTGGTGGTTGTGGGCTCGTCCCCCATTCAGGCTGGAGTAGCCTACACGCACGTCGATGTCATTGAACGGGGGGCGTGCGGGAGCCAGGACGGGTGGGCGGGCGGACGACTGGGGCTAGCGACGCTATGACGTCGAAGACTCGGCGCCTGTCAAGACTATCGACGATTGCAAACCAGCCCCCTGGAACGAACCGTGATAGACGGTGATACGGAATTGCGGTTAAGGCCATAAACTTCGCCTGGGATACGGATGACAGGTGAATCGAGCGTGGGTGATAGTCCTCCGTGGGTGAGGGGAGTTTGTAGCGGTGGAGATTGCCGGGAGATCATCACGAAGATCGACTGCGAGGTTCAATTTAACGACGAAACAATTACCACCGCTTCCAATTGATTGATTAATTTACTCTCCACCAGTGCACATCACTCCAACGGCTTGTCTTATCGGCGCTCACTCCCCAAACCGTGGCCCCCAGGCCTCGTCCATGCTGCATGCGCCAATTTCAACCTCCCCCTGCCACTGCGAATGCCCTCAACCACGTATCCAATTCTTCCGTCCGTTCTATTCCCCGTCGTTCTATTCCCCGTCCGTCCTGCATCCGTCATCCCCTGCCGTCCAACCCCTCCGACCGCCGTCCCACCCGTTGTGTCGTCATCCCGCCGTCGCAGCACCGCTGACCTCATCGCGCATACCCCTCTCCCCCGTCCGCGTCGCAGACCGGCCCAACGACGGACACAGTAAAGTGTCCAGTGGTGTCCACCCCTGAACCAAGCGAGTGCAGCGGATGGACGACGCGCCGTGACGGCCCAGGACGCGGACGGGCGGCGGTCTGGCGGGGGGGTGTGGACCTGCCGTGGGGGGTGAGGGCGATTGGTGAGTTTGAGGGTGAAGGTGACGATGAGGCTGAGATTGCGTAGTTGAGGTGTGTGCGACATGCTGCAAGTCGACAAATGCGTGTTCGAGATGGCGTAAGTCAGGGCGTCCATCTGCCAAATATAGGACCGAGGCTGCATTGGGCAATCTTCAACCCGATAGATGCATCGTGTTGCCGCCATTTCCTAGTTTGACACAGTAATGAGATCGACATCACCGTCTTGGCTACGGTGGCCCACGGTAATGAACATAGAAACAGACATCTCTTTAAACATGTCTTTGTACAATTCCAAGACGGATTAGTCCAGTCCTGTGTCCTTGTCCTTATCCAACGCCATACACCCCTATTGACTCCCACCCTCCGGCAATACAAAGCCCGGTTAGCAAGGCTGCATACATCCAAGATATCGTTTCCCATGACATCAAACACGACCTATCCTTAACCTTCCATCTTCACGTCTGTCTCTTTCCCGAGGTTCTTCAGCAAATAGCTGCGCTTGAAGTACTCGTTGGGGTGCACAATCGTCTCAAGCTGCGACTGGGACATGACGCCTTCGTCCTTGGCCTTGCGAATCTCGGCCTTGTGAAGATGTTCAAAGACACTGTTACTAGTTAGCACGTGTAGTCATATAGATTTGTCAAGTCCATCTTAATATGGACAGACGAGGTCTTGGTTGGGATAATTAGGCACTTACCGGTTGCATGCCATGTGAAACTTTTGTTTGTCCTTGTCCTCCTTGATGCCCTGCATCACTGATCGGTCACTAACACCCATGCTCTGGACTAGTGCATTGAGATTCTCCAGGTTAAAGTGGCGATACGGGCATCCGTGTGCCTCTCCAGGACCCGGCGGGTGCTCCGTAAGAATCTTTTGACAGCTGAAGGGACTATAGCCACCACCTCTCCGGTTCGAGTCGCCGCCCACATCGCCGTAAACGTGGCGGATGTTGTAACGATACTCCTTGTTGAACGTGTCGTCAGTGACTTTGCTGAAGCTGCTTCGCCAGAACATGAGACACTCCTCCAGGTTGAGGCCGATGCCCTTGAGGAAGAGTGAGTACTGCAAACGGCCGAAATGCTTGAGGTGGGCATCACGACGGAGTGAGCGGTGCAGGTGGGACATGCACGCAGGGAAGTGCTGGGAGAGGCTGTCAACATTGGCGGCGGTGATTTGTGCGCCGGGGGGTGCCGAGGTGCCGGACATGTAGGAGGAGTCGGGTGTGATAAAATTCTTGGAGAGGTGGTTGAGGATGGGTGTAAGGCGATCGTCTTCGTCAAGTCGGGGGAGAGCGCGAGCTGTCAGCTGCACAGCAGTCAGTATCTCAAGTGTAGTGGTGTTCTAATCAGAGTCCGTACCTCGAGTTGTCGGTCTAATCGCGAGGTAAACTCCGCAACGACCATGCTGGACTGTTCTCGGCCAGGCACAAACGCCTTGCCAGCCCTCACAAAGACCCTTCGACCTTCGATCAATTCAGGGACTCGGTCCCAGTCCACCTTGAACCAGGTCTCGTCCTCAGCACCGCCTTTCCGCCCAATGGTCATAGCAGCCAACTCCGCGGCATACTCGTGCTTCTCGTCTTCCGTTACAGACTCCCACCAGTCCAGGTCGAGGCCACCCACGAACGCAGACCTTTCCGCAAGGTCATCATTATTGAACCTCATGCGGAAGAGGGTGGTTTCCACGCGTGAAAATCGTCGTCGGAGATCCTCCGTGGACGCAAAGGCTAACCGGAGAATAAAGTGGCTGTAGTGGTCTTTTTGGCGTTGGGCGAACATCTTGGTAGATCCCGAGCTGTTTGTCTCAAGGGGGAGGAACTTGTCGAGAATGGGCATCATGTGTGCCTTCGTCTCGGCGGGGGTTTTGTTGCGGAACGAGCATGCTTCCAGCTCAGCGAGCACTATCGAGTATCAGAACGGTGCGGCTATACCAGGTGCATACGGCGACATACCTCGTAGTCGGTCGATCGCCCACTGCTCGAACTGCTCGAGCGTGATGTCTGCAGTGGGGGCATCGGCGTAGAAGTTGAGGCGATGGGGGTAGTCGAGGTCCTTGTACTGGGGGGTGGCAAACTGCTTCTTTCGGTGGTCGAGGACATTTCGCCTCTTGGGGTCGATCCGATTGAAGTCTTGTCGCAGCATCTTGCCGTTGTGCTGGGCGAATATGGTGATGGGGTACGTGTTGATGGCGACGGATGATTTTGGTGGGAGGGCATTAAGTGGGAGACGCGACTTTACGCGTTGGCGTGGGAGCGCTCAGCGCAGTGTGGGGTGCCAATTAAGGGTGCGGACCGGCCAATCACAGCCTGCCAAATTGATGGCTGTCAAATTGGGCGACAGTTCACTCCTTCGGCGTCCTCCGCTGAAGCGGTCATTGTAGGTTGTCAGGTCACATCAACAACCTCGGGTCTCCCAATGGATTCTCTTTCTCTGGATAATCAAGCTTGATTAATCAAGATTTATCAGCACCGTGAACGGGCGCCATGCAGGTTGACCGACGCTGCACGATGCGCGCTGCCCAACCCTCCTCTCCTGGTTGTCCCTTTCAAGATCGCCCCAGAAGTAGGCATGATCCCCCCCTCTCAGCCCACCCCGATGCTCACAATAACACCTAGTTAATCTCGGAGAGTCCTCTCAACTCTTCTAATATGTTCAGGCTGCCACCTGAGATTCTCATGAACATTTTCCAACACACCGAAACTATCACCGACAGCATCTGCCTGGCTGTGTCCTGCAAGGCCCTTTTAGGCATCGCGCAGTTGTGCAACCTGCAAGTGCCGAATCGCAAGCTCCATCTGCCTGCCTGGAATCCCGAGGTGCCGCTGGACCAGGCAGATGCACCACTCTGCGAGTGTAACAAGATCCAAGTCTTGCTCAAGAGATTCCAGCCAAGAAATTCCGCAGGGATACCCAACCCGGCATGGGGACTTTGTGATGGTTGTCTGAGGTATCTGCCTACGAGAAAAAGTTACTGGGCAGCACGAGCAAAGGTGAACAGCGACGAGTGGGAAAGGAGAGAGGGCAAGAAGTGGGATAGCATGGTTGAGGATTTTGCAAATGGGGTTGAGAAGGTTGATTGTCCATCCTGCGTTGTCGGACTGTGGGAATTCTGGGAGTTTAATTGGAGGATGGCATGAGCAGCGATGATGATGACTATGGAGATGCTTATGATTGATGATGACTAGCTAGTATTGTTCGTTTGACATCGTCGGTCGTGGCTAAGCTCGAGACATCGATCTGCTCCTCGCTGCCAACTCCAATAAACCGCCTTATGACGACCGTTGCGTCATTGCGGCCATTGTGGCAATTACACCAAGTTTAAGTGCCACTCGACCTGGTCCAGAACTGACGACAGTCGAGGAATGCGACACGGAGCGGATGGATCTGGTTCGCATCCCGCGATGCAAGGTGCGATTCGACCTTTTAATTCGTCGCTCCGCCGGCTTCCCCACGGCGAGGCACGCAAAGCCCGCAAGGCGCACAGCGAAAGGCGCAAGACGGCCGGGTTTACTGGGTTTATTGCTGCGTATTGCGCCAGGTTGAACTGTGGAGGTGCGCATGACACCCGGCGATTCCTAATTCTCGGCCCCCTCCCCGCTGCAACCCTGGTTGGCTGAGATACGTCGCGGCCTATTGCTGACCACGGCCGCTGCCACTGCCACTGCCACGGGGTTCATCACTGCTCGCCATCAATAAGCCATCGTGGATGATTCTTCTCTTCCAAAATTATCTCCCGTCTGGGAAGTTTGATTCCTTATTCCTCTGGCAGCACGCTCTTGCGGCTGTTGTTCTCGGGAAGGGTAACCTGGCATCTATCCCACGCTGACGTTGGGGCGCGGCATTGCACCGCCTCACATCATCATGGCCCAGCCCATTGATATCCCGGTCAAGAGAAGTCGCCTCCAGGCTGCGACTCTCGAGAAATCCGTCTTTCCAGCCGACGAGGGCCCTTATTTCGGATACATTGAGTTGTTCGAGAGGTGAGCCGCTGCGTCTCTGCCACCGGCCAAACTAATTGATTCCAGCGGGCACGTCTACCGTGCCCTCTCGTCTGGTTCCGGCAAGTACGTCGAGATCGGTGCGCGATGCTCGCTGCCTACTCTCGCCTTCATCGTGGAGAAGGATAGGTTCTCGCGGAGCATCACCGTCGAGATTACAAGCCTGGGCCTCAAACAAGCTGTGTCCCATGCCATCCGCCAGCCCACAGCGTCATCCGCGTCCCTGGAGCTGCCCTTCAACACCGTCCTCAAGAACTATGAAGCCTTGAAAGCCCATCTCAATGACCTCCGTGAGCGATACCCCTATGATGATGTGACGTCCGAAATGCAGCTCCTCGTGGAAGACCTGCTGCTAGAGCGTGCATTGTACGATGGCATGAACATGGACCTGCTCCGCCAGCGACAGATCCTCTGCGTGGCCCACCTCCAGGACATCCATGCGCAGAATGTGGGCACCGGATTGAATGAGATTGAAGATTGTTTCTCGCTTGGGCTCATCCCCGATGATATCAGTGAGCAGTATCTGGAGGCAATGAACCTCAGATACGCAGACCTCGCGCGGCTGGGTGACTATGGTGGACTTCGAAGCCTCTGCGAGCCTATCGTGCGATCCGGAGAGATTGAGCTTGAATACAATCCCTCCCTAGTTCTCGAAGTTCTCCAGAATGGTCATATGGACGTCTACCAGTACATGCTAGACCTCATTGATCGCACAAAACGGACCTCGGTCGAGATCCCCGATCCCCAATACTCCGACGTCACCTTCGACCCTCTGTATGTCGCCATCAGCCTCGGCCAGATCGAAGCTGTGCAGCACTTCATTGGCAACCACGCAACATTTGAAGGATACGTCTTCGACGATCCCCACGCAAGCAAGGATCGCATCTTCACGCCGTTGTTTGCCGCCGCGTACTGGCACCAGCCGGACATTGCACGTCTGCTACTGCAGTCGGGACCAATTTACTATGCAGGTCTGCCCCAGGCCACTGCATTGGCACAACAAACCGGGTCGATGGACGTTCTCCAGGCATTGATGGAGCATCATGAGCAGTCTACCCCGGCCAGTTTCGTCCATGACATCTTTCCTCAGGCAACCTCTTCCCAGTTTCAGTTTTCAGTATCGCCGCAGAGTCTGCACTACCCAATCGCCTCCACAGGTCAGAGTCCTCCCGGACTAGCAAGAAGTATTTCAGGCATCACCAATGCGCTGTCTGGCCTTGACGGTACTGTTTCCTTCCAGCCCGGAAGCTTTACATCCACGTCCACTCAACGCGCCATGGCTCAGCCTGCGCAGGCCATCGCCAGCCCTGACTTCTCTGCTCCGCCCATCCTGATAGAACCCGGCCCTGTCGGGCATTATTCTCAGACGAGCGGTCTCACCGAAATGTTTGCCGAGTTCAGCCAAACTCCATTCACCTCGATTAGACACACTAGCAGTCACAAATCCCGGCAACAGCTTGGGCGTAACTTCATGCAAAAGCTAGAGAAACGGTGCAAGAGGTTGAAGAGTATATGCTGTAGTCACGCTAAGTCTAAGGCGTATGTGGAAGTGGCAAAATACTTCAACACTACTCAGGAAATATGGGAGGCGGGTATCAACTGCTTCAGGGAAATCACAAGGAACAAAGCACCGTCAAGTCTAGTGGAGGTCCTGCGAGTCCTCCTTGTTGCTGACGCCCTTGGATGCCATATCCCATACGCAAGTGACGATCTTGCACTCGAGTACGGCCCATCCAACAGTCCTTTCACTGTCTGTGCTAACATGGATTCAGGTTCACCAATGACCTCGGACGATGGAGAACCCTCTTGCAGGGCTCCGAGAAGAAAATGTTCGACGAAATCGTCTGTGCCGTCTGGAACATTGACACCGTACCAACCTTGGACATGCCCGAAAATGATCCAGATAAACTCTACCGCTTCCAAGAACTGATCCAAAATCTCATCTCTCTCGGAGACATCAAGCATCTCAAGTCCAGGTCTTCGGGCAGTCGACTCCGAACAGTACAACGACAGCTCAAGAGCCGAAAGCGAAAACCTGTGCTGAGGCGGCGCGCAGACAGACCGCCTGTCCTGCCCGATGGCAGTTTCCAGAGCATCGGTAGTGTTCTCGGAAGGTTGACGCATGACACTGATTCTTTCTATGAAGATGATGTGGATCTCGGGGAGTTTATTGACTTCGATGCGTTCGGGCTTGAATTTGATGACCAAAAACCAACACAATCCAGTGACTTGGTGGAGCCGACTGTGGAGTGGAAGGATGTTCACCCAATAGTTGTTCTGGTATTCGCATCGGTCGCGTTTTCTATCATCTTGACAGCAGTGTCCAGTAAGTCATATTCATTCGTGGGATATCGGCAATGGCTAACGCAAGCTTCACCAGCAATCCAAGACCCCCCTGAGGAGCATAAGCCAAGGGCGTTCCCCGGCGCCGCGCCTGGCTATGGCAGGTCGTGCGCTATTGTAGAAGGGTTTCTCAGCTTCCAGTCCGAGGACAAACTGTATGACTCTGGGATAGACGTGCGCTCGGTGGGAGAGGAATGGTCGAGCCCCTACATCCAAGAGATGAAGAAAGCAAGTCAACGGAACTCCCGTCTTCGGTCGTTGAACCCTGCGGGGATACCATCAGCAAGTTTGACCGTGGCAGCATCGATGAGCAGTCCAAGGTAAGGATCAAAACTCTTGAAACAATCAGTGGGCATTGGGCTGATACTTGACACCAGTGGTTCCTCTTTCATCTCGACCGACTTTTCGTCCCCAGACACAGCGCGCTCAACAGAGCGGCGAATCAAGTGCCTATCATGCCACAAGACGTTTTCAAGCGTCAGCAACCGCAACAAGCACATGCGGGAGGGGTGCGCAAAAATAGAAAGAAAGGGGTATGTGTGTCGCAACGAGAGCTGCACCAAGGTGCTCACGACCAAGTGGTACCGAAAGACGCACGAGCAGACTAGGTGTCGGTTCCGTTGAGGTGCATGGAGGCAGGGGCTAGCCAGCATCGTAGCCGCGGGAGTTCTGTAAACGGACATATTTTGAGATGTACGACAGGGTTTTGCTTCAAGGGCAGTGCCGTTGGGTTCACCCAAGATGGACATGGTATGATTCGGTTGGGCAGCGGTTGGATAACAAACGACGGCCCAAAATAGCGAAATGGAAGGGACAAGGAGGTCCAAAGAACTAATACCACTTGATATTATAGTCAATCCTCCTTGCAAAATACAGAAGCAATTGGAAATGATCTGCGCCTAAATATATCGCGTCAATAGCCACGTTCCCTCGCTTGCTCACATTCGCGTGTTGAAACAATGGCGTATGCGAAATGTTAGGGCGCCCGCAGAGATGGACTCGGCCCTTCTTCAAGCTGGAGAATTATAGATTTGCACGTTTTCGTCCCCATTGGCCGATGAAAGTAAAGAACTGAGTCCAACCTGTAAATGACTAGCCTGTTTGCCTTCAACACTGCCTGCCTGGATGGCGACTCTCGAATAAAGGCAGATTGGGGGCGAAGTGTAAGTACCTTTGTATAGGGTAAGTGGCGAGCCAGTGGGGGAACTACTTCTGTTGGGCAGCTTCTAGGCTCGGAGCCGAGGTGGTCTCTAGGCGAGAAATAGGCGGCATCTCTTTTTTTTTCCTTCTACGGACTAAGCAGCGGGGCGCCAGCGCTACGGACGTCAACGGCTCGTGTAAACGGCTGGTTTCAACGGCGGCTTGTGGAGCCGGCGCAATTGGAAGAAAGGCGAGAGAGACGCAGATTTGGGTAGCCTATGTATGTGGCCGGACTTGGTGAATTGGCAAGGACCCGTACAAACCCACCGGAACCAGCCAGGCCTTGGCGGCTCCCGTGCCGACATCCCAGGGTGCAAGAGTGGTTTGCATCCACTGTCACCGCAGTCAGTAGGTCGGTAGGTGGAGGTTCAAGGTTCATCAGCCATCACGTTGTTTGAATGGGGCTTAGGCGCTGTATCTGGTGCTCAAGGATTCCCTTCGCTTCGGAGGGTGCCGTTCAGGTTCCCTCCTCCGGCGACTTTCTGCTTCACCTCTGGTTGCGGTGCGTTTGCTGCATGGTCACACACTGACACGACGTCCCCTGTATGGTGCGTCTGCACTCGAGGATGGATGGAGGATGGAGTCGAGTGCATCGTGGTGCAGCACTTTTGGCAGCACGTACAGGGGCCATCTATCGCCAGCAGGGTATTCTACAGGGGCCTTGCAGGGGCCTCGCAGGTGTGGCAGGGGGTTTGTAGGGCCATAGGGCGTAGGGCTGAACTGCCTGAGGCAAGGCGTCCCATCTGGCCCAGCACCGAAGGAAGCGCCATTCACTGTGCGTTCTCCACCACCACTCCAAAGGCACCCAAAAAGCTGCCTGCTTCAAGTGCGGGCTTGACTCAGCCCCTCCGGAAAACCGCTGGCCCTCCTGCGAGCGCCGTCTATTGCCCTCGGAGAGATATGAGAGATAATTGCGGCATGCCTGCCCCGGCGGAGTCATTCTGGGTCGGGCTGTATGGCAAGCGGGGGGGCGCAGGACCGCCGTCAACACCACCACGGCCCAGACGTACAGTCGAGCATTCGCAACCGTGAGGCCGTCCCGTTGCGTCGTGGCAGTCGCTGTGACACCAGCAGCACACCGGCAGCACACCAGCAGGGTGGAGGCCTTGCTGACCGCCCTCGCTGCCAGCAAGCGCCCACGCCATGGCATCACAGGCATGGCCCCCACCGAGCTGATCGACTGGACATGGATCATGCCTCCTGCGCTCTGCGGGGGGACCACTGCTCGACTGCCGCACCCCAGCACCCAAACGGCCGTGGCTGTCTGGCTGCCTCTGCGGGACCGAGGGGGCCAGAATCGAGACGAGACGAGACCGGTCGGGTCGAGAGGGGAGCAAACTCACACCACACACACAAGGAGTTCCGTGATAGAGGCACCCGCGGACCTCCGTCCCGTCAAGCAGGCGACGTATACGACCACAGCCGGCTTGCGGCTTCACAGGCTTCACAGGCACAATACCGCCAGCCTTAAGGCCACCACCATTCCCAGTCTAGCCTGTCTAGCCTTGGCCCGTGGCACACTCACCCGCCGCCTCCTTGTGCTTGGCCTCCATCCATCGTCCTCTTACCGGCGCAGTCGCAGTCGCTGTCGCTGCCTTGTGTCGTCATTTCTCAAATGAACCCCTGTCCACTAGTCTTCTCCCTCTGGCGAACACATTAAACCTTAACAATTCTTGCGGCCGCAGTTCATTGACGACCCTCCTTCTTCATTAGAGGCCGTATCGCCTCTCAATCCCTCCGCCATAAACCCTTCGCCTGCTCCCGCTGCCCAACCCCTCAAGCAGAGAATGGCAATGGCAGCCACTCGTGTCTTCCCGGTCAGACGCAATTCGACCCCAGGCGACTCGGACGACACCGACATCAGCATGCCTCGGTCAATTCCCCGCAAGCGCATCCCCAGCCAAGAATGGGAGAAGAAGCGGCCCATCATCACTCGCCTCTATCAGGAGGAGAAGAAGCCGCTCAAGGAGGTCATGGAGATTCTCGAGCGCGACCACAACTTTACTGCTACGTGCGTACTTGTCCTTGCTGTACCTACCTGCATCTTGATGATGGATATTCTGTCACCACCATTGTCCGTGGTGTTTACGATTGATGAGCCGGCTAACTCTGCTATAGTGTAAAAATGTACAAGTCGAGAATCTGGAAGTGGGGACTCGACAAGAAGCTCAAGGGCGATGAGGTCCTCGCCATCCTCATCCTCAGGACGGAGCGCGAGGCCCAAGGCAAGCCCTCCGAGTTCACCATCCGCGGCCAACCTGTCGACCTCGACAACATCAACCGTTACATCCGCCGCAACCCTTCACTCGTGGCCCGATTTCAAGCCGGCGAAGTCCCCAGCATCCAAACAACCCTCGAGGTTCAGTGTCACACGCCTTCACCAGCTCCCAGTCCTTCATCGACAGCCCCAATCGAGGTCGGCCCCATCGAGGAAGTCCTGTGTCTCTTCAGGAATTACGTGGATTTGTGTTTTACGAATGGGATATGGGAGTACGAGTACAACGTCAACTGCACGAGTCGCCGAACAGGTGACCGAAGCGATGAGTTGTTTGAGCGCGTGATGACCGGCTTTGCTTTGGTCAACCGCTGCATGATGCGGAAAGATGAAATTTCCATCGGCACGATACTCAGCCCAGCCTTTGAGTCTCTCAAGGAGATTGTTGCTTCCGAGAGCCCCATATTTGTCGCTCGGACAGCCTGTTTGTTGTGGTACCTTGATCGGAATCACAGAAACGACCTTCTACGGATAGTCATGGACTATCTAGCCGGCCTGGTCCCCATTGTGCTCGGCCAAGACAACCCCATGATCCGCATCTGGCAGATCTTGGGATCCCCCCAGTTCACCGAGTACTCCGAGCTTGCCATGCGTCTCTACTCTACCTTGGTGCCGCTTATGGAGGAGCGAATCGGACCTGCAAATTACATCACCGCCATTCTATACGGCGATCATATCGACTATCTTCTCGGCCACGATCGGTCCACGGAAGCTCTCGCTGTCGCCACAAATTACCGAGCTAAAGCAGATGCCACTGGCATGCAGCACCAATGGCTCATCGAGCTTGCCATTGGCCAGACGGCTGTGCTTTGCAAAACGAAAGAGAGGGAGGGCAGGTTTGACGAGGCAATCGAGTGCTTGCAGGCTCTCAAGGAGTACAACATGGGAGACGAGCAGCAGACGGTGGTCAACATCCAATTGGGCAACTGTAGCTTCCGGATGGGTGACATCCATTCGGCCCTCCAATGGTTCCAAGAGGCGACGCGGCTGGCTGTTACTGGCGACGGAGACGAGCGCTTACTTCTGACGTGTCTGGCCAACCTCGAGCGCGCACACTCCGAGATGGGCAGAGTCGTTGAGGCAGCCCAGGTGCAACAGTACCGGCTTCGCCGACTATCAGACTTCGCGAGAGACTCAAGCACCTTTGCTAGTCCTCCCAGCTGGAGGGAGCCATGCCATTCGGAGACATCTATCGCAGCGACCAGCCCCGTCGACGACTCCAGCCGGAGCAGCATCGAAGTTCCCGATTGGTTGTGGGCTGCCGACGAGGCCCGGCTGCCGACCGTGACGCCCGTAATGGGCATGAATGATACATGAGGGCTCCAAATGAGTGGCTGCTGACGGCCAGCGAAGGAGGCGGGGGCTGTCGAGATATGGGGTACTTTTGACAGGGTCCTTTTTTTTCTCCCCAATTTGTATTATACCCAAAAAGGCTTCTTTTTTCATGATGATGACAACGCAGGGGAATGGGGCGGGTACTTGGCCTGTAAAATATACGGAGGACGGGCGTGCGTCTAGGTTAGCGCACGATGGCATTAGTTTGGCGCATGCATTTCCCCTTGGAAAGAATGCATTAAAGCCAGCGAGGAATTATTAGGGGCTCCGAGCTCCAGAGCTCCGCGTTCGAGAAGTTTGAGCTGACGCACGATATTCTTGGAATGGGGGCTAAGAGAATGCCACGGGATTGGGCCTGTGTAACCCTCTCCTCTCGGCCGACGGGATTGGAGGCCAGCTTTGGAGATGACTGCATCGGCAATTGGTAGCTCCGTAGATGCAACATAGATGACAAATAAAATGCGTCTCTAACCGCGAATATGGAACAGTACGTGTAATGTGTGGTTGTTCCATGCTGCCTCTTGTGGAGAGGTCCTTTGGAGTTGTTTTGACGTGGACGCCAATTACCACTTGCGACTATTTATATCGTTGCCGTCCTCTCAACCCCTTCTCATGCTGCCACCACCCGCAGTACCTGAGAATAGTGCCTTTTTGGGGTGGCAATATCCCCTGGAGGCTGAAAGTATACCCTAGCCATAAGGGGACGCAATGTGCGAGGAGGGTGTTGGTGATGCATGTTGAAGTAGAGATCAGATTACCCAGTCAACTCCGTCGAGCCGCGTCACTGATGAAGTTGTTCACCTATGGGAGGTCGTGAGATGGCATCATGTAGAAACAAGCGGTCCGAGGAGGTGCTGCCATGTCAAAGGTGTGCTGCGTTCTGTGCACATCGTGATCTGACCAGTTGTTCGGGAGATCTTGAAGTTCGTAACATGGCGGTGCGTCGGCTCGGACGGTGTCAGCGACAGCTCGACTCTTTGGATGGAATCCTTCTCGGAGAGATCTTATGAATGAGCCTATATTTAGACTTGAGAAACACTGGATACTTGTGCCACTGATGGAGAGATGACAGTCGGACTGGACGAGTGATGAGAGCAGCCAACTTTCGGACTTGAGCCGCGCACCGCCCGCCGATAGAGGAGACAGACATTGCGCGGTAGCCCAAGTCTGAAGATCGGGTTTCAAACTAGCAGTCAAGATATCGGTGTCTCTGTTACAGGCAGTCGGTTCCATCGCAAATCGACTGCGGTCTTGTCTTTGCCCGGCTGAGGTGGGATAGGAGCTGGGACGATCAAACAACACACCCAAACCGACGTGCTCGAAGACCTCCCTTGAACTTCCGAGTTGCTAGTTATTCCTCACTTGTATTGGCTGTGCACTCTCTTCTGATTTGTGTGTTCTAAGAGAGCCGCCTAGTCTATATTAGGATCTGATTGAGAGGTCGCTGATCCCTATCGCTATGCCAACATCCACGTCGCCTCCTGGATTCATCGTCGAATCGGTCTCTGGCTCTGCTCATTACCCATCAGCGTCGCTCGGCGAATCTCGATACCCGCTCGTACTAGTGTCCATCATTGTTGCGTCTGCCTTGGAAGGGAGACCCAACGCAGATGCTGACCCGATCCTTATCGGCGATAGGTGTTGCATCCTTAACCCTGCGTTGATCGAGTTGATTTAGTGGGTTATGGAGGCTCTCCATGAGGGTGCAGTCGAGATTTAGTAGGCGTGGCCACATGGCAGTACCATGCGCTCATCGACTCTTGGTCGCGACCTAAGGCGACCAGAAGTCCCGTGAAGGCGAACTGGTCTACCGTCAAATAATGGGGAGGGCCGTCTGGTGTGTATTGGAAACTGTATGGGCTCTTGTTCAGGAGGCAGTACATCATCACCTCCTCGTCCTCTAGATTATCCCTCACAATTATCCATTCCACTTCGTCCGCCTTATTCTTGGCTGCGGCCTCTTAACCACTTTCTTCTTCGGACCGCATTGTGTTGTAGTTTCGTCCTCGGCTTGTGCTCATTTGTCGACTTTGTGGACAGTTTGACTGAACCTGTTGGGTACCCTGCAGTATTTTCTCTAATTGAGACTTGCGATAATCTAGCCGCTCTGACATACCTGATTCCAGTAATTGGCCGCTGGTCTCTTTAAGCTACCAACGTGTTCAATCTCGAGCTCTGGTCTCGTTGAGTATATCGTCGTATGTGCTTTGTTAGTCCCGGCCGCTATGTTTCCGCCTTTTGGTTGCAGTTACGGTTCAGATAAAGTAATGCAGGAATGAAGAAATAGCTCCCAGCCCAGCAACTTCTCTACACTATGAATGCTGTAGACCTTGACTTTGGCTATCTGCCCTATCTGGTGAATCAGATATATGACTTGTTTGTTGTCCCAATTGCTCTAAGGCTCTCTAAGTTTGATTAAGTACGTAGTCAAGTACTGCAGGTCATTGATGCCTGTAGCCATCATCCCATGTAGAGACGATGGCGATATTCCAGTCAAATAAGCGGGAGAACACCCCGGGGTCGTTGGGCCTGCAGCCTCTTAGCCCGCAATGGCATTGCGAAAATCTCTTGTGTGATACAAACACGACATCGGCTGAGCTTAAAGATCACGGGGCCTTAGAAACTTGAGTCACCTCATTGTTTGCGTAAGTGATCACAGTTATGGTATAGCAAACAAATGTCCCGTGGATATTAAAATTGTTAGAGGACCCGCTCTCCTCCTTTCCGGCAGCGAAAAGGTGAATGGCCACACACTAGAACTTGGTTGATATGGCTGAAATATTAGGTAGAGAGAGTCTCTCGCAAGCGTTATGCTGTTGGGGATTAATTTTGCAGCTTCATCCATCTACACCAACTGTCTTGCTCTCTCAGTAAGTTCAGGCCGTGGGCGGAGCTCCCCGTCACTGGTGATGGCAAAGCCGTGCCGTGGAGTCGCCTAGACATGCCTCCAGACGCAGGTGCTTGAGTATTTATGACGATGAGACGACATTGCTTGAGAGGTCACAGATGACGCAAAGGCGGACCCGTATGTACCATCAAGTCCATTAGGAATACTAAGGAGTTTGCCAGTTCACGATCTGCACGTTATGTTCTACAATAAAAAGGTAGATAAAAAATGACAAGAAGGGATTGCTGAGACACACCACCCCTCCATGTATTGGCGAGGGAGTATTTGGAGTTGCAGGGGTATCAATACGGGCGTCTTTGGCATCTTTGAGATTGCCTACCTACCCTGGCATTTACTTACTCGAGTTACAGGTAAGCATTCCGGTTAAAAACATGGTTGTCATAGGCTTGACAGGAGTTTTCCCGATGGTATGGGCGAGCGTGCGTCGCAATGGCCGGAGGTGGCTCGGGCGGCCAATGACAAGGCCGGACGAGCCATGTGGTCGAGGCAGAGGTTGAGGAGACAGCCGGCGAGACCGGGGACGAAACCTTGACAACACAAGGCGGAGAGGATGAGCGATCGATGACGCGATGGATTCGGGTCGCCGAAGCATTGGTCGCCGAATGATGTAATGTCTTCGCCTCGTCAATAGTTGAGAGCGGCGTCAACGTTCCAGGTGATTTTGAGGTTGAGAGCCTGCCGCATCCGGACTCCGCACGGGAGGGAGCCCGAAACCTCTGCCGATCGGGGACGGGGCGGGGAGGGAGGATCGGAGGGAGTGACACAGGGCTCGCTCTACGGCGGTAGGGGCGGCACCGAAAGACACTTGTCGCATTGCTACACGCGATTCGTTCCATATCGATCCGAGTACACGAATATGAAGCACCTAGCCAGAAACTAGACGAGACCCGGTCTGGAGAATGGGTAAGGCTGGTTGGCGAGTGTAGGGCGTCTAGCGGCCGTGCTTGGGCGGCGGGGCCAGTGGAGAGGCCAAGATCCGAGATGGATTGGTTGGAAGCGAGGGGACCAGGCGGGAGACGGGGGAGTTGAAGGGCTGGGCAAGGGGGGATTGAATATGTGATAGGGCGGCGAGGGGGGATTAGATGCGGGTATGTCGATGATGTACTTGGACGGAGACAGAGACGAAAAGGACAAAGGGGAAAGGAGATATGAGAGCAAAGATTAGGAGACAGCATCGGAGTACGGAGTATGTACGACGTCGAATGTACATACGGCACCTTGTGCTGCAGGACAGACATGATGGTGGTTTGCAGGTCCCCTCGCCAATGAGCGGAGGGATTGATTCATGGGGAGGGGGTATGGATCCATCGGGATTGCAGGGGGGTGCTGGGTTGGTGGTAACGTTTTGACACATGGGCTTTCGGTCCGGCGACAGATTTCGTGTGGCCTGGTTGCAATGTTGGAGTGTTGGGAGTTGTGGAGTTGATTGATGTTTGGGGAAAAGTCTACGAGTAAGTTGAGTTGTGCGTTTGCATGATTGGCATGTGTCCGTCTGTGTCTCAGTGAGCGGCCCGTGACGGACAGGATAGACGGACAGCAAGCCAGTCAAGATGGGACCTCATCAAGATTGGAATTGTCTCGATCGAATTGAGTTGGAGACGCAACGATAGCCGGGCAGACCCCGTCTCTCCACCTTCCCCCATGCGGTAAGCCGATGTCCTCGTAGTCTGCAATGGCTGGCTTCTGGCAGAGCTCGGCGGCCGTTGGACAAGTCACAAAGCAGCGAGAGCTCGAAGGCTGGGGGGACGGGGTTGCAGGGGTGGAGGTTTTGATGCGGTGCAACCTGCGCCATCACCACACGGCGTCGATGATAGCACGTTACCTTGCAGATGGGGGAATGGAACAATGGGACAAATGACATCTTGCCCGTCTTACCTTGCCATGGCCGAGCTCTGCCGTAATATCTCTGTGCTCCCCAACAAGCAGGTTTCCGGCGGATTCCCTTTGCGGCATCCATTGACCTTTGACCCTTTCGTAGGTACGTAGTGGACTTCATATCAGGGGGCCAACCCTTCCTCCCCCACAGGCCAGCAAACAGACCATCTCAATTTCACATCTCATCTCTTTTTTGCCTATTCCTCCTCCCCAAAGCAAACGCCGTGAAATTGCGAATAAGTTGCACCCGCCCCGGCCCCCGGCGTCTCGGTCTCGTGCACCGAGTTTGGCCACACGTTTCGGTCATCACCTGCCCTCTGCTTCGCTTGGCCGACCGCACTGCGCTGCTCTTGACTCACCTCCCGCCCGCCCCAACACGCCACGACCACTCCACAAGCCGCACCACGCTATCGTCGCAGCTACATACTACGTAGTAGGTAGAAGCTATTGGGGTATTGCGCTGCTGGAGCGTGCGTAGCACTGTCCGGCGCGTGTGCACCGCGCACCGAGTTCCGTGTGCACGAGACAGACTTGGAAATCGCCGGTACAGCGAGCCAGGAAACGCGGCGGCGCACCGGAGCCCGCTAACTGCCAATCGAATCGAACCCAATCCCCCCCCTTCCACGCCCGCGGCCGCCATCTTTTTTCCTTTCTTTGACCTCGCTCTCTCTGTGTGTTGCTTTGTGGCTGTTGCTTTGCCTTTTACGCCCTGGCGGTCTCGACCCTATTTCGCACTGGTTTCTGGGTCCTCTTCTCTGTAACGGTTGCAACGGGCCTTCGCCCCTCGCCCCTCGCTATCCAGCCGGAGCTTGAGTCGGCGCCAGGCAATTCATCCGATATCTGAGGGCTTCTGCAACGTGGGCGCCGCAATCAACCCCCCCTTCCAAGCCATTGACCCCGTCTAAGACGACCGGACAAAGAAGGTTTTATCTACCTCTTTGCCTAGTTAGCTACGGCGTAGATAAACCCAAAAGCCCCAGGTCGAGATATCAAAGTACCCCACCCAGGCGCCAAGTACAGGATACAGGCGTCCAACTACCGAAGGCCTGGTCCTTTAAAGTACGGCTACCTTGGTCCCCTGAACGCGGAAAGCCACAGGTACCTTTCCAACCTGCCTCATCCTCCCCACAGCGCCTTCCTCGGTGCTTCCCATCGCCCTCCCTATCTTCGAGGCCCCATTATTTCCCGCCGTCGCGCCGTAGGGTCGCAGGGATTCCAGGAATTCCAGGGAAGGAGCCAGCCCGTCCAGGAGCCCTAGCACCCTAACACCCTAGCAGCCAGGCAAGGACCCGCCCGCCCTTGCACTTGCCAAGTTGCCCTTGCTGCTGCTGCTGCGCTATTGGCAATTGCACTCTTGCACTGTACCACGCGCGCTGCGAATCCACCAACCGAGCCAGGGAACGGCGACGGCGACGGCGACGACGTCTGTGTCTCCTCGCCTCGCTTCTTCTTCTCCTTCTCTTGTGTCTCCCGCCTCGTCTCTTTGACGACGCTCTACGGGCTCCTCTGCTCTCTGCCCTCTGCTCTCTGCCGCTCAACACCAGCAAACCCAGCCATTCGCCTCCATGATCGCGTTATAGAAGAGCCCACGATCTGCTTCTCCCCCTCTCTTTCTCTTTCCCTTCCCCTTCCCCTTCCGCGTCCCTTCGTCTCCTCCGTCTCCGCATCCGCTTCCGCCTCCGTCCATACTCGGCCCCCACCAAACCGCGTCCTCACCTCCAACCTCGCAACCCTAGACGGACCATCTCCCGCTTCAAGGTACGTCTCGCTTGTTCTTTGGGTGTATTCTCGAACTACTCTATCGACCCTTGTCACGCCACCCGTGTCGCACATTCCATTGCGCTCGCTCGTCCCCGGCGCCCTGCGAAACGTCACTGACACGGCACTCAAAAGGTTACTCGATTGTTTGAGTCACTCAACCGAAACCACGCCTCCAACTTCTCCCTCACCCCGCCTCGCATCGCTTCGACTCGACTCACTCGACTAAACACCGAATCGACTCGAACCCTATCCGACGCCCGATGAGCAAAGCCATGTCAACGCCCCACACCCCCCGGACTGCGACGGCTTTGCCCCTCGACGACGACTCCCTCAACTCCTCCAGAAACATCGCCATCACCAGCGACCCCTCCCTCGGATTCCGCTCCAGACCTATCCCCGTCCCTGTCCCTACCTCTGCCGGCCCGTCGTCAACGTCCTACCGCCTTGGCAAAGTCCAGACTGTCCTTTCCACAAGTCCCTCTGGCCTGTACACGCTCCCTGATGTCTCCGTCACTACGCCGGCCCTCGTCCACTTTCGCGCCAACACGATAGCGCCCTCTCCTCCACTTCAACAAGGCGAGCTGCCTCCGACCCAGCATGGTGCCCTCGCCACGGACATCCCCTCTTCCATCGATAGGCGCTCCTATAGTCCCGTTGGATCCCTCCGTATTTCAACCGAGTTTAGCTCCTTCCCAACGACTCCCAACCGTCGAGAATCCTTCAATGGCAACGGAAGTGGAAGTGGCAGTCTTTCCTCCTCTCGCGGATCTCTCACCTTGAAGCAGAGAGCCTCGGCGAGCAGCCTTCGGCCAATTTCGAGGACCCCCAGCCTCAAGACTGCACTGGCCAACAGCCTTGGTAACGCTAGCGGTACCAGCAGCCTCGTCCCGAGTCCCATCATCTCTGCTATGGGCTCTGTTACGCCTCTGCCAAGTCCACTCATGACGGGAGACTCTCCAGGCCCCTGGAAGAGGCTGAGTGCTGGGTCTGCGTCACCCCCACAGCACCGCCTCCTGAGCGTCGGCGAGGGATCCGTTCTGGTCACGAATACGGGCGAGTCTATTGACGCGGCCCTTTCGAATGGTGCGAAGCGCAAGATGTATGCGGCGCTTGAGCCTGGAGACAAGATCCCGGCGCAACCGCCAACTATTAACCAACCTCATCACACCCGAAATCGCAGCGCGAGCGAATACAACCCGGACCAGATGGGACACAAGAGACACACGTCAACCTCCGGATCACACACTAAAATCGATGGAACCAACGACACTGGGCCCGAATCCCAAATGCGAAGGGAGATACACTTTGGCCAGTCCCGTGGTCTGACTCCCACTGTCACGCAACCTCCGACCCCGCCCCCAAGCGAGTCGTCTCGAGACTCGGCCGATGGGTCTAGCAAACCTAAGAGCTCTCGCTACGAGTACTTTGAGGCTTTCGGACGAAATGACAGGAAACGGCGTCGATGGAGATCGATACGCCTCCTCGGTCAGGGCACTTTCAGCAGGGTCATGTTAGCCACGAGTCAGATCGAGTGTGAAGATGACTCTAACGAGACTGGTCCTGGAAATGTGACTTCGAAGCCCGAGCTAAGCCTTGACCGGAAGACTCTGGTTGCGATCAAGGTGTGCGAGCATGGTCCTCGAGGCGGTGCCAGTGAGGAACGTGTCGAGATGAGCTTAAAGCGCGAGCTTGAGATCATGCGAACCATTCACCACCCGACACTGGTCGACCTCAAGGCCTGGAGTATTGAGCCCTCGAGGGCCATCCTGGTGCTGAGTTACTGCCCTGGAGGCGACCTGTTTGACATTGCAACAGCTCATCGCTCTGTTCTCCGAGAGTCACTTCTGCGAAGAATCTTTGCTGAGTTAGTCGGTGCGGTAAGCTACCTCCACGAGAGGAGGATTGTCCATCGCGATGTCAAGCTCGAGAGTAAGTTTGGCTGTATCTTACCATTGCGACTTGTCGCCTAACATTGCCTAGACGTTCTCGTGAATCTAACACCGGCCGAATTGGCTGATCCAACCGTTAACTGGGCTACCTACCCTTACTCCGTCGTCATCCTTACGGATCTAGGTCTCTCACGCCGCATCGCGGATGATGAGAAGCTTGAGACGCGCTGTGGTTCCGAAGACTATGCCGCTCCTGAGGTCATCATGGGTCAACCCTATGATGGCCGAGCTACCGATGCCTGGTCACTCGGTGTTCTGCTTTATGCGCTCCTCGAGGCCCGTCTGCCTTTCGACCCGCATCCCAGTATGAGCGATGCCCACCGCATGCGCAGTCGCACCAGCCATCGCATTGCCAGAGTCGAATGGAAATGGGTTGAATATGCAGGCGATGACACGGATAACGACGGCGACGAAACTAAGTTCAAGGAGAAAGGTCTCCTGGGTGCCATGGAGATCACGGAAGGGTTGCTGAAACGCGCAAGGAGCCGCTGGAGCGTTGTCAAGGTGGCCAAGACCCCGTGGGTTACTGATGCCATCAAAGTTGAGGGAGGACTACGGTTCCGAGAGGAGAAGGATGGCGCGGAGGTGTGACGGGGTCACAGATTCTAACGTTCAACGACGTCCCAACTTCGAACGGACATCGACTTTTTCTTTTTTTCGCTTCTAACTGGCCATTACCTATTCTCTTCACTATGTTTCTCTTCACTTCTCCAACGACACAACGCCGTTTCGATGTTGCTCTGAGGCACTTCGCATTACAAGACGCTCAAAGACGTACCATACAACCATCCAACGAGAAACACCATACAAAGACCGCGATGCGACGACGAAAGACCCCTGGATCAGTCAATGACCACATAACGGGAATCAAGGTACGGAACTGGGAAAGGGAAAGGCGGTTAAAGGGGGCAAACAAGGGGAAACGGTATTGGAGCACTCCAACTTGTATCTTTAACATTTTTCTTGACGGCTTCATTCGCTTCTTGGGTCACCCATTTTGTTAGGTTTGTTGGGGTTTTTACTGTTTTTTTACTACTATATCATCATATACCATGCGTAAGCTCCAGGGGTAGAACAAGGCATACCAAAATATGGATAGACCACGGTGTTGAGCTCTGTTTCACTGTATACCTATTTATCTTCGGTTATATATTATATATTATTCATTATCTGTAGTTTAGTTTAGGTTTCTTTGGTATGCCTTGGGTTGGGGTCGGGCTTTGTGTCTAGCACTGGTTCGTAGGTCAATAGGTTTGTATAAATTAGTATTGAATGAGAAAACGTTGAACTGTATTCGATTATTGTTTTGACTATTTGTGTCGCTGGTGTCCTTGTATTCGCTGTGGGTTTCAACTCAGATAGAAGCGAGAGCCCTTTAACGACTCGTTCCTCGAGGACCAACATTGAGTCGACATGCATGTTTTCACCTACAATCTAGAATCTCGACAGGGTTACTGAAACAGGGTTCGTATTGTTCTTTCTATCTGAGAAGCATCCTGGTAGAAAAATAGCCATCCCATCTTTTGGCGACCGAGTCGAGGTTTCTATTCCACCTCAATTCCCGCAGTTCCTAATTACGTGGTGAAACGGAGGGTTTCAGATAAATGAGTCTTTGATAGAGATGACAAGAAGTGTCTTACTTAGATACTTACCATGAGGCACGAATAGCCCAATTGGGAATGTCATCTTATAATGGCTGATATTCGGGCCCGTGATTGCCGTTGCTCTCAGACATTCAGCCTCGGACAGCAATCGACTCGCCCCCAGAACTTGCAAAGGCAACCTTTCGCATTCCAACCTGTTCGTGAGGTTGCCTAGTTGCGGCAACAGGCCGATGACGCATGTCATTTCTGTATTCAACGTGTCCCGAAGACGTGGACCGTTTCGACGCCTCGCAGCTAACGGCTCTTGTCACCGACTGCTGCGCCATTGTGGCTGACATCGTTGCCGATCTGTGTCTCGGCTGGCCCGAACCGCCTGTCAGCACACCTGAATGCTGTCGCGAGTTATTCGCTTTGGCATGGTCCACGAACGAAGTCTTGTTAACCTCGAAGTGATCGGCAAACCTTGCGTCTGTGTGTCGGGCCGCGCGGGATCCTAAAAAAAGCAGCAAAATAGCAATGGAGAATCCTTCCGAATCTCAGTTGAAGATGGTCCGAGAAACGTCGGTCAGCTGCGATCCAGCCTCTGCCGCTGGAATTTTTTGGACACAATTATCACTGCTGGCCGGGTTCCGATGACGAGCTTAAATCACACCGGAATGACGGCGGACTCGGCCTCGGCAGCTCGGTTTGGCTTGGCAGAATGGCAAAAGACTCCGTCTGGTCGGATGGCGTCACGCCAAAAGGACCTAAATCGCGCCAGGGTTTTCAGGTTGAAGAAGCGCAGTTTCCACGCGAGGCTCATTTGGAATAGGACTGCATATGCTCATTTAGAGGCTCCTTCAGAGGCGTGGGATGATGGAGTAAACAGCCCCGGCCTGCTTTCTGCATTGACGGAGGCGGCGCTCCCGCTGCGCCCGGCGCATGCTGGATGGATGTAAGATATCGGTGGTTGATACTGGACCGCCGACTCGGCCGAGTGCCCTCAGCTGGATCCAATTACCAGCCGCCTGGCAGTCACGGGCTTGGCGTTGATGGACCTGATCTAGACCGGGACTTGCTCCGTGCAATGCTCTTTCGAGTCGACAGGCTTCTAAAAATACGACAATGCTCAGAACAAGGCCTTGTTGCACCAAGGCACGAAGCGCAGCGCAATCTCGGACAGGGCGTCGCCGCTGCAGTCAGTGAGGCACGTAAAACCAGATGAATTGGACGGATTGAAGCGCGGGCCATCCGGAGGCCATGAACTTGTCTCGCTAACACTCGAGATGTCCAGCATCAGGGCTTCGACTTGGGGGCAGAGAGAGGCGGCCCGCCATGACCTCGAGCGGCGTTCGCGGCGTTCGTCGGCCGCCTCATCTATCCACCAGTTGAATGTTGTCCACCAGTTGAATGGGCTCGTCTGCGGCTGTGTGCGCTTGCGGATACTGCACCATCCCATCCAGAGCACCAGAGCACCACAGCACCGCAGCACCACGGCAGAATTGCACCATTGCACCAGGCTGGTTGATGACCAACGCCCGCTTGGTCCTCGTTCTCGCAGCAAAGTGCTGGCGTGTCGGCGATGGCCGCTTCGCATATCGAGCTTTGTCACGCAACCCCACTCCCTCCACCGGCTGGTTGAACCTTTTTCTCTTTCCATTGTGCGAACAGCCAACAGCCAGTAGCAGGCAATCTTGTGAAATCCGCCTTGTTTGACCAGCCCAACCGACGGCAATCTAACCTCGTACAGAGAGAGAAGCCGGGGATCGCCCACGGCACACACACAATCGTCGTCTCGTCAGTGACCCCCTCGTGTAAGGAAAACCGGCGCCAAGCTTGGCAAGCCCAGCAAGCCCAAACTGCGGAGGGCCACTGAAAGTAGTCTGAGACCATCCCGGGGGTGGCCTCAGGCGTCTTCGTGGCGCCGCCACGACCGAACGTCTTAGAAGAACAGCCGGGATGGGGCATGGAGGAACGGGCTCAAGGAGAGTTCGCAGCCGAGACTGGGGGACTGGACCCTCTTGATGCAGAGTCCATCCCGTCATGGTCAGAGAGAGCAAGCCTCGCCGTCACTCACGGTCACTCACGCCTCTTTCACGCCCTCACACTTCCTCTCCTGTCTCCTGCGCGACATACACACTCAGCCTCGGGAGGCGCCCTCCTCGCCACCTCCATGACGACCGCCGTGCCCTCCCGGGGAGGCCGGAAGTCTTCACTCCCAGGCCCTCACAGACGGAGGTGGCGCCCTTGGCTCTGGTACACACTCGCGGGAGAAGAAACGGAAGTCTTCTGGAAATCGCGAGCCCAGCGTTTGACACTGCGCCTTGGTCTTGGTTTGCAGCGTCGGCGCTGGAATGCCCGCCAATGCTCGCCCCCTCGGCAGATTTCCCTGCTAGCCCGGGGGCCAGGGGCTGTATCGAGCCGTCATGATTGGTGCTTCTTCTCGTGTGTGGTGGCTCCGTCCATTTCACCTTCTGCTTCGGGCAACACTGGTCGCATGCTCTCACATGCCCACCCCTGGACTCTCCGTCCTCAGTGGTCGGCCGGCTGCCGCCATGGGCCATGGATCATGGCGCTCCCTCTCTGTCTCCTCCTCGGGCCTTCTCCTGGTGAACACGCTTGACCAGCCCGTCCGTGGCCAGCCCATCGTCAGCCCGAGCCCAGCGGCCAGAGAGTCCTTAGCCATCCCGTTATTGGGTTGCCAGCCCAGCGCCCCCAAGAACAGTGCCCCCCAGCCAGCGTGTCTCCCCCCTGGGACCGAGGATGCCTCCCTCTTATCTCCCCTCGACACCCCGCGGACAGGCGCTCCAGACTCTCGAGACAGCAGATTGGGTTGCCTTTCTGGGAAACTTAGGCGAGGGAACTTTTGCTGGCCTTCTCACGCGCAGCACTTGGCGTCCCGTCCACCGAGTCTCTCTCCGGCTCTGGTCGCATCAACGACCCTATCACACCAGCTGTCATATCTTTCCCTGCTGGTGCGTCAAGTCTGGGGAACGATAACGTTAGCAGGGCCCTGGACGTGCACGCACTTTGGTATCACCGTTTTGGTTGCCCCCAAGCCAGTGCGCGCCCGCCGCCCATCTGGTCTGCGCGCCGTCGCAGTCTCCGGCTCCTCTTATTATACGTACCCGGGGATCATGGGCACTTCTGCCCGCTTGTCCATCCTCTCGTTCTCGACCTCCATTTTGAGCTCTCCCGCTCGCCACTTTGACGAGTGATGAATCCGCGCATTGGCGACTGAGGACCCAGCCGATGCTCTCGACTCGCTCGAGTCCGTCACTGACTGTCAGCCAGCCAGCGGACCGGGCCTCCTCAGTCGGCTTGGGCGCTCTGGCGCCATGTTCAATCCTTCAGCGGGTAGGCCTCGTGCTTCCGACTCCGACCCAGAACCTTCGTATGGCTTCACCGACCAAGCCTGGCCCAAATTCGGCCTCAACCCTTCGAATCCTTCCTCGATAGACCCTTCGCAGCCATCTCATGCCTCGGGGCGCAATTTCTCCTCCCTTATGGGCATGGACTGGGCACCCTCCCCATCCGACATGCAGCACAGCTTTCAGCACCAAGTTGACGATGCTTCCAACGATGTGGACATGGACATGAGCCCGCACCAGGACGGCGGAGGCGTTGGCCGCTTGGTTGCGCATTTCGAAAACAAAGGCTTCGCCCCGCCACTTCCTCCGAGACCCTCCAACACCGTCACAAGTCCTATGACCTCGAACCCGCCTGTGTCGTCGCCGTTTGGGAGTTTCTCTGTCGCATCCCACCATGTCGCAAGCCCCCTCAACAATTCATCCGAGGTCAACTACTCCTCTCTGGACGGCCCGTCACGAGTGACCAGTCCAATTGCCAGCCCGCCGCCCATGTCTTATGGTGGATTCCATCATGGTATGCATCAAGCAACCAGTCCCGTTGCTGGTTCATCTTCTGGGCAATATGGAAGCATGGACAGCTTCATGGTCAATCATCGAGTGCATAATCCCATGACCATGTCCTCGATGGGAACGTCTCCCATGATCACATCTCCTATGGTCGGAAATTCAATGGCGACATCGCCCATGACCTCAACGCCCATGATGGCATCCCCCAAGGTCACATCTCCAGCGCCTACCACCCCGGGCGTACCAGGGACGCCTGGATTTGCCATCTGGCGACCTCCTGTCCCAATGACCCCCAAGCCACTCATTGATCAGTCTCAGTTTAGCAGTAATACTGTCAATACTGGTGGATACTTTACCAAACCACCCATTCCTTCCACTCCTAAGCCAGTGATGAATGCTGGAAGCCAGCTCGTCCTGGACTTCAACTCTAGCTCCAACGCTCGAGGCAAAACCCCTGTCAGAGCCCCATCAAAGCAACCGACAAGACAGCCGGTACGACAACCGTCCAGACAACAACTGCCTATGCCTACACCTCCCGCATTCAGTCCTTCTCCAAAGCAAGAACCGCAGACGCCCCAGTTGCCTCGGGCGTCTCCATCCATTTCCCTACCCGTTAGTTATCCCCAACGCTTTCCCATGCTTACACAGGTTGTCGTTATTAACCATCTTCTCAGGCCGAACGACGTCCTTCGATGTCTCTCCGCCCCCAGACAGGAACTCGACCGTCACGGGAACAGGTTCCTGCTGAAGCTTGGGAGTCATTCAAATCGACTATCCGAGCCCTCTATCTTGAGGAGAGGAAACCCCTCAAGGAAGTCATGTCCATCATGGCCGACAAGTACGGGTTTCAGGCGACGTAAGTACTCTTTCTCGTGTGCCGTGTGTCTGTTGCTAAACTCCAATAGTCCGAAAATGTACAAGACACGGTTCTCGCAGTGGGGCTTCGTTAAGAACAACACCGAAGATGAAGTCAAGAGACTACTGTCCATGAAGTTCCAGCGTGACGCTGAGGGCAAGGTGTCTGAGTTCGTTCGAAACGGGAAAGTCGTAAATCTGGGCACTTATCTGAAGAGGAAGGGTGTAACGGAGTATGACTTGATTGATTTCGAGCAACCAGCCGATCTCCCAGCCCACATTCGATGCCGAACGCCAACCCCCCCGCCGGCCACTGGATATCTTCAATCCCCCGATCTTCTCAGGGCTCAAGAGACCGTCATCGGCAACATGAGGAAGGCTTTCCTGCAGTGCCGGCAATTTGAGGTGGAGACTGACACCCAAGTTGGGTGGACAACGATTGTGGTATGGGGAGCCGGGTCGAGCGAGCTGTTATTGGAAGCCAACCACTATTTTGAGATGAGGGACGCCGACCAGGGAGGCCACTACCTGATGATGGCTTTCAAACAGCTCGAGGTGGATTTGAAGAAGCTGTCGCCACAGGGCATCAAGGAGCTCCTTCTAGGAATGGTTCATCGCGACCCCGGCATGATGACCGCGCTGTGCAAGTATCTCGCGGCATATTCGACGACGAACTTCGAACGATCTCATCCTCTCCGGCAAATATTCACCTGTCTGTATGAAGTTCAGCAAAAGCATGGCCCTGGGACGCTGTCGGATCTCTTATGGGGCAGCATCCCCACGATCGCCGAGGAGCTGGAAGCCATCTACGGCCGGCGACATCCATATGTTGCACGCACATGGATTGATCTGGCCACCTTCTACAACCATGTCAACCCCGAGCGGTTGGAGAAGTTGGTAAATGAACTTCGACTGCTGCAGCGGCAGATGGAGAATCGACTTGGCACGGATAGTGTCGACGTCCTTGTCCTTCGACATGCCATTGTTCAGATGATGCACTCGGCAAGCCCGAACTCGGATAGCACGAAACAAGCCGCCATTGACCTCTGGAACCACATTCGCAATATGGGGCTCGTCTTCCCTGTGCGCGACTCCCGTCCAAATGTATACTGCTATCACAGTCCAGTCAAGGTCGATCCGTGGACGAAACGATGCCGACGACGATATGACCAGGGGGTGCAGTTTATGGAAGAACATGCAGGCGTACGAATTCTGCCGTACTTCGAGGAGGACTTCCATACAACGGAGCATGCTCTCGAGCCCCAAGACTCTTGGGCGGCAGCGATGGAGCAGCAAATGGGAGGCTCAAAATGGAGTTTTATCTGAGCTGGATCTCTAGAGGAATGCATGAGCTTGTTTCTTCCGATACCTTGGGGGTTGGATTGCCGCACTCTCTTGAGCAAGCCTTCGCCCATTCAAAATTCAACGCCGTCAACGAGCTTGGACGACAGACGCTGTCCACGACTGAACGATCCTCGGAGTCAAAATGGTGCAACACGCACCCGCGGTTTTTGTTTGTATATCGATTTGCTTTTCACCCACTCACAAGCCCGGAGTCTGGGATGGCATATTTCTTTTATTTTTTGAGTGTTTTCTTTTTTTGGTTCCTTCGTGGACTGGCGTTTGGGGGCGCCAAAGTGGCCAGGACGGGAGGAGAGGGATGGCCGGGTTGGTCTTTTTTTCGTTCTTGCTATGTGATTTTGCGCATACCATGTACATTAGGAAACGTTGCCTCTCGGGTGGGAAGGGTAGTGGGATTGCGACGGCATAATGACGATGACGAGACGATGGCAAGGGGAAAGAGAAGATGGTCGTTGATGGTGTTGTGGGTGGTTGAGTTGAGTGAGTTGAGGAGAGTGAGTGAGCCGAGCACAAGAGAGAGGCGCAAACGGAGAAGAGAAAAGGCGGTCGCAAGGAAGGATGTCTGGATTTTTCTCCCTCGGGGAAAGAGGGAAGGCGATACCCCATATCAACGGATGCATCCTGGAAGCCGGAACGAGAGGGAAGGAGCGATCAACGAGGGGACGGACCACTCGTCGGGCAGACAGGCACTCATGCATGCAGAGACAAGTTAGAAAGAAATATCATCAATACCAAAAACACACGCACGATGCTTCCAGTGACAAGTCAATTGTTCCCACTGCAGAGTTAATTAGCTCTCTCACCTGATTCGCACAATGGAATTGGGTTAATTGCCTGTTTCTTCTTCCCGGTGTCATGGCTTCTGAGAAGCTCTACCCGACATATCTCCGGCGCAAACCACCAAGTCCAATATTTCCATCACCAACATCCCACCGCATCACAATTCCATCTCCCACAATGCGCCTCCTGCCACGGCCACTCGCCCCCGGGCGCCTGTCCCCTCTTCGACTGAGCCGCCAATATTCCTCCGGTCACACCGTTCAAGGCATGCTCTCCCCGGCCCAAGTCCAATTCCGGGTCGTCTAACAACGACACCTCCAGAAAATGACGTCCTCTTCCTCCGCCAACAGGGCACAAACTTCCCCCGTTGGCACCTCACCGCACCCCTCCGCCCCGAATCCCGTGTCCGCCTCGCATACGGTGCCTCCGTCAACGCCTCGGATCTCATCGGCCGCAGTCTCCTCGACGTGGTCCCCGACTCCTCCGGCCGCGATGTCGTCCTGCACGAGCCGTCCATGGCGACCTACATCCTCAACAGCGCGCGGCAGGCCACGCCGGTGCGCAACCACCTGCCATCTCGGAAGACGACATCTTTCGCTGCGAATCTCAAAGTGCTGACGTGAGGCCCGGCCCCGGGACCTGTAGATCTACCCGCATGACGCAAACACCATCGTCTCACTGCTGGACCTGAACCTCCCGCGACCTGGAGAGGACGGCGAAGACTCCAATGCCCCGCCGTTCGAGATCTTCGAGGCTGGCACTGGCATGGGTAGCTTGACCCTCCACATCGCCCGCGCTCTCCACGCCGCCAACCCATCCACTACACCAGCGCTTCGCAACTCCCTCTGCACAGCGCACTACCGGCCGCACGATTTCGGGCTTGACCTCACCCCCGAGGACCAGGCTGCTTTCAACAGCTACCGCGCATCCCGCCGTGCCGTCCTCCACACACTCGATCGCAATCCCAAGCACTCGCGGGCCGCACACAAGCTGATTCGGCAGTTCCGCCGCTCTCTGTATTTCCCCACCATCGACTTCCACGTCGGCTCTATAGACGAATACCTCTCGGAGCGTCTCGCTCAGTCTGGTGGCACGCCCTTCTTCTCACACGCCATCCTCGACCTCCCCTCCGCTCATGAAAATGCCGTTCCTGTCATCCAAGCCCTGAAGCCCAATGGCCTCCTCATTCTCTTCAAGCCCTCCATTAGCCAGATTGGCGACTTCCAGACCTGGATGAAGCGCACCGACCAGCCTGTGCGTTTGGAGAGAGTTATAGAGCTTCCCGTCTCAACAACGGCCGATGGCGTCCGAGACAATGGCGGCGGTCGGGAGTGGGATGTTAAGACGGTTATTCCGAGAGGGGCTGAAGCCGATGCCCAGCCGGTCCAGGTCATGCGTCCCAAGGTTGGCGACCGAGTTGTCGGTGGTGGATTCGTTGCTCTTCTGCGGCGGTATCACGCCAAGGCTTCACCGGAAGCCGAGCCTGTCGAGGAGGAGGTGACACCTCAGGCGATACCGGACATCTAAATCGTAGGGTTCATCTGAAGCCCAACACAAACTCCTAAGAATGCGTCTATGAAGACGCCACTGCGTTCTTGCTGCAGATCCCTATTTGTGCAAGCCATCACGCCCTCTCGCTGCTTTGTAAACTATTTGTGCATAACAGGCCGGGCACTGTATCACCACAATTTATAGACAGCAAATAGAACCATAGACATCACGTTAAAACGAGACAATTCTGAATGAGGGAACAAACAAATGCCGCTTGCTATTCGGTATCGCTTCCCAAAGCACCAATGGGTATCTCTATGCACATGCTAACATATCCGTGCCTTCGTGTCAAATCGTTCTCCTGTTATCGTCATGATCGTGAACCACCTCCCCCACTGCACTCCTCTTGAGCGATCTCCCACCAGCCCTGAATATCGGTGTGGCGAGACCAAGAAGTGCAACGACCAGCATTGCTCCCCCCGACGGAGCTCCTATTAAATCCGCGGCCTGTATCCTGTGTGTATTCCAAAAGCGTCCAGGCTCATTATGTCAAAACCAATACATCCAGTGACTGGTCCCTCCGACCAGCGGCAAAAGAAAAGTAAAAATCGAAAAACAAAAACAATGATGCACCCTGCGAAATGGGTATGTGATGAGATGTGTACGTGTCGACACCCAGGTGGCCCAGTCAAGGGTTGGGTGTCGTGCCAAACTCGTTTTAAAGACTGTCGAGTATAAAATGCTGTAGATGCCGGTGAAATTTCGGCTGTTAGGCTCGCGCCTTATAGTGTCTTCCAATCTTGGATGCTTCCCGTCGATGCTTCTTTGGGTTCATTCCCAGTGGTGATAAAGGTGGTGAAACAGGATAGGAAATATAATGTAACAAGGGAGATTGAGGAGCAAGAACTGGGCGTATGAGCTTAGAAGCTGGTGATGCGGTCAGGAGCGCGAGCGCAACAGACCGTCAACTTCAAGCTCGTTCCAAGCTCCTCGCACTCCGAGAGTAGCGCCCGGTCGGCCCAAATACTCTTTCCGGATGGGTTCTCTGCCGCATTCTCGTAGCAGCGAGTGTACCACCATCGACCGACCCGGCCGACCATCCTAGTGATGCCCTCGTCGGCTAATGGGCCGTTGTCGCTCATCATTTCTGCTAGACTTGGCTGGTCTTTCTTCTTCTCCTCTGGGTCCTTGGCCTTGCGACTATCCGAGCGAGTAACAGAACTAGCCGCAGGAACACCAACTCGGGCCGCCTTGATGGTTGAAAAGCCCACCTTGCCAAGAAGACGAACGATGAGGTCAGCGGTTGAGGCGAGGTTGGTGTCAGGAGTCTTCTCGTTAACCCTCTCCTTGAGGCGTCGGACAACGCGGCGTCCCCGGTTACCCATGTTGTTAAGATCAACGTCGAGAATCGACAACTCAATGTAGCCTCCAGGCTTGAGCACACGACGAGCCTCAGTGAGGATGTTGCGATAGTATGACTCTGGTGCCGCTACCGGGAATCGGTATACGACTGCGGTGAAACTCTGTGGGGCAAAGGGGAACTTGTCGAGGTGGGAGACGTATTGAATCTGATGGTGGTTGGGAGGGCTGAGAGGGAAACTTGAGGCAGAATTCTGGAGCTCGGCTGGCAGAGGAGCCCGAGGAGACAGGTTGAAGAACGTCGCGGCCGGGTAGGTCTCTGCGGCGTAGAATGACCAGTCATCATTGCCGAGGCCATCAATCACAAGGATTGAATGCCGCTTGAGAGAGCCTTCAACCGGGACCAGCTCATGTCTAACATCGCTGAACAGCACGTGTCCAAACGTAAGCCACTTGCTGACCGTCATGGAGCCGACACGGAGGTTGACCTGGGCAAGCGGAGACGAGTCATCGGACGAGGTGCTGGCGTCCGATTTTCTGTCTTTGCGAGACGACCGGCTACTTCGCTGTGACTCGCTGACTTCTTCGGTCACGTCCACGCTGTTGTTTCGGCCGCGGTAACCAGCGACGAATTCAGAGACGGAAAACGGGGTGGACGGGCTTGGGTGAGGTTGGAAGGCAGCTCGGATCCTCTCCGTCATGTCACCGCTGTAGGTGCTTGAACCAGTAGTTGCCCTAGAATGCGTAGAGGCTTTGCGGGGGTCAAAGACAATTGTCGGCGATTCCATAGGCTTTCCCTTGGCCAACTTTGAATGATACGTCTCCAGGTGGAAGGGGGTGCCCTTCGAGGACGATGCTGATTTAGGGCCATTGACTTGGTCCTCGCCAAGCAGGTCATCGTACTCATCCCAAACCTCATCTTCTGCGGGGGGGTCACTGGGGTTGGGAATAACGGCAGTGGCCTCAGAGAAGGAAGGGACAGCAGAGCAGCTCGAGCTCGAGGTGCCAATGGTACCATGTGAATCCTTGCGGGGAGAGAAAGCAATGAACTCCTTCTCTCGGCTCTGCTCCAGCGACACGGCGGAGTTCGAATCATGAGACGAAACGTTGGTTCCGCTCTCAATTGTCGACCCTTCCATGGTGAGCTCTGGCATAGGTGTTGAAGGCTTGGGAAGGCTGGGGCCCTTTGCAATAGACTCAGCATCATACACTGCCGAGGCTCGAAGAGGCAACGTCAAACTAGCTCGGAAAGGTCGAGAAAAGCTCTTGGGGGAAAGGTGGTCGGAACGGTTGACAACTTTAGGAATCCTGCCAACTTGAGGTAGTCGACTTCGACGGCCAGACTTTTCTGTGCTCGTTGAGGGAGGGAGGAGAATCTGAGGAGCGGGCCGAACTTGACTGACAGGCTGTGCGAGAGGTAGTCGTGCCCTGGAGGTAGGCTTGGGAACCTCCCGTCGAATTGGTTGCTCAGGCTGTGGTGGAGTGCGAGTTGATGGTTGTGGAATCTCCGGGATTTCCGGGATCTCTGGGGTGCTCTGGGTCATATCAGGAGTACCGCTGAGACTCGGCGACTTCCTATAGACCTCCGCGCGCCTCAATACCTCTTGTACATCCATTGGCTCGCTATCCTCTTGTTCCGAAGAGTCCATCATGGCATAGAAGGGAACAGGTTTCTTCTCCACAACTTTGACGGTAGCAGCTACCGGCTCGTTCTTCTTGGAGTTTTGGTTGTTCTGCGACCGACCGAACAGGTTCCATTTCCGAGGAGATCGCGACCGCTTTGTCAGTTTCTTAGGCGCTGGCTGAACTGGCTTCGCATCACGAGAGATCTCTCGTTGCAACTCGAAATGAGATTCGTCCGACATCACACTCATATCAAAGCTAGTCATAGGCGAATTGGAGGTCTCTGAAGTGTTGATAGGCTGCGGCAACCGTAAAGGATCGTCCGGAGACGATCGCAGTCGCTGAACAGACCTTCGGAAGGCCAGAGTGGACTTCATGGTGACGCCTTCAGAGTCGCTGCTATCAGACGGCCGACGATACCCAAAGGCAGGGTTGGGAGTGCGCGACATTGGCGATGGCCATAACGTGTTTCGAGGTCCCTGCTGGGGAGCCGAAAGTGAGTCTGAGCTCTGCTTTGGTTGATCCTGAGTGAGGCTCTGGTAGCTGTCGGTTCGAGTCAGTTCCGAGCTGGCGTTCCGGTTCTCGACAATTGCTCCACCGGCAATGATGACAGGATTCATACGATCCGCAAGGAACGGGTCACTGCTGGTGGCATTGTCCTGAGAAGACTGTGTTCCTGGAGAGCCCCGAGGGATGTTGCTGATGCTGCCGCTACGACGGCGGATGCCTCCAATTCGACCGTAGCCCTCATGTCCTGTGCCAGCTACAGGGCCTTTGCGGACTATCTTCTTCTTTTCCTTTTCTTTTTTCTCCGTCTGGTTTCCATCAGTAGGGGCCTTCTTTCGACCGAAGAAGGCGAAGCGAGAGAAAGAGGTCGCGACGTTGGGACTTGGTGTGCGTGTGAGCCGAGGCAGCTCAGTGTTGCTTGTCTTCGTTTGGTCCACATTCAAGCGGGTTCGCGAGCGGGATGCCGCTTCGCCACCGATGGGAAGTCGGGATGTCGACGCCACCCTATCCGAATCCGAGAGTTGGTTGCTGGTCCTCGGGAGTGAGCTCGAAATGCCCACGTCACTCCCACGTCTCTCTGTTGGCAAAGATTGCGTGGAAAGATTGCTATGGATTATCGGAACAGGGCCAAACAGTTGTGAATGAATGTCCGGGGTTCCATCTCGGCTCGGTCGAGAAGGCGGGCCGGCCTTTGGAGACAGATGAGTCTGGCCAGGACTCGGCCGCATAATCCTTTCCGGGGACGGCGAATTCATCACAGGTCGTGATACTTTCCGCACAGTCTTGATCGGCGAATACTCATTTTGACCTTGGGAAAACTGGTGGGAGGACTTCCGGGGTGGCGGGCTTGGCGGAGGTGGTGGTAGTCGCTTGGCCTTCTCCTTCTTCATAGTTCTGTCACTCTCGCGGACGGTAGAATTCGAAGAAGAGGAGTTTAGCGACTCCCTGACCGCGGCCAGGCCATGAGGATCAGCAGTGATGGAGTCAACCTCATTGGGGATGCTACCAGCCCTTCTCCGAGTGACCGGTGGTCTGGTGTAAGAAGGACTGTTCAGCCGTCCCTTGACTGGGTTGACTCGAAATGATGTAACGAAGGAAGGCGATTGAGATGCAATAGACGTAGGAGTGGTATCACGACTGTAGGGTCCAGGTCCAGGAGATTCAGAAAACCTAGTGGAAGGGCTTCCGCTTGTCCCAGAGAACAACAAGCTGGCTGGAGTCGGGGGCGGTAGGTCATGAGTTGCTATCCGGAAAGGAACGTCAAGATTGGTTTCTGACGAGTTCGAGGGCCGTCGGACGTCTCGGTATCGGTCAAGTTCTGGGTAAATGACTTGTGACTTCCCACTCTTGTTCATATCGACTACCTCGGCGACCTGGATCTCGGCTGGGCTGTGGGTCAAGCTCCTATCCATATGGATGCCGAAAGCGAGGTCAATGGGTCCTCGTGATCGCCGGGTTGAAGAAGAGCTTGTGCGAGGTGATTCGTTGTTGGGGCTAGCGATGCCGCTGGAAAGAGACGACTTCTTCCTTCTTAGCACGTTCGGGGCGGGTTTCGAGGTGGTATCGATGGATCGCGCGGAAGAGGATGACCCGGATCCACCGCGAGGCTTGGTGCTTGAGCGGCTCGAACCGATAGTACTTGAAGAAGCCCATGATTGAGCTTGGTGGTTGAGGGCAGGCCGAGTAGTAGGTTGAGGAATCGAGGGCCGGCGGCTCGAGGGTTGTGGTACCCTGCTAGCTGGTCGTGATCCAGATGAGGGCGAGGGTTTCGGAATTGTCCTGGGAATGTCGGATTCCTTTCCTGTCCTGGTCAGGTTCAGTGGCCTTGGCGGGCTCAGAGTGTTTCGAGGATCCCCCATTCTTCTGGTCCGGGCCGTCCCTTCTATGGGCCTGGTCGGAAGGCCAGACCCCGACCTCACGGATTCCATTATATCCAACCTTAATCCCAGCGAAGTCCTCCAAAGCCCATGGTTCACCGGGGAATGCAATTATAGAAAGCAGGGGGGCAGGGGGGATTTGTATAGGAAATTAACAAAACATGCGACGGGTGAGAGATATAAGAAAGTCCGGAGGCGCGGGCGCGTAAATGGTATGTGTCGAGGTCGTTCGGTATTAGTGTGGAGGGGATGGGCAAGATGGTGGGGGAGTGAAACCGCTCCGCGGCTGCCAGGGATATGCCCGCCGAGAGTGGGCTAGCTCGAGGTGAAGGGGGTGTGATGGATGGGGATGGGCTCGCGTGTAGGTGAAGAGTCGGCTTGGGGTGGACAGACGTGATGGATGTCGGCAGTGAATTCGACCGGGTTGCGTCGGAGAGGCGATGAGGGAGGGATGCGCGCGGGGGCGGGGGTGCAGGATAGGATGGGATGCAAAGACTCGATCTCGACAGGAATAGGAAAAACAAAGAAGCAGGATCCGTGGGGAGGAAGAGGGTTGATGATAGAGAGAGAGAGAGGAAGAGATATGACAGCGGGGAGGCCCAAACGGGAGAGACGGAGCCATAGTATTTAGGTGATTGCCGCCGGTCTGGAGCATCGTCATGACTGGATGGCATGGGCCGGTACAGGAGTACAGGAGTACATGGGCAAGCCGACGAAGGTACATGCCAGGATGGGGATGGGATGGGAATGGGATGGGCTATTCTCACTGTGGCGTCTGATCCCTGGCCACACCAGCATGAAGCTGGGGGTGGGCTGTCGTTGGGTCTTGGGGCAAGGTGTGCGCTGAGGCGGCGGCGTCGGCGTCGGCGTGGAGTCGCCGATCGACAACCTCGAAGCCGCGGGTCGACGGGCGGCCGGGTTGAGAACTTTGAGTCACCTCACCTCTTTGGCCAGCGAGCCGTCACAGTGGGACTGTTAGGGGGGATTGTTAGGGGAGAGCCCTTGTTTGCTGCTCTGCAAACTGCGCCGCGCTGCTCCCACGGCCTGCATACCGCCCCGTCCTATGGGAGCCCTCTGGACGTGGCTTGCGCCTACCATTGGGCACCCAACCCTGCCTGGGATTTGCACGCACCTTTGCTGGGAGACGACGCTGCCAAGCTGCGAGCCACTGGGAGCCTGTCGCGCCCGTTGCACGCCTTAGAAGTTGGCCCGGGGGGGTCCATCATGGAGACGCTGCGGCGGGGCCCGCCAGTGCTAGGTCGCGATGCCTGTTGGCCTGCTGCCGGAGCGGTTTAGACGACGGTTTGTGGGTGGTCTCAGTGCTAGCCGTTGGTCGGTGGGCCCTGGGAGGGATGGGCCGATGGGACCAGGAGCCCTGGGTTGAAGCTAAATCCGGGTCCATTGTCCATCTGCCCATCTATCTGGACGCTGCTGGATGCACCAGATATCAGATCAGCCTGGATGTGGAGATGCTCGCCATGCAAAGGGGGCAGGGGAGAAGGGGGGGGGAGGGGGTAGTCTCGGGTAGTCTCTGTCATCGAATGGAGCTGAAAGAGCGAAAATCCCATCAAGGGTGTCAACAAAGGACACCGAAATGGGAATTTTGCAGTTGGTGCTGGTTGGTGAGGGTGGCATCTGAAGGGGGGGAGGGGGGGTGAGGGGCAAAAAATCAATGATAGTTCACAATTGATTGACTGACAGACTGGGCAGAAAACACCCTCAGTTCTTCTTCCAGCCAGTTTCGGCGCCCACTTCCACGACGAGACATGCTTGCTTCCAAGACACAACCGTTGCCAATGCCATGTGAACAGGACGAAATGGAGGCTCGCTTCGACGAGTCTGGGACTCTGCGGGTCTCAATGCCACCCACACCACGAGACCAGTTGCCTGGGCTCCAATCCTGCAACGCCCAGTCCTACCCCGAGGGTCAGTCGCGGCCTCCGCCGTCTCCAGCGAGGCGGCACGTCGTTGCGTGCTCTGCTGCGTGTCTAGGACATGCAGGCGGAATGTCTCGCTGCGTGCACTCCGACAGGGCAATCTGGGCTGTGTGCATCTGCATGTCTCACTGTTCGTCGTCACTGGCGTTCCCAGATCGGCTGGGGGGCCAGCCGTGACCACTACACGGGCGTTTTCGACCCAAATCACAAAACGACGCCTGCTGGTGGTGTGCGCACTCGTTCCCTAACAGGCAGGGTACGTTGAAGGCGGCCACGGCCACGGCATCGCATGAAGCATGTGGATAGGCGGACCGTCAGTCAGGCAGACGTATCGAGACTAGAGGCGGTCATGGTAAGGCTCCTTTCTACCAGCCAAGTCCCGAGAGGGACGAATACGCAAGTTCTTTCACTCTAGGTCCACCGCTTTCTCTCTCTCTCTCGCCCCTCTCTCGAGTATCAAGCATGCACAAGGATCGCCCAACCCGTGTCCAGTCACTTCTCCCAAGTCGCAAAGTCAAATCCCGACTGCCCAAAGCACCACCGGCGACAACATGCACTCATCGTTGGCTGCTTACATTGTGGGGAGTCTACTGTAGAGCTTGGGCCTATTCCCCTGCGCCTATTCCCTGCTTCTCTTCCCAGCGGGCACCATCTCCACCATTTGCTGCACGTTGCAGTAGCCTGGGCGGTTTGCAGCCTCAACATGCTCCCCATAATAGCACAGGACCCGTTCTTATTAGTGTGGGAGGCCGTTCGCCTTCATGCGTCTGCGCATGGGAGCGACAGGCGAGTGCAAATATCTGGCATTGCTAGGACTTCAATGTACGAAGCAGCGACTAGCAACGGCATCTAGTATCGACTAGCCACCGTCCCAGGTATTTGGGCCCAAAACCTTGATCCGTGTGCGCCCACACAAACACGTTCTCCATCGAGACCGGTGGGAGGGGCTGTCTCACCCATCCCGACCACCCTTGTCGTTGCTATTGCCTCTTACTACTTCGACATGGAGTACGAAAGCTGGCGCAGCAAGTTTGGCAACTTCAATAGTCACTAGGCAAAATCTCCACACAGTACTATCTATAGCTATGGATAAGGATTGGATATTCAGTTCCAGAGGCTAAGTCCTGAATTTTCACGCTTCATGTGCCCCGAATCCCTGGGTTCCCTAGGATGTAGAGACTTCCCCCTAAAGAACTGTTGTGTACGTTGGGTTAATGGTGGCCAAAAGGTGACTTTGGGGAGCAAGCACTAATTTTTAGTGCATTACGTGCTAAATAACAAGGGCATTATAGGGCTTGTCATTAAAAAGTTCCCGCCAGTACATACCTCGACCTGGGATATTGTCGAAATTCCTGTGCCAGCCATCGCCCCGTAACAATCGCCACCTTCGCCGTCTCCAATGGGCACAGTACGAACTCGTAGTCTGCGAGACATTCTGGAAACACTGGTCGTCTCTCGCCAATTCCAGGGGTCGGCGACAATAGGATATCCCGTTCCCATTCGCCAACCGGGGTATGCAAAGCGCCCTCCTTACCCGGGAGTGGCCATCCCACTCGCCTTTCCTGAATGTTTATTGGTCATTTCTATCTGATTTTCTACCAATCATCGTATACCCGTCGTTTCACCCCCATCCATCACCTGGGGGCGGGCTACCTAATGCATGTCTCTCCTTGCCTTGCTATAGCGGGCTTCTTATCCGCCGCGCCGAGACCGAACCTGTTCGCCAATCCTCGCCCACCAACTTGCACTTTCATATCAGTTATCGCCGCCATTACGGAATACGGCTGCTGCTTACGTTGGCTTTATCTTTGCCGCGTCCTTCCTTCCTTACTAAGACCAACCGGCAAGTTGTGTCCCGGAAAGTGTATCGGCCGAGACCGTGAAAGGCCATCAGTACACTTTAGCAAGTAAACGCTAAGGCATTGACCGTCCATCTGAATTCGCAAGCTCAAGGCTGGTCCCATGATACAATGACCAAGACAACCAGCCTCACGCGACCCAAAATGAAGGGCCAGGCGGGCCAACGGTCGGCAGTCGAGCATCGCCACCCGGCACTGAGACGTCATGATGAAAAAACTCTTGCCTTCACCGACACGGCAGGGCCATCACGAGGACCGGTTTCCCCTGTGAGGTTAGATCAGCCTTAGGCCAGGTGACCAAGTTACCTTCGGTCAGTCAGTCAGCCCAGCGGCCAGGAAGCCCAGCCATTCCCAACGGCCTGGTAGTGCCCGCGCGGCCCTGGTCAGCTCCCGAACCAGACGAAGCTGAAAGCTGCAGAATTAGGGTGGCGATGTTAATGCGCTGGCCCGCGTCTATGGCGGCTGTCGACGTCAAAATGCTAAAAAAACGAACCGGTTTCGGATCGTAATGCACTACCGATATAACTCGGGACTCGCTGCAGACCGGATGTCATCATCGGTTCCAAATGTGGCAATGGGGGAGGCAACCGGGTGCTCCGCCACGCCCGGCCACACTTGGGCCACAACGGCCACAGGGTTTTTTTCAAGGTGAGGCTGGTGCCCCGTCGACGTGGCACGACCCGCGTGGCTGGGCGCCCCGTCTTCACCTGTCAAGCCTCGCCCCAACCCAGATCTTGGGTGTGGCTGTTGAAGAACCGAGCGAATCGCAGCACCCCGGTGAGAGGGTGCCACCATTTCCTTGCCGAGATCCCTGCAAAGTCACTCTCATTTAGATCTCAAGTACTCGGGACTTGGCCTGGCGGTGAGGCCAGAGACAGGCGCTTGTGGTGCTTTGCCTCGTGCCAGCTCATCATCTTCCCAGCCGGCCACGCGCAAGCCTACAAGTCTCTCGAGGACCGTTCAAGAAAGAGAAGCGGACTATCAACCAGCTCGCCATGGCCTTGGGGGGCTCCAGCCCGCAAAGACTAGAGTCCACTGGAGTCCACTGGAGTCAACTGGAGTCGCCAACCACCTGGGTGCTTAGCCGCACTCTCCAATCGTAGCCGCCATCGGGCTCAGCGACCGGGGTGCTCATCGTGAGAGCAGGGGTTTCGCCGCTGCCATTGGCCTGCAGACTGAGACTCGACGAGTGTAGTCTCGGGTAACGTGACGACCTCGGACTCTGGAGGGGCCAGGGACGTCTCCAGGCTTGGCCAACTTTGTTCGCCACGGCCATGGCCATTGAGGTATGGTCTCATCGGCACGTTTTCTGGAGGGGGCCGGAGGTTGACGATGTCGTCCGAGAATGGCCTGTGTGGCTTACGCTGTTGGATGCGTCGTGATCCTTTTGGGAATGCGGGATTAGCGCGTCGACCAGTTGTCTTGCGTAGACGACATATGAGGAGCCGCGGGCCTGCGTCTTTCGTTGGCTCGTCCTGGTGGTAGACTATCGCGTGCTCGCTCCGCTATACTTGGTCATGACAACGTCGTTGGTCAGTCAGAAACTTCTTCTTCTCGACCGTGACTGGCGGTCTCCGTCCTGCCCTAAGAGGGTTTTCTATGACTCCATGGCCGTCATCTAGCCGGCCAGCCTCTCCTTCTCGTTGTGATAGGGCTGAGGGTTGTCGCTGTTATCAGCAGCCCTGCCTTAACTGGGACAGGCGAGATGCCAATAAAGGCGCGCCCCATCCCGGCTGAAGGCCCCATTCTCAGCTTCAGGTCGGAGCGCCTCTGAGCGTTACACGGGACGAATAGTCTGTGAGTTCAGTTGTCTCCGAGGCTGCGGCCCCGTCACTAAGGGACGCGGGCTTCAGGCGACGGCTGCGCTGGCTTCCCCGCCAATCCACCTCGCGAGACTTCCGGTGGTCGGCTCAAGTCTGGCCCGAGTTTTCGCTTATTCGTGTTGGTCCCTCTCCCTCTCCCTCTCTTTCTTGTGTGTGTGTGTGTGTGTGGTTGGGTCGATACTCGATAGGTAGGCTATGCTCCCCATCCAGGTCGGTATCATTAAGTCAGCACCTCAACTCACGCTTCCCAGTGGCTCCGGCTGCGAAACGCTAGCAAGCGGGAGAGGCAGTGGAGCAGAACCTGGGCGACGGCGCACGTCCATCCGCCATCCGTCGAGGCTAGGGAGTCTCCCCGCCCACCTTCACGACCCAGCAGGCTTGGCCTTGTTCAGAACTGCGACTGGTTGTGCGAGAGGGTGTGAAGGATTTGCTCCGATGCATCTGGATTCAGTCACGGGAAAGGGGGGAGGGTGAGTGAGACCCAGCCGACCCCTAACTACTGCTTGTGAAGATTTTTCTTCGTCTTGTTGTTATCAACCCGTCGATACGATTCGACAATTCCGAAGGAGCCGGTCGAGTCCGGCCAGAGTTGACGTGAACAAATCTGGTCATGGCCGATAAGCCTTGTAAGCTGCCATCAAGCGAGTCTTCTCACACACAGGCAAGCTTCCCCCTGAGAGGTTGGCCGTACAAATCCCAAGCCATCGTCAAGCTTTTTCTCGTCCCACACACGTTTTCCCCTTGATGTGCGGGCGTTGGCAATGCGCTATTGAGCTTGCTTTATCCAATCCTGATGTTCTCGCCATGGCGCTGCTGAAAGTTGTTTCCAGGCTTGGCAGAGGTGGCAAACGAAGTCCCAATGGATGACAACCGCATCTACCCGAGTGTTGTATAATCCCATTCCGTCTGAAAGCGAGAGGATGGGAGGTGTAGGTGCGGCCAAGCTCTGGTAGGCAGAGAGTCCCCTTCGAGGTGCCGAAACCATGACAGCCCAGGTCTATCGACATCGACATCACGTACTCAGAGAAGAAACTTTGGAGAAATATGAGACGTATCGAGTTGAGCCCCCGCAACGCCGATTCCTGTTTATTCTCTTTCCCTTCATTCTTTGCGCTTAAACATAGTAATTTTACATTTCAGAATCCGGCCGGTTGCGTCTGGAACCTCCGCTCCTCATCCCGCAATCTTGCCCAGTATCGAGCCCAAAATCGTTCATTCCCAGAAATAGAAAGAAGCCACTCGTCCGCCTGGAATCGTCTAGTTCGTAGCGAACCGAGCTGCGCGCTTCTCCGCCTTGGCCTTCTCCGAGGGGTCGTTGAGGATACCACCCCTGGAGGCGCCATCCCGTCGAGAACCACCCTCACGACCACCCTCACGGCCGCCCTCACGACCGCCTTCGCGTCCGCCATCGCGTCCGCCACGGCCGCGTCGTCGGCCACCACTCCTCCTGTCAAGACTCTGTCGCTTACTGTTGCGAGAGTTATCACCGTCGACACGCTCACGACCACGCTTGAGTGGGCGCTCAGGGAGGGCAGAATCGAGGCTGGAAGCCAACTCCTTCTCGTCGAGGCCAAAGCGATTGGCCCGCTGGGATCGCTTCTGTGAATCTTCATCCTCTTCGAGACCAAATCGCTTGGCGCGGTCGGCACGTTTCTTGGCTTCCTCGTCGGCAGCGGTAGAAGAGAGACCGATGGCGTAGGACTGCGCGGGCTCCGCTGGTTTCTCCTCTGACTCGGCGGGCTTCTCTTCGGCGGTCTCCTCAGCTGGCGCAGTCGCGGCGGGAGCTGCCTCAGCGGCGGGAGCCTCGGCGACTGGCTCGACAGCAGGGACGGCAGCGGCAGCGGGGGCGGCGGCAGGGGCGGCAGGAGCCTCGTCGTCGCTATAGCTAATCTCGTCTTCCTTGTTCTCAGCTGCGACGGGATGTGGGTTAGCTGAATGACGATCCAAGTGATGGGTTTGCGCGCGCGCATTCGAAGGGGTAGTCGTACCAGGCTTGGCGTCGCTCTCAGACTTCTTGTCGTTCTCCTGCAGGCGCGCAATCAAGTCGGCCTTGTTGCCAGTCTGCGGCAAACTCTTCTCCGCCAGGAGCTTCTTTAGCTCCGGCACCTTCAGGGAAGAGTACTCGGCCATGGCGCGCGTTTGGGTAGGGAGACAGCTTGTGTGGGAGAGGATCGCCGGGGTAGCAGAAGTTGGAAAGGGGGAGGGAGGGAGAGGGCGATGGCGTTTGCGATTGCAAAGCGCGCCGAGTTGAAGATAGAAATGAGGGGGATGGCGAAAGGGAGTGATGGAGATGGAGATGGAGAGGGGAGAGGCAGAGGCGTCTTTGATCAAGTCGAAGTGCTGGGCGGATGACGCTGGGATGGGATTTTAGTGGGACGCGCGCACCTTTGGCCTTTGTTGGCCTCTGGTCAGTCGCTAGCTTTTGCGCCTGGCGTGGGTGTTTTGTTCGCAGGGCGATGCGCACGGACCATATGTACCCCTTGCCTCACGTAAGGTCCAACCTTTTCAGGGACAAAGCAGCTCCCGGGTCAGTCATCCAAAGAGGAAAATCTGCATATCGAAGGATTGTACGGATAGCCTTGTTTCTTGGCCTAAGTTGGGTTCTTGTATAGGACTATTTGGTCTATGATACTGGTTCATAGTATTCACCAGTATCGGCAAGGTCATTGAGAGGACATGGAGAAGGATGACCAGACGGAAGGCTGTTCAGGTGCGGATAGAAGGTATGAGTGGAAGTGTTACACAAGTATATATAAGGAGAGGGTAAAATCTTCAGCGTCTAGATATTTAGCAGATTAACAATACGATGTAACATATTACGTAGCATTCCTTCCTTCACGTCTTCTAGCAATTTCAATACCTAGTAAGGCTGACCGCCTTAGCCCGATTAAGTTAGCCTCGGACTAATACTCCGAGAACGAGTCATCCATCGACGGGCAATACACCCGGTACGCATTATAAAACCGCATTGGCTTACAGAGAGAGTATCGTGCCTATCTAACTGTCCTTGACATTGGAGATTCCCAGAAGTGCCTTTGATTTAACACTTTTGCTTGGCAACACTGCCGTCAATACCTCGGCCATGAACAAACAATCTACAGGAAGCAGCACTCTAAGTGAACTGCTTGATGCTGCACCCATTGACATGGGTAAATACGAGGCACTCTACAAGCACTTTCACGAACACCCGGAACTATCCAATCTTGAGGCTCAGACTGCCAAAACGGTTGCATACCAATTATCGCAGCTCCTGGATTTTGAAATCACTACCAACATCGGCGGCCATGGCCTCGTCGGGGTTCTCAAGAACGGCCCAGGCAACACCATCCTTTTACGCGCTGATATCGATGCTCTACCAATTTTAGAGGCAACTGGCCTCCCCTATGCGAGCACCGTCACCATGCTCGACGCTGACGGCATTATGCGGCCTGTGATGCACGCGTGCGGTCATGACATGCATATGGCATGTCTCCTCGCTGCGGCTGAAGCGCTTGTTAAGCTAAAGCACACATGGAGCGGTACGTTGATTGTGCTGTTCCAGCCTGCAGAAGAGCGTGGCACTGGAGCAAAGGCGATGGTAGATGATGGCCTATATGACAAGCACGAGATCCCCGTGCCGGACTTTGTGCTTGGCCAGCATGTTATGGCCATGCGGGCAGGGAGCGTCGGGTCGAAGATGGGAACAATTATGGCCGGCGCGGATAGTATGAAGATTACACTGTCTGGACTTGGTGGTCACGGATCGCAGGTGAGTGGACATGAAAACTTGTCAATAGTTTTGAGAACTGACACCCACAGCCACATCGGACGATTGACCCTGCTGTCATGGCGGCTCATGTCGTTGTACGTCTCCAGTCAATCGTTAGCAGAGAGATTAATCCGAGCGACATTTCCGTCGTAACAGTTGGGAGTTTGCATGCCGGCCAGACAGAGAACGTCATCGCAGATTCTGCAGAAATCGGCCTCGACATACGCAGCGTGCGGCCGGAGACACGTGAGAAGCTCTTAGCTTCGATCCGACGTGTGGTGATAGCTGAATGCGAGGCAAGCGGCGCGACAGTCGCACCGGTGTTCAAAATGACTAGGCACTTGCCAGTTACAGTGAATGATGAGTCTATGATGAAGACGCTAGAAATGAGTTTCAAGGAGCATTTCGGTGACGACTTTGACTCGAATATAATGGCAACTACTATTGCAGAGGATTTCTCGGTCCTCGCATCTTCCCAGGGCAAGCCTTGTGCTTTTTGGCATTGGGGAGGAATCGAGGAGGGGCTATGGGATCAGAGACTGAAGGAAGGGAGGTTAGACGATATCCCTGCTAATCACACGGCGAGATTTGCGCCTGTCATACAACCCACGATGCGGACGGGTATTAATGCTCTTTGCATTGCTGCTCTTACTTTCTTCAACCAGAAGTTGTAATATAAACTCCAATGCCGATTCAACATCAGCTGTATTTCGACTTTGGACACCTGATTATAACCTGACCAGGTGGAAAGTAACCGGTGGTGTGAACCTCTTCTGGCGACTTGCGCTCGGGATAGCGACGCAATTTTGACACCATTGAACGATTCGTTCCTGAAAATCTGAATACTATGATGCCCTCGTTCACTTTCTCGTACGCCTGGCCATGTCTTGGTACTTTTGCCCCTGACAGCATTACAGCCCAACTAAAGCCACAAATGCACGCGCACGAATTTTTATGATGACGCCTCGGGGTATGACTTTAGTAGCTCTAAAATCCATCATCGAACAGACTAGGCACTGTTTTAGGTGAAAAGAGAAAGAACGAGGAGAAAAAGAAAACATGGCAGCAGGAAAAAGCAGAGGTAAATTGATGCCTCGCAAATTAAACAAGCATTAGCTCCGCCGATGTGCTGGTGTTGTCAGTGAAGGCTGAGTGTCACATACCGGTCCTGTCAATTTATAGACTAGGTAGGTAGGTTGCGTGGATGGTTGCGGTGGCAGCTCTGACGCTTCACAACGCCCGCTGTGTCTGGTTCCCCTATTCTGGCCTTCACCTGAAGCCCCATCACCGACCCGCTTGACTGACGAAATGGCATCATTGACCTCCCCAAAAGACGCGCGTATTGCCAAGGGGAGTCGTAGCACTGCCACAGTGGGCGCGCGCAACTTGCTATCACAAGCACGACAAGCCAGTCGCGAGGGGCTGAGACAGAGATTACTGCCAAGAGTTGGACAACACGGCGGCCCCTCGAGTGGGTTGAGGCTGGGAAGGCCAATTCCGTATCGGGAGCCGTGGTGAGCGTCAGACGGATGGCTGCCACGTTGGCTGACATCGAAGATTTCCCACAAGGCTTTGATGGAAAAATGATGGTCGAATGCTGTGCAGCTGTCAGAAGCAAAAGTGGATGGAAGCAAGCCAAAGGCGGCTCTAGGTTATTTCCCCAGACTGAGACCAGCGAGATCTGCTCCCGACTCCCGGCTCCGGCGGCTCCACTTTAGTCTCGCGAACGGCAAGTGCGAAGGGGCCACGAGCGCCGAGCGGCCACTGGCGGCCCCTTTGTGGCATGGCCGCATGGTCGAACGTAGAATTGGAAGCTGCGGCCGGGGAACATGTCGAGCACAGTCCGGGTTCCTTCCCCCTGTCCCGTCATCCGCTGCTTCCAGTCTTTGCATGCCCGCGCAACTCAAACTTGACCAACCTCTCGGTCCTTTAATTGCACACGTTGTCCGTCGTCGGTCGTCGCGAGCTCTTGGCAGACACCCCGTTATTGCTGCGTACTGATTTGCCCTGCTGGCTCTTCACGACTACTGCGACACACCGACGTTGCGACCGTCAGACGCCCGGCGCGACGCCCGCCCGCCAAGAAAGCTCCGAAACCATCACACGACGAACTGAGCTTCCCCGCCATCACCACCCTCCTTTCATCCTCCCTCCTCTGCGCCATGCGATAGCGCCCCCAGGAAGATGCGAATAGCCCGACCGTCGATCTTGCTCCCGAATGCCCGACATACCCGCTGCTACTTAGCTGCTGCCGCTCAACGTGGCTCCTGGCAGACTCTCGAATTTCTTTAGGCCTCCCGCCTCGACACCTCACCACCGTCTCTCAAGATGATGACCCGACGCATGGTGAATACCTCTCCTCCTTCTACTACCGGCATCCCTCTCTCAAGCCGGTCATGGATTCCTAGCTAACCGCGCCATCGTGTCGTCCAGGTCCGGGCCATCATCCAGCTCGTGAGTGCCGCCAGTTTCACCTTCCTCGTCGTCTTCCTACTCGACCGGAACTACCGAGTTCTCCCCAACGCCATCCATGGCTACATGCCCTCTCACCACCCGGGACTGGTGGTAACCGACGTTACCATCGCCACATGTTCTAGTCTCAACCTTTTCTCCTCGTGCGACATGGATCCTAAGAAATGGCATCGCCTCGACAAGGACCTATATCTCGGCAAGACCTGGATCTCGACTGCCTATATTTTCGTCAGCCGCAAGCATGAGGAGGAACTCACCGAGGATGACAAGGTTGTCGTGGGCGTTTCCGTCGGCAGGCTCCAACCTGCCCCCAAGGGCGAGTCGGATGAACGGTGGGAAAAGCGACCGAATGGCCTCTGGATTAAGCGATCAGCCAAGCCGAAGGCGAGCGACTCGAACCAAGCTGTGACGGATATCGACGTTGTCTTTGGAGATGATGCCGTTGAAGCCAGAGACGGCTGGGCCATTACAGGCACTCCTTTGCTCCTCAAGACAGGTGGCCACCTCCCCTGTGTACAGGTGTCTGTTCGTCAAGGTCCCCATCGTGAGATCAAGAAGCCCGTCCCCAGAATCAGGGACAATGGCCGCTTCAAGATCCTGCAGATCGGCGATCTGCACCTCAGTACTGGCCTTGGTAAATGTCGCGAACCTGTGCCGGACTCGTACAATGGTGGTCACTGTGAAGCAGACCCCAGGACCCTAGATTTTGTCACCAGAATCCTCGATGACGAGAAGCCTGACTTTGTCGTCCTGAGTGGCGACCAGGTCAATGGAGACACAGCCCCGGATGCGCCAACAGTCAGTCCCCCAACACCTCATCCCTAACCAGGCTCGCTAACCTTTTCCAGGCCATCTACAAATGGGCCGCTCTCTTGGTTCAGCGCAAGATTCCGTACGCTGCCATTTTTGGCAATCATGATGATGAAAAAACAATGTCCCGCGAGGGTCAAATGGCTCTCATGGAGTCCCTCCCATACTCCCTTTCTGCCGCCGGCCCCGCTGATATTGACGGCGTGGGCAACTACTACGTCGAGATTCTTGCTCGCGGCAAGTCGGACCACTCCGCCTTGACCATCTACTTCTTCGACACCCACGCCTACTCTCCCAATGAGCGCAAGTATCCTGGCTATGACTGGGTAAAGCCCAATCAGATAGAGTGGTTCGAGAAGACGGCCACCAGCCTCAAGAGTAATCACCAGCGCTATACCCACCGCCACATGGATATCGCCTTTATCCACATTCCCATGACAGAATACGCCGACCCTTTGTTGCCCCGTGTCGGTGAGTGGATAGAAGGCGTCACCGCCCCATTATTCAATTCAGGATTCCGCGATGCCCTCGTGAGACAAAACATCCTCATGGTCAGCGCTGGACAGTAAGCCATACCCTCCTCTCTCTCATGCAATCCATGTCTAACGTAAATCCCTAGTGACCACTGCAACGATTATTGCTCTCTCACTTCGCAAGGCGAGGATGAAGAACATATGACCCCGGCCATGTGGATGTGTTACGCTGGCGGCGCCGGCTTCGGTGGATATGCCGGCTACGGAGGTTACGTCCGCAGGCTCCGTGTCTTCGAGGTTGATATGAACGAGGCCCGAATTAAGACCTGGAAGAGGCTCGAGTACGGCGACACTGCTGCTCGTATCGACGAGCAGATTATTGTCGACGGTGGCAAGGCCAAGGAGAAAGCCCCTGAACCCCAGCCAGCCCAGGAACAACAACCCCCACCTGCGCCTCCGGCCGCGGTCCAGGCATAGGCCGCGGTCCTCTTAACTCCCAGGTCCAGAGTCCATCTACAAGTCTTATATACATTTTCCGACCTATGCTTTTTTGGAAAGATATCCCGGTTGAGCATCAAGAGCCTCGCCTCTCAAAAACCAGCGTCGTCGCCATCGATGGTTTTTTCACGACGATTTTCTCCCATATATTTTGTTTTGGGTCATAACTTCTCTTCTTGTATTCATGTTATAGGGAAGGGGGTTTTTATCGAGTCGGTCGCTACATACTATAGAACTGGGGGGTGGGGGGTTCTCCGCCTTGGCATACGGACCCCACGTTGTCTTTGGATGTTGATGGGAGGAGAAACGGTGTCCTTCGTTTCGTTACTACGGCTGCATTGTATGATATCTGAAGAAAAAGATCCCACCACCTGCTTCGGGTGGTGCAAACGGACAGGGGTGGGATGGGGACAGTGAGGAGTGGATACTCCGTACACAAGGCGATGTTTCTGATGCCAGAGCTTGTCTGCTGTGAGATGATTGACTGACATCAGTTATCTTATAAGATGCAGTAGGCATTTTTAGCACGGAACACGCTACTTGATTCTTGCAAATCGATATTTATCATATTTGTGCCTGTCATGTATGTCGTGAAGCGTACATTCCCAACTCCAACGCTTAACCCAACAAGACGATCCACCTCGACACCTATGTCTCCCTCACAAATCCCAAAATTACCCCATAAGGACCAGTCCTCTGAATACAAAAAATCATAACTGCAACGTTACGTGTTCTCCTCTCGCCGCCCCTCCCTCAACATCTCCAACAGCTCAAGTACCTTCTCCGTCCGACTCGCAGCGAAAAAGTCCTCGTTCTCATACATCTCACGTAACTTAGACCCTGTGGCCAAAACCTGCTCGTCCGAGTAAAGGTCACGCGCGGCGATCCTAATGACGAGGATTTCTCGGTAAAGCGACTCGGCAAGTTCAAATGCTGCGGCGACGGGTGCGTTTCGCGGATCGGATGTGGGTGACACATTGCCGTCTTTGTCACTAGCATTAGGTGGCTCAAAGCGAATGCCGTTGTCCTCGGCTATGGAGGTTGCCTGAAACCGCGCGCTGAGTGCCATGTTCTCCATCGTCGTCGTGTACGCAGGATGGGCGCGGCCCAGCGTCGGTGCCATGATATCTAGGGCCCTGTGGTACTTGACGCGGGCTTCAGCGTAGCGGCAGCGCATGTCGTCGATGACGGCGAGCTTTTGGATCGCATGGGCGGTGCTGGGGTGTTGAGGCCCAAGGGTGCGCGTCTTGATGTCGACAGACTGTGTGTAGAGCTGCTCAGCCTCATCGATGGCATTGCTAGCCTTTGAAATATGCGCGAGGTCCTCAAGGGCTTCGAGCGTCATCGGATGGCTCTGACCGAAGAGGTTCTGGTATGAAATGTAGACGCGGCGGTATAGTGCCTGGGCTTCTTCCATCTTGCCTAGGCGCTCCAGTGTGGCTGCGAGCTTCTGAACTGTTCCGACTGTTGTAAGGTCCGTAGGCCCGAGGGCTTCCTCCTGTTGCTGTTCGAGGGTCTCATACTGATCTTCCGCGCGATCGAGCTCGCCTTGCGCCGCGGCTACAGAGGCTTTGGCCATGGCGACGCGGAAGCCAAGAGCGCTGTCGATGGAAGCAATGTTAATGTTAGCCAGGACCTCTTGGCTCCGCTGCACCTCATTGGCCTGCTGGAGAAGCGCTGCCAGAGAAAGTGAGGTCTGTATTCTTTCGATTGAGCCCATGTTATCCTTGTGCTTCAAGGCCAGTTCGAAGCATCCGATTGCTTGGTCTAGAGCTCCCTGTGTCATACACGTGTTGCCCAGTACCTGCCATGCGACGTCATCATCGTCCGGAACCCCCTTTAGCACGCTGGACCAATCGTCATAGCACGTCTTTGCATGAGGGGCCATGATTCTCCCAAAGTCGTGGATCTCTGGCAATCTCGATGAGTCGACCTCCTTTTGACGAATGCCGTCGACACAGACGTTGCAGGCCAGCCATGCGTTGTCTATTTGTTCGGATTCCGTGAGAGAATCACGAACATGGTCTCGAGCAGCGGTGTCGAGCATAAAGTAGCCGAAGGAGGGAGAGGATGCAGAAGATGAGTTATGGGATGAATCCGGGGACTCGGACGGAGACAGTGCTTGGATAAAGTTTTCGTCCAGGAGATGCTGGAGAACGTCGCCCACATGGCTCAGATCCTGGAATGCTATAACATAATAAGTAATGACCATCCAAGTCCCGTCAGTTTACATACCATTCATCTCTTTAAAGGCGCCAATAAACCTGTCAGGTGCCGTCTTCAGCTGAGACGTGGCACAGAACAGCGCAACGGGAATAAAAGAAGACGAGAGCATCGCGCTTATCCGAAGAATAGTCTTCGTGACAGGCGACTGGTCAATGGTCGATCCCAGAAGGTGCAACGGCACCCTTGACTCCATATTTCGCTCGTAGTCTGCCACGGTAGAGTTTGTCTGCCGGATCGTTGACGCCGTCATGGCGATACTCTGTGGGTGATGCTGCAGACTCTGTACGATCCGCAGAGCAGCCTCGACTGCTGTATGTCAGCTTTGTCAGTGAAGAGTTACTATAATTCCCTACCTTGTTCTGGTTCCTCTAATGCGTAATCTCCTACCACCGAACCTATCAACTTGACTCCTTGGTCATCGCTCATAGAGTCTATATGGAGCTTCGTCCCCCACGCACAACAATTAATGTCCCTGGACGTCAATATGATCTGTCCCGAGAGGGTTAGAGGAATGAAATCAAATATGTCGTATGATGGCTCCACGTTGTCAAAAATGAGCAGCCACTTGTCGTTCTCTGGCCGGAGAAGCCAGTCCTTAACGGCTCGAACCACCGACTTGACTCGTAACGTATCTAGTTGCAGTATGCTCTTAACTTTGAGCATGTCTTCGACACCAGTAAGGCCGAGGTCATTCTCGACTTGGCTTCTTGGCGCATCTTTCGTGTAATGCGAAACCAGAGCGTTGGCAAACTCGAGGTAACTCGCAACCACAGTCTCCCAGCTTTCGGCCCAGATCCAGAAGACGAAGGAGATGTCATCCTTGTGCTTCTCGGCAAAGTGCCTGGCTAAGGTCGTCTTGCCGGTTCCTGGAAGGCCCAGTAGGTTTGCGATGGCAAAATGCAACTTGTGGGGTTCGATGGGAGGATTAAGGATTGCTTCCAGGCTTTCGATCAGATCCTCCCGTGGCACGATGATACTTGGCTCGGAGGGGAGTTTGTAGGGGATGGCAAATCCAGCGGACATGTATTCCAGATGATGGACTAGATGAAGATGTCAGTCAGTCCTCGTTTGCGGCATTGGGTTAGCCTACCTGCTGCCAAATCAAAAGGTTTCCGTTTTGCTTCCATTAGGTCAGAAGTTCGGCCCTTGTCAATCAATTCGCGAAACCTAGCAATGAACGTCTTATAGTTGGAATCTCGTCCTTGAAACTTGACTAAATCAGAGTGGGTTGCCGTCAAGCCAATCTGGACGCCGTCAGACCCTTGCATGGAATGCCGCTTGTCCACAATAAAGCCGTCGCTGGACTTCTTTGTCTCATGGAATGACAACCTGGGGAGGTTGGCCGTGATGGCCTTGAACGCCTCCATTTGGTTTTCGAGCCACTCGATATCGCTGGGTTGCGGCTCCATTGTGAAACTCCGCGAGCTGCGCGAACTGCGCGAACTCCTCGGGTCTGTTTCGAGCCCGGACGTGGTGCGCCTGATGACATTGGCGAGGGGCGAGGGCGACGACGGACGGCCGGGCGACAAGGTCCCGAAAAAGGCGACGCCGCACGTGGACAACTCGATGTCTTTGAGCTGCGGGTCGATGGCCTCGCTGGAAATGATGAGGGCGCGCTTGACGATCCAGCCGCCGAGGCTGTGGGCGATGAAGAAGAGCGGGCGGCGCGCGGTGCCGTCGCGACTACGCTGGGCGCCCAGCTCCTTAACCATGTCGAGAGCGCGGCCGTAGAGGACGTTTCGCACGAGGTAGCGGTAGTTGACGCCATCGGAGACGTAGCCATACGTCATGATGCGCGAGTTGGGAATATCCTTGGCGAGCAGTTCCTGAAGCCATGCTTTGGGTCTCGCCTTGGGCTCCGCCGTGGTCGTCCATGAGCGGAAGCCCTCGCCGCCAAGGCCATGGACAGCCACGATGCTGCTAAGAGTCAGTTTCGTATTCGTGAGCACAGGTCTCGTAGAGTGACTCACTCAATCTCTACATGCTCGGGGTTTCGCACAATTTGCAGGCCGCTGCTCTCGCCCGTCTTTGACCTCGAGACAACCGACACGGCGCCTCGCACACGGTGAAGCAGGCCTCGCAGCGGCTCCAAGGCCTCAGTAGCCATTCGGGGAGGTTCCTTGACGCTTTCAGCCGCAGCGGGAGATGGCGCGCATCTTGAGAAGGAAACAACGAGAATATGGAGATGGTTGGCGTCTGTTGAGTTGAGGCTGATGGTGGTGATAAGTGGCGTCTTCCGTTACACGTCGAGACAACGGCGCATGTGATCACAGTGAAGAGGCGCAGTTCTCTAAAAACCCCCGCCACTGTCCATCCGCCAGCTACAGACAGCACTACAGTTACAGCTGCAATACTGCTGAAATAATATTGTCTATGTATTATTTACTATTCATTATTTATTAATTCTCTCTGTAAATATAAATTTTAGTGTAAGAAGGGAACATGCAAAATCTAAAATGAAGAAAAATAAAAGATGCAATGCAATATGTTACTGTCCGAATAGCAATATACCCATTGTAATATCTGGCTGGGACGTTTAGTTTAGTGGGCTCTGCAGAGGTCCAGCGCTTTCGTCACCAGGCTCCCTCCCCTGGTGGCGTTCAGGAGGCCTGGCAGCGCGGCCAACAGGGCTGTGGCTGCCCGATGACTCTCTCCCATGACCATACTACCACGACAGGAAAGGACAAAAAGCGGACCAACGCGAGAGGGAAAATCAAAGTGTTGTATTATGCAAGGAACAGCTTCAAACTGTCGAGTTGGGTGTTTTCAAGAGATAAGCATGGAACCTGTAGTTCTTGTCAAGCATTGATTTCCACCTCTTACTTGACGATGCGTCAAGCATTGGACTTCTATGTATTCAATCTTATGAGCCATAGTTTCGCTCCGTCGTGTATCCCTTCAACTTCTTCCCAGTTATTCCTCCATGCTACAACACTTCACTTGCCCTCTAAGGCACCCAAATCATGGTATCTTGCGCAATTCTCATCCAATCATATCGTATCCAGCGAGCAGACGTCTCGTCCATCTCGCGCCATCCAAAACAAACATACGAGTCCCAGTAACGCCATCTGAGTCACTCACTTGACCAATGTCCAAAACGTATCGTCATCCTTATATCACGCCTCATATAGTCCCCTTCATCCAACAACCTCCAGATCGAATCCAAGCTCCGTCACAATCTCATCCCACTCCTGTTCCTCAACGCTCTTCTCGGTCGGCTCTTCTGGTGACGGCGGGCCCATGAACAGTCGCTCTGCGTTGCCCTCGACTGGCTTTTCCACCATCTGGGGCCAGTAGTCGAAGCCGTCCCGTACAGCAAACCCGTGCTTCTGCCCCAGGAACACTCGCCCCAGCTTCGCCCGCTTGCTATCCACCTTCACCAGACGCACCAGGCGGTATCCCAGGAACACAATCGTCTCCTCGTCGTACGTCGCCGAGTAGCCTGCCTCACGGACCACCTGCGCGTGCCCGCCGCCGCCGATGCGAATGCCGGTGTTGGGGTCCACGGGGATCTTACCTGAGGCGCCCGCGCCCTTGGTCCGCCCGGATTCGTCCTTAACCTCAAGGTTGACGAGCGTCACCACGTCGGTAATGAAGTATCCCTGGTCGTGGTTGCTGCGCAGCAGCTCAAACAGTTCCTCAAAGTACTGCTTGTTCTTGAGAAGCTCCGCGAACTTCTCGCCGGGCGAATCCATGTGCCAGAGGCGGGCGACGGTGGCGACCTTCTCGCTGCTGTCTTCCTTTGCACGCTCGACGAAACCCTCGAGGATCTCGTTGATGGAAGCCGACACCTTGGCATCCTTGATGCGGCGCTGCCAGAACTTGACGTTGTGAACCTGTACGGGCTTCGGGTCCAAGTCACTGACAAGCTCGCGGGGGAGCTTGTTGGATCGGTAGGGGATGCGCTTCTCTGTGGGCAGGTCGGGGTACTTGACGACACTTCCGATGAGCTTGTCGCGATATTCGCCAGCGTCAAGACGGGGCTGGATGAGCCAGAGCGGCTTCGTCTCGTGGGAGGGCAGAGACATGGTCTCCGTCTCCGTGCTTGTGGTTGATTGCTTGCCGGTACTGGTGATCTTCTTGTTTCGTTGGGCGTGGGTCGTCGAATAGAGAAGAGAATTCGTCAAGACACTTAAGCGAAAGACTCAGGTAGGATTGAATTAATAGAATTGTGAGTTTACCATTCAACCCAACGTAGGCACTCGCCGTATTTGTGCCCCCTCGCTCAGGCCTTGAATCGTAGCCACTTGCGAGCGGCATGACGTGGTTGGCCGAAGTGGCGACAGGGGCTGAGTCTGCCTCGCAAAGTGGCGGTGCAGGGATGTTGACGACAAAAATAATTAAGACATTTTACCTTCTCTTTACAGACATTTTGAAATTTAATATTGTCAGAGTGTCCCGGCATTGCAATCATGATCCCCATGACCTCTCCACCACCCGCTTCGGCAGTTGTGGCGGTGCCAGATTCTCAGCTTCCCCTGCGAGCGGCCTCCTGGTTACAGGGTAAGCCCACCACAATGCACTGGACCGATCTTCATAATTCAGGAATCCGACGATACTCGCATACATGGCCCAGGCTCGGGCGATTCATAGAAGTTTCGGGACTGCAAGAATTGTAAGTTGAGCACTGGTAGGTAATTCAGACCATAGCAAAGTAGTTTGACAAAATCGACACCACTTCCATTAGAGGTGTTGAAACTTGGAATCACTTTACATACATGACAATCAACAAGACCGCCACCACTGCTCCCTTTATCACTATCTGAAAAATCACTTGAAAATGGAAATCATAGATCTTCATGAATTTGCGTAAAGTACATGTAAGTTTAACAGCATATATATCTGGTGTATAATATATCTCTTCTCAATCTTCCTTTCCTCGCCTTCCACCGATGCAAAATAAAACATAAAGACAATCCGCCATCGCCATCCCTACAACCAGGAATCCAGAACAAATCCCAATGCCCCGTACCTTTGGAGGTGCTGCCACACGTCCACCACCATTCCACCTAGACGCCTTCCCTGTCTAGATGCCCGGATATACCCTATATATAGACACAGAAAGACAAAAATGCAAGGCATCGCTCGTAGCTCCGCCATCTCAACAGGCAGCCGAGTTTGAACTAAAAGGAAATAAAAAACTGGGGTGCTATGCTGCACCAGGGGGGATATCAAGAATTTGAAAGGAACGAAGAGTTGAAAAAAAAAAGATGAGCCATTTGAGGGTATGGCAAAGTGGTTGAGCTCAATCATGTGTGTGGCTCATCAAGGGTTGCAGACGAAGGGAATCCACAAAGCCTGCTCCGAAAGAGCAGAGGGTTGAGGTCTCACGGCTAAAACGTGACAACCTCCTGGTGAACCAGTTGCAAGACCCAGTGCGCCTCGTTACCGTTTGCAAACTGGAAACACCACTTCTTGACATTGCCTCCCGTGGCACCTGTCGCTGGTGCGGCGCCCACCACGCCATTATCGTCTTTCATCTCCTCCCAGACGCCGCACACGATTCCCCGGGTACCCATCTGCTGAAAGCATCCACTGCCCAGCACTGCGTCTAGCAGGATGGTTGGCTTATCCGACTCCTTACGTGGGATTGTAGTCACTGTCACCCGTTTTTCCAGGCCGTGGTTGGCACGGAGGGCCTGACGCCATCCAGGGGGCGGTCGTCGGATCTGTAGGCTGCAGTTGCCATAGTCTTCCCACTTTGCGGCAGATATGAGAAGGTGAAGTCGGATGCGGATGTTTTCTGATCCCAAGTTTGAAGGTCCGCGACCGCTGTTCTCGACGCTGATAGAGGGCGAGCGAGGAGTGTTGGTGCCACCGGAGGATGAGTCGGGAGTGTAGAAGCTATTTCCATACCCGCTGGCTCGGGTTTGTCTGTCCACAGAGGACCGGGCGAGGTTGAATGGCAGGTTCCCGCCCCCGGTGAGTCGTCTCAGGAAGCTTGTCGCGGAGAGACTCGACGATGGGGTCGTGCTAGCACCATCGTGTGAGGGAGCGCGAACCGAGCTCCTGTAGCTGTTCTTTCGGCCAAACCAACTTCTTCGGCGGCTGCTGGTGTCGTCTTCATTTCCAACAGGGCCCTTTCGTTCGCCGAAGCTCTTGAATCTAGCCTCATTCTCGAGTTCGATGAACTTCTGGTTGTTGAGGCGGGCGTGGTGGACCGACTTGTAAAGGTTGAAGCAGTCCGGGGCCGTGGGACATCGGAAGCGAAAGTTTCCTCCACCATGTGAATTGGATATCATGCAATCCTCCTTGACTGCGGAGCGAATTTCAAGATCAACAGAGGTACTTTGTCGAATCAAGACCAGTGGCGTGAGGTCCAATGCCAACATCGGCTTATCATCAAGCCCTTCAGAGACGCCGCCAGGGTTCAGGGGATATGCCTCAATTAGACCAGGGGAAACGACGATGGAACAATTGGCTGCAGAGATGTCCTTCCACAAGCCCTTTTCTGACCACTTGAAGATCGAGGCAATGAATCTTGTGGCGCTTTCCTCGGGAGCAATCTTTCGACCGTGTAGGCCGGCTTGAGATGCAGAATTGGATGGGGTGAGGCTGTAAGTGGAGCCGGAGACGACTGACTCCATGAGAGGAGGGGGGTAGGCTCGTTCTTGCTTGATACTGACTCCGAGCTCAGTTTCGGGTAGGTCTACGCTCTCAATTTCGTCATCAGAAGATTCAATATCGGATTCTGTTTCGGTGTAGTCTTCCGACATGTCCGTACCCTCCGTGAGAGAAGTTCCAGCCACGGACGAGCCTTCAGAAGGTAAGTATTCATGCTTGAGAGGGGAGGAGGTTCGGCGCTTGATGCGACCACTACTCTGGAGCTCAACAGGAGGGGTGAGAGATTGCGACTTGGATGAGGATTGTGGGCCGGGACTGGGGGTGAGAGTGCGATGAACTGGGGGAGGGGGTGCTCCATCGTCTCGATAGGGTGTGCTGTTGGGGGTTTTCTGGAACATGGAGGGATCGGGTCGCATGTCCTCACTGAGAGGAGTGCTCCTCTCTTCGGGACTTCTTTCATGATAATCATCCTGCGTCGGCGTCCTCTCCGAGTCTGGGTCCTCTGAGTGTGTTGCAGGTGGCGGTGTTGACGGGCCTGCAGACCGAGGTCGATACCGGGAAGGTAGGGGCTGCTTTGTGGGTGTCTGTGGGCTTGTTGGTGATGCTTCGGCAAGAGCTGTGCGAGAAGAGTGTGTGGAGAGAGGGGAGCGAGAGGAGCGAGATGAGCGTTTACTGGGCCCTCGTGCGCCCACAGGGACGTCCCTCATCCTCAACTTCGATGGGGTTTCGTCATCTCCACAAACACTTGGCTCTGGCTCCCTCGGCGGGACAGGAGCCACTGGGAGAACATCCAGCCAGTCCAGAATTTGATCCTCATTATCCGTCGTTAGAGTGAGTAGTTCATGCCACGGTCGACCATCGTGTGTGCCTCTGATCATGACCACCATGTCAAAGTTGCCTTCTCCCGTTCGCGCGGAGATTATGTCCATGGGGATAGGTGGGAAGAGGAGGTATGACCGGCGGCCACCACCAGTTTCTCGGATCAGGATATCGCCCTTGTCTTCAGGATGGCGCTCATTGTCTCTGTGAACTAACTCAACTTGACACTCAAGCCGCTGGCTATTTGAGTGAGCCAAGTCGAGTGAGAAGAAGTCCTTGGCGCTGACTTGGCGGTTCGGTTCGATGGTAACGTACTCCAGAGGCGCAAGCGTTCGTAGATCTCGCGATCTTGTGGTATCGGTGTTGCTTGCGTCTTCGTCCACCAACCTGGCGCTCTCTTCTCGGTGACGACGTCGGGCCTTGTCCTGCAAGTCCTCAAAATCTCTGAGAAGGTAATAAGAATCATTGGTTCCAATGATTGAGTCGATGCATTTGAAAAATTTGGCCATCTGCTTGATTCGCAGGAGGGGACGCTTCAAGAGATGCGCAACGTCGACTCGTTCTCCCTCGGAATCGACGATATCGCCGAACTCATTTCGTGGCATAGCATTCAACAGAGAGTCCTCATCGTCAAGTTTCCCAGAGGCTGGGGCGAGGTTGACGACCAAGTCTTGGAAACCTAGTCTCCAGGCATCAAGGTACTTGTGATAAATAGGTACTACACCGTGTCCCCAGGTAGCTAAACGGCGCATATCTGAAACTGGGGCCTTCCGATGGGTGAGTTTGAGCTTCTCCAGTGCAACTCCCATATGGATGACGGATTTTGACATGCTGCCCACTCGATTGGTTCGGTTTCCAGAGCCGAAGAGCTCCGTTGCGTTGTCATCGTTGACAACTTGAGAGAGAAGCACAGGAATAACGCCGTCAACTAGAGTTTTGAGTTCGCGGAGGTAGAGGTTCTCATCATCAGCAAATTCGTTGAGGAGGTCATCGGTGGTCACGTCGTTGGGGCCACCACGATTCTTTCGGAAGCTCGGGCGCGACCGATTGCTCTTGATTCTGGTGGGAACGTTGCTGTCGTTAGGCAGCGAAAGAACGGAGACAAGGTCAGAATGGCGAGTAAGCCGTCGCTTTAGGCCTGGGCCCTGGCTTTTGGACTTGGAAAGCTCGCTATCCCCAGTGAGAAGGGTGGACTGGGTCACAGTCGAGTTTGTCACAGTCGAGTTGGTTATAGAAGAGTGGGTCAACTCCGAACCGAGGGCACTAGAACCCTCCTCGGACATGATAGTTGAGAGCTCATGATGGCCGTTGGTCGGTGGCCTGAGTCTGGGTCCGAGCATTTTGGATACTGGGAGCTCCATGAGGATATCGTGCTGCGGGTCTCGACGCTCCTGTTCTTCTGGAGAGATAGACCTAGACTTGGAGAGCATTGTGGACTTGGAGAGTATTGTACTCTGGTTCCTGTGGACATCTGACTCTTCCCAATCTTCTGTCTCCTCATCGTATGTATACGTCCGTTCATCGTCATACCTGTCGTCATCATCATATCTGTAGCTGGGTTCAGAGTCCAGCTCGTACTCGTATCTTCGCTCTTCTCGGCTTTGGTAGGGCTTTGGCTTGGGCAATTGATTTCCAGATTCACCCTGGAAGGCCTCCTTTAGCATGCCTAGCAACTGCTTCTTGGCCCCGGGCTTGACAGGGGACGAAATGGTTCGAGTTGCTCGACTCCTCTTTAATCCGCTCGAATGTGGTGACTTGGTTTGTTCCTTGGCAGACTGCCGCTTTCGCTCTGGTGTCCGTTCCACTTCAGACTGGGCTTTAGGCTCAGGGCTTGGTTCGGGAGCTTCAATGGGTCGCTCAGCCGACTTCTCAGTCTCCATCTTGTCAAGTTTTTGAGTTGAAGCTCGTCGCTTTTGCCCATGGGATGATTTTCGACGGGTTTTGGTCGCAAGTGGAGACACAGTTTCAGGACTCAGCTCTCGCTCTTGGGGGGTCTGTTCTTTGGGAGCGGGCGCAGTCTCTTGCTCGGGTTCCTGCTCGGGTTCCTCCTTGTGTTCCTGTTTGAGTTCTTGCTTAGGTTCGTCGACAAACGGATCTGACGTATTGTTGGCTTCTACCGTGGTGTTGAGCCACTTTTCGATGCTGCGTGGGTTGTTTGGTACGGGATGTCTCGGGGGCTCGTTCAACTCGTGGATTATCTTCTTGCCCTCCTCCATGACCTTCTTGAACACCTTAGGCATGCCCTTGAAACTTGTGTTCCTATCCACCTTGGGCCGCTGCTTGGGGCGGCTTCGCGGGGGGCCTCCATGGATTGGAAGATCCAGTTCACTGAAGGCGGAGTTTCCGAAGGGGATTTCGCCTGGAATATCTGCAATTGACTTGGCCAGGATGCTGGAAGATAGGTCGGATGTGTCTAAGAGAGGCGGCTCCAGATTCGTCTCCTCCTCGGAAATGAAAGACGAATGATCTTTGCGCGCTGTAGAGCCAGAGTGGTGACTCTTGGGTCGCGATCTCCTCCTGCTGCCAGAGACACTCCGACGCTTAGTGGGAGTATCAATCACCGAGTCCTGATCTGCAACTTGGATCACCGGGTGATCCTCTTTGGTTCTTTTGGAGATGTTGGAATCTTCCTCAGTGACCTCGGTCTTTGTCACTTCGGACAGCTCTTCGGAAACCTCAGTCTTCGATTCCTCGGATCGTTTCTCGGTCACTTTGGTTCTCTCTGGGCGAGGACTAGTCCGCCGTGAGCTATGGGTGGATTTCCGCCTCAGCCTGGCTGTTCGAACAGAACCAGGCCGTGAGGTGCCTGCTTCCGAGGACACTTCGCTCATGGGTCGTACTCGTATCCCATCATCATCCAGCATTGTTTTCCGGATGGGGGTGACACGGATGCCGTCGTCCGCTGCTGATACAGACTTGGCAGACCGTTGGGTTGTCACCCGACTGCTGGTGGCATGGCTGGGCGTGGCTTCGCTTATAGTCTCGCCTAGATCGCTATATAATTCGCTCTCGGTGTCCTCAGTCCACGCCTTGGACCCAACGGACTTGGCGTATCTGTGGCTCCTGGGGGGTGGGGTATCCGGTATCTCCACTTTGGACGCCCATGATTTGACTTTGTTAGAGACAGACGGGTTCGCAGCGTTGCGGATAGTGAAGTCCTTCGGGAGTGGAGCTGGACCTGAGCCGTTGCCGTTCTTGGGGGTCCCCTGTTTGGGACGGGATTTTCGCCAGTGTTCGTCGCTGACGACTCTCTTCTTGGGTGGAACTTTGGCTGGTGCTTCTGGAGGCGGTTCTTTCTCTCTTTCCAATGTTTCCTGGGATTTGTTGTTGTTGACTCGCTTGGGTTTCCTCCTCATCTTGATCCGTACTCGATCTTCCTCGGTGACGCTCTTAACGTCCTCACCGTTGAAGGCAACCTCGGTAGGCTCTGTTGCTGCTTCGTCCGGAGTGTCCTCGACCGTGATAGCAGCATTGGCTTTCTGCCACTTCTTGACACGATCCTTGACGCCGCCCGGGGGCTGGACCTGCTTGACGGCATCCTGCCTCATTTCATGGCGCAACTCGGCTTTGACGGCCTCGAGGCTCATCCTCCGTTGGCGTTCAGCGGCAACTCGAGCGGGCGAGGGGCGGCCCATGAAGAAATCGGCGAGCAGGGTGGGCTCGGGCTTCTTGGAGGAGGTTCGGGCGCGAGGTCTGCCGGCCACTGGGGCCGACTTGGGCGTGGCTTTGGCATCGGCGAGCTTCTTGGCGGCCGAAGCGTTTTGAGGGGTCACGGGGATTTCGATGGTCGCAGGCTCGGGCGATGGATCGTCTTCGATTGGAGGGTTTGATGACGACATGGCCTCGGCTGGAGGTTGTCGAGTGTCGGTCAGCGCATGGCGGATTGGGCCGTGGTGGGGGAAAGGAATGTATGGGGATAGTTGGGGAGTTGAAGTTGAAGGTTACCTTTAGCTGCGCAACATGCTGAATGGAGGTGGAAGAGGTGCTGTGGCGCTCAAGGCGGCAGCATCTGAGTCTGGTCGCCCTCTTGTCCCTGACGTCGTGGGAATATCAACAAAAGCCGTTGTTGTGTTTGGTGGATTTAGCACCGACGGACCGACCGTCAACTCCCAAATAATCGAGATTGCGAGTTTGAACAGCGAATACAACACACGCGGGCAGAAAACCCACACAAAAATGACACGACTGAAGGAATGGAATGAAAATAAAGAGGATCCAGAAGAGTGAGCGAGTGTGTGTCAAGGAGAGACAGAGAGAGTGACCTGCTGATTGCGTTTGTGTTGGCGGCGCAGTTGTGTCGGGCCCGCGACTTGAGGTGGGAGCCCCAAAGCGAGCGCCTGCCTTGCATGGGGCAGGTGCAAGTGGGCAGCCGGTTGCTGGCGGCGGGTTGCTCGTTGCTGCCCTGGAGACGGCAGGAGCCAATGGGACCCACCGGTTCCCACCCAAGTGACCCAACTGCCAGCTTTGTCTCGAGGTCGCTCGGATGGTAAACAATGGCTGAGAGGGGGCGCCCCACTACGGCACGTCCACCCACCCACAACCACACACGACGCCCACCAAAGACACACCCAAGACACGCCCACGATGCCTCCGAAGGCTCGGGAGCCGCCTATCAAAGGCCCGCTGAGGCATCACCTGTGGCGTTGTCTAGCAGCCTCCAACAGCCTCCATCGCCCATCGCCCCTCCAAGGTCCCGGCAGGTCCCGGCAGGGGGGGTCAATCTCCAGCGCGACAGGGGTCTTGTCTTCTCATGGATGCTCAGGATGCTCTAGCTCCCCTCCTCCACCCACAACAATTAGCACCAAGTTCCCCCATCGCTGCGTCGCCGCATCGCCGCAGCCCCCGAGAGTCTATCCCGATCTGTCTGATGCCTCTATCTTCGCCCGTCGAATGATGGACGCGATCTGCACGAGATGGCGTGCATTGCGGCTACGGAATACCGGTCAAATCAGAATACTGTATTCGCCCTGTACATGGCATGTACTGACACCCCGACGCTGTTTCATGTCAACGAATATGCCGTACACCTCGTATGAAGGAGGCATTCCCGTATCAACACGTAAGGTTCTGCGCTGCGTTGTGTTCCACGTACGCATGTGCTCCGTACTCGTACATCAACGCCAGGGGCGCTTCCCACTAATTCACTGATCTCCTCCAGCTCCTCCGCCTCTGGTTCCGCTAGTGCCGCAAAACTCCTCTTTCGGGCCTTGTTGCAGTTGTCCCTGGCCTTGTTTTCGTTGCTGACGACAGCCTGTTCCATCAAAACAAGGAACATCGACCGCGACCTTGGTTGGGGATCCTAGCCGAGCCGGCACCCGGACCATGTCGACTGCGGCCCAAAACCTTAGAAGCGGTCAGATTCGATTTTCGATGATAGTGGAATCTTCGGATCGGACGAAAATTTCCCTCACTGTGTCCGGCTGAGACTTCTTTCCATCCCATTTCAACATGAAACCCAGCCAGCCTGACTGTCTCGGGCATCTATCCAAACATAAACATGTAGCCCAAGTGTCCCAAGTCAATATTAACACAAAGTGACTAGGCAGCCCGTGGTCAATATCTGATTCCATTAAGCGCCATAGACAGGGTTTCAACTCGGCACTTTAACCTGTTTCAGATTTGGATCGATCATGATGCAGAATGTCCATCCAAGGTGTCGATGCTCCCGCAACAACAAGCTAGGACCACCAACTTATCCCTGGGCTGCCGTTGTGGCGCCCTTGCCCACAGCGGCGCGAGTCCCCGCATTCTTGATGGAGTTAAGTTGCAATATATCTTCATCTAGGATCTGTTGCGGCAAGGGCTTGCGCGCCGTTCTTAGAAGAGATTCAATATTTTTTATTCTCCTTAAATACGTATATATCAATCGGATTGTGGGGATGTATGCATTTTCCTGTGCCCATCAGAGACGCATGTTCTCCTGCGCAAGCTGAGCTCACAGCTCTTGATCTACAGCTTCATCAAGATCTTCCCAGTCGTTCGTCGGCCCTCGAGGTCACAATGGGCTCTCTTGACCTCTGAAAGATCATATATCTTGGTAATGTTGATCTTCACCGTTCCTTGGCGGATCATACCCAAGATGCCCATAGCATAATGTCGCATCTCCTCTGGCGTTGTGATAAATGCCCCGAGCGTCGGCTTCATGATGGAGATATTCTTTGGCGTCAACATGTTTGGATCAATTGGCGGGACTGGGCCGCTTGCGGATCCAACAAAAACAACCTTGCCCTTTCGCTTGACCGCCTCGAGGCTTCCCTCCCAAGTGTTCTGGCCCACAAGGTCATAGACCACGTCGACTCCGCTCCCGTCTGTGAGGTCCTCGACTTGGTCAACCCAGGATGGACCTGAGGTGGATGTATAGTCAACAACGTGGTTGGCTCCATTCTCCAAGGCCAAGCGGCACTTATCTGGGCCTCCGGCTGTGGCGATTGTGATGGCCCCGATATTGCGGAGAATCTGGCACATGATTGAACCGAGGCCGCCCGCAGCAGCATGGATCAAGACAGTCTGTCCGCTTTTGACGGGATAGGCCTCCTCTAAAAGACTCAATGCTGTCATGCCAGCGAGGAAACCACCAACGGCTTCTTGCGACGAGACTCCGTCCGGAATCTTGATAGCCAAATGCGCAGGCATGGCGGTATACTCTGCGTACCCTCCCTGCCCGATCCACACCACCTTGTCTCCAATCTTCAGGCCGGCTGGGTTATCACCACAGATTTCCGCAATCTCTCCCGCGGCTTCATTTCCAATAATAAGTGGATAGCCGGAAGGTGATGGGTAGAAACCCGTTCTCAAGTAAACATCGACGTAATTGACACCGATAAAGTGGTTCTTTACGAGAACCTCCCCTTCCGAAAGCTCTGGTTTGGGAGCGTCCTGGTCATAGATCATGTTCCCGGCCGAGCCAGGTGCTTTGAGAATAACGGCTTTCATAGTTGAGATCTGAGATGGGCTGATCGCGAATTGAGAGAATGGAAGTGACGTGTGATTCTTTTGGGAGATTCGAAGGTAAAATTGCTTTGCTCGGCCACAATGTGTGTGAATTTATTATGGATAGCTCTGTAATGCGTTCAAGTAACGACGGAAACACAGGATGCCGACGTCCATCATTTTATACACTATGATAAATTTCAATCGGCCAACATCCTCTACTCTTAGCCATTCCATAGCCAGAAAACCGGACGATGCGGCCGAATAGTCCATCCGTCGGTCAAGTATTATATGTGATTTCAGGCCGAAAGATCCAAGTCTCGGCATTCGGCAAACACGCTCCCAAACTCCACTTGCCGCAGTGAATAGATCGGGACTTCTTCTCCTTCTGCCGGCGGACTGCTTGCTTACTTGCGATGGATACCCGAACCACATTCGTCCCCAAGTTAAACATCACCATAGGCAGGCCCATGTATTCCAGAACCGGCTACATTGAGAAGGTAGATTCGCATTATATCATCGTACCATATCATCATCAATTGTTACTTCAAAAAATAGGGCCTTGTCTCGGCGTTGCGGTTTCGATCACTACCGAAGAGCCGAATTCACTTCGGTATGTCAAATGTCCCCATTCTCGGCACTCGGCATATCATATATCGGCTACACAATGTCAATTGCCAGTACTGAAGACGCATTTGGAGGATTGACTTTGTCGTGTCATGCCATTTTTCGGCCGATTGTGCTGAGTAGGAGTCGGCCCATGTGTAAAGCGTTCTGTATTAGCGAGCAGATGTTGTGTTTCGAACTTTAGACCACAACTTAGCAACGGCTATATCTACTTTCTGGTTCCTCGATTTCCAACAGCACATTGAATCCAGTGCAGCAATCTATCATTGGAATCTCGTCCAGATTCAATTCTTGCTGCTTTGTCAACAATTCGCAAATCAGATCAAGAACAATCCCAAAGATGTCGTCCAGGTTGAACCAGTTGGCAGCCCAGCTGGCAGGCGCTCACACTGGTCATCCACTTCCGTCAAGCAATGACGTGCCAAAATATGAAGTTGTTGAGCAACCTCTAGGAACTACGCGCCATCTTCGAATTATCGGCATCGGAGCCGGCATGAGCGGCATGAACATGATCCGGACACTGCGACTTCATCTTACTGACTATGAGCACATCGTTTATGAGAAGAACCCTGTTATCGGCGGGACATGGTACGAAAATCGCTACCCAGGGTGTAAATGCGATGTTCCATCTCACAACTATCAATTTTCCTGGCGGCCAAACCCTGAGTGGTCAAGTTTCTTCTCCCCAGCTACAGAGATTCAAGACTACCTTTGTCGCGTTTGTGAGGAAGAGAACATGCATGGCTTGATCAAGACTCAGCATCAGGTTGAAGGGGCGCAGTGGGACGAAAACGACGGCGTCTGGCGTCTGCAGATCCGTAACTTGCAGTCGGACACTCTTTTCAACGACCATTGTCACTTCCTCCTTGATTCGTGTGGGATTTTGAAGTAAGTACCACGTCACTGCATAGAGGGTCATTCGATGCTGATTTGGCTAGCAATTGGAAGTGGCCTGAAATCCCTGGCCTGCACGACTTCCAGGGCGACCTGGTTCACAGCGCAAACTGGCCCGAAAAGTTTGACGATGCTGGCAAGACAGTCGCACTTATTGGCAATGGTTCCTCTGGCGTGCAAATTCTCCCAGAGATTCAGAAGAGTAAGCGACATCCGCGCATGATGAGATTGTTATATTAATCTTGCTCTAGATGCCAAGCATTTGGTGCATTTTGTCCGTGAACCAACTTGGATTGTGCCCTCGAGACTTCAGTTAATAGCCCAAAGCCGAGGAAGTATCCTGGAGGGGGTCGAGATAAATGAGGACGAAGGGTTCTCCAAGGCCCAGATTGAACGCTTCAAGTCGGACCCTGTCTTCTACAGGAAATTTATCAAGGCCATTGAAGAAGTCGTAAACGGGAACTTTCCCCTTGTAAGTCCAATCCTGCATCACTGTGTCAGCTACTACATTTGCTTACTTGTCTATAGACCCTAAAGGACACGGATTTCGCTGCATTCATGCAGGAGAGAGTGAAGGAATACATGACTGATGCATTGCAAGGGGACAAGCGCCTTTGTGATGCGATGATCCCTGATTTCCCTCTGGGATGCCGCCGACTTACACCAGGCGTGGGGTACCTGGAAGCTCTCAAAGCCCCCAACGTGACGGTTGTAACGGACCCGATAACCAGAGTGGTGCCGCAGGGCCTGGAGACTTCAACGGGAGAGCTTATTAAAGTGGATGCTATCGTCTGCGCAACCGGCTTTAATGTCTCGTTTTGCCCGCGATTCCCGATTCTTGGCCGCAAAGGCAACCTCCAAGACAAGTGGACCAGGGAGATGCCGAAATCATACATGTCGTGTGCAGTCCCAGGGTTTCCAAACTACTTCAGTAAGTTTTGCTACTTATCCCGCCCCAATATGAGTTTGAGGCTGGTCTGACTGACATTTCGTCCAGCGTTCCTTGGACCCAATGCGCCCATCGGGCATGGCAGTGTTTTCACTATCGCAGAACACATTGCCAAGTATATGACCAAGATCATTAAGAAATGCCAGACCGAGGGTATCAAGGCCATCTCGCCCAGTCAGTCTGCTGTTGATGAGCTATCTGAGCACACGCAAATTTTCATGCCGCGAACAGCCTGGACTGGAAACTGTATCTCATGGTTTAAAAACGGGACTGTTGATGGCCCGGTCACAGCTCTTCACCCCGGTAGCCGCATTCACTTTTTCCACATGATGGAAAACTTCAGGGGTGAGGATTGGGAATACACTTATATGCGGAAGGGTAACCGGTTCCTTTATCTCGGAAACGGCTTTTCGACCAGGGAGGAGGAAGGCGAGGATTCGACATGGTACTTGGATGAACCAGACAAGCTGTGACAGAATCTTTCTGTCACCATATTTATGGCTGTTTCTGCACTCCCCTCTCTTGCTTTTAAGTGTGAATCTATTAAATTCGATGAATAAAACACTGTGTCCCCGATAAATGCCGCTCCGCGAAGATTCTCCTCGGTTGTTTATTTCGTCTTAGAAGTGAAGCACGGGTTGAGCCAAATGATTCGACAGAACTGCATTCACAACGAAGCAGCAGGCTAGGTGTTGTTGGGAGGTAGGGTTGGTCGAGTTAAGGACGGTCACAAGGTGGGCAGCATTGGAGATAAATAGTTGAAGCAATCGAAATGTACTTGCCCGCTTTACTTTTCTCAGTTAGCGTATAGACTTCACTTATCTAGAGATGAACATTCACCCAGGGCAAAATCTTCTTCAGCCTAAATTAAAAGTCTCATTTCACCTTTAAACTACCCTCAGGAAAACTGGATGCCTCCATCAACAATGACACTCTGGCCCGTGATCAACTTTGAATCCTTTCCCACTAGGAAGCTCACACAGCCTGCTATATCTTCCACTGTAGCCGGTTTCTTCATCGCGGGTCTCTCATTGACGGCCTTGTCCCAAACATAGCCAAGCGGAACGCCCATCTTGTCAGAGATAGTCGCATCAATATGATCCCACATTGGGGTCTTCACCATGCCCGGGCAATACGCGTTGACGTTTATATCATGAGGCGCCAATTCGATTGCGGAAGCTTGCGTCAGGCCCCGGACGGCCCATTTGCTCACTCCATAGGCCAGAGCTGTAGGCTGCGGTCTGTAGCCAGAAATGGAACAAGCGCCCACGATTCTCCCTCCCTTTCCTTGATAGATCATCTGCTTGGCGGCCTTTTGATAGCAGAGAAAGACTCCCTTCACGTTGACGGCTTGTATTTTGTCGAATTCCGAGACGCTCAGATCCAACAGCCCCTTCATCATCATCATGCCGGCATTGGCAACCATGACGTTGAGTTCGCCCAGAGCGGAGACTGTGTCGTCTACGAGACGCTGCACGTCGGTCTCATCACTAACGTCACCTGTGATGACAACGGCCTTTCTACCCCGAGCACGAATCTCGTGATCCAGTTCGTCAAGTTTCTGCTGCTGGGACGGCAGGTCATTGACAGCCAGGTCGAACCCATCCTCTGCCAGCCGCAGGGCAATTGCGCGGCCAATGCCTTGAGAGGCTCCGGTGACGATAGCTACGGGCATGGTTGGCGGATTATAATGAGTATCAGTGATGGTATAATAATACACGTGAAGCTGGGTATCTAGGACCTTCTATCATCAGATTTATCCGCGCCATGTGTTCCTCTTAATACTTCGGCACCCGGCTCCTCGGACCAGTCGCACTGTACGATGCCCATCCTGCAATGCCATATCTCATTCTCAACTTTCCTTACTATTGGAACAGCTCCCCGCAATATTACATGACGAAGTTCGATCCGAGTGCTGGATTCGATGGCGACAGCGGAGGATGGTTGTGCCGAGTGCCGAGTGCCGAACCCCATGATACCGACACTGCCCATTGGAAGACGTACGAGAAACTCTCCAAATCAAGCCAAAAGTGATTCCCACTACGGATTCTTGGTCTAGCTCACGGCGTCACGGATATCGCCTCCAACCCGACCAACCGCGTAACATCTCCAGTGCGTCAACGTGCTTGCAAATCAGATCGTGCCTCGGTACCCCTCCTTGATTAATCATGCCGTCGCTTATTTCCAGAGCCCCATTTCCCCAGATTTTCTTCCATCATGGCAGACACTAATCGACTGTTTGCTGATAAGACAGGATGAGATTGTCCAATTGATGTCGTTCGGCACATCAGTCTGACCCGCGCATCATGGACATGAGACCCATACGAGACCGAGCCCTGGTGGTCTGTATCCAGTGCCATTCTCGAAAGGTGTGTTTTGCTCAGCCTGGCGCCCTGTGTATCGCACAAGACAATATGGCTGACTGGTGACCTAGGTCAAGTGTGACTTACAAGAGAGCCCCGACGAGACGTGTAAGAATTGCCGTCGCTCGAATCAAACATGCATGTGAGTCTCATCTTATCCCCAGTCTCCGTCTAGGATCATGCGTTTGAAGAGACTCACTCAGGCAGCCGGCGCAATGGGGTCCGAAAGAGACGAAAGCCGACGGCTCGCAGAGGGAGCACTCAGCCGACGGCATCTCCACGAAACTCGGCTGATCAGGTAGTGCTGGGCATTCTGTCCCCCACTCACTCCAGCGTCACACCAGCCGTCATCACCCCTGCCACGTCAACAGCTCGGCAGCCGGATAGCTTCATCGCCGCCGCCTCGGTTCTGTCGTACGGGCCTGCGGGAGACCAGATGCTGTCCGAGACATCGTTCAACCCCCAATCTCCAAGCATCCGGGAAGCCATCCTCAATGTCACCCAAGCCGCCGTCCTGCCTCGCCCAGCCATGCTACAGGCATTGACAGACGCCTTCTTCGAGCACATCTTTCCCTTCTACTCGGTAGTGGACAGATCTGATGTGTTTGGTCCCAACCCTTCGATCCTACTGCAACAGGCCATTTGTCTCGCGGCAAGTTTGATACGCCACGATCAGACTAGCTTAGATCTTGCCTATGCCCAGTACGAGAAGGTGAAGACCCTGATACACCTCAACTACGAGCTCGACCACCTGGTGCTACTAAAGACATTATGCATCGTGTCATGCTGGAGCCCCTACCCCACTGACTGTGTTACCATCGATGGCCCTTGGCATTGGTCAGGAATGGCGATACGACTGGCTATTCAGATGGGTCTGCATAAGCAGTCAACATATACTAATCAGCCGAATTCTAGCTGCTTTCGGCGGATTTTCTGGCACCTTATTGTAATCCCCCCACCCAAAACATCTCGAGGTTGTTATCTAACTGTGGACAGAATATCGATAACTTTCTAATAGCTTGTTGGGGTCGCCCACTCGCTATCAAACTCGAGGACTGCGATGTGACCCCGCTTACAATTCAAGACTTCCCTGACAACAACCTTCCAACTTTAGTCGCTCTCGAGGGCCGCAGGATTCTCGAAATCATTGGCACTATTGGCGAGCTCAACATTCAAAAGCGCAACATCTTGTCGGAAGAGATCTTGAAGCTCATTACTTCATTGAGCGAATGGCAACGAGATCTCCCTGATGAGCTTCGGCTGCACGATGTAGATGGTGCCAGACGACCATTCCATCGCCCCACATCCGAACTCTTCATCTATTACTTCGGCGCCATTATCCTCCTGCAGATTTTAGGCCAGAGACCTTATCAGCAGTGGCAATCGTCAACCCTATCTCTTACTGCAGCTTCGTGCATGGCTTCGCTCTACGAAGAGATCCACTCACGAGAGCAGTCGACTTATCTCCTAAACTTCCACGGCTTCTTTTGCATGGCCGCTGCTGTGCCGCTCATTCTTTGCTCACGCCCTTTAGGGGACTACGACGAGCGCGAAAGCCAGATGGAGGTGATTTGCTCTGTTCTGGAGTGCTTGAGGACGAGATATGGCGGTGCTGACCTCGTGCTGAGGAAAGTGCAGAGGCTACGCAGCGACTCTGAGAGTTTTGAGGGGACCATTTTACAAGAGTCCCGGGTGGATCGGATGGATTCTACTGCGAGGCGCAGACTTGAAGAATGCTGGGATCAGCTCTTCCCCTTTCCGCCCAGCTTCTGCAAGCGTGTGGATGGCCTGGATTTTCTCGATATGTTCGGCTCTGACAGCACTGACTGCGTTGGAGTCGCTCCCAACTTGACCATGTTTGACATATTGGGGATGGACACGACCTCGTTTAATGTATTTGGGTCTGAGCCGAGTCTCGATTCGTTCGATACTTGCCCGAGATAATCGTGGCGGAATGCGCAGTTAGAGCAGTGCCATCATTGGCGGGGACAGGATATAGTAAATAAATGGGCAAAGCTCTGAACGGCCCAGTACCAGTAATTTGCAAAAATTCAAGACATGTGAACAGACACAGGCTCCAGAGTTTATTCATGCCGGCATGGCCGATTGCATTTCCACGGACAAGTCTTAACTGACGAGCTGTTCCATTCTTGGTCGGTACTCGGCACTCGGTTTAAGAAGACGCTGGATCTGCGGCATCCATTCGGCGCCTTCGGTTGTTTGAAGCGCCGAAGAAAGGGATTGGAACATCTCTCAGGCTTTATAATAGTATCATAAATTCGGTTTCTACGTTTATTACAGCTCCTCTCTCTTCGCTGCCTTTAAACCTATTTCACTAAACAAACATTATGTCTCAACCTTCAGAGAAGCTCCTCCTAGGGGCCCAGATGACCCAGAAGTTCTTGGGCGAAGAAATGTTGGAGCGAATCCAGGAAACATCAGTAAGACCTCTCAAAATCACTTAATCTAACTAAACCATTACTAACCAAGACTTTACTGTAGCGCAATGACCTCCCTGCCCAGATCGGTTCCGAGTACATCGCGGAGGTGTGCTTCTCAAGCTACGCCCGACCAGAACTCCAGTTTAGAGAGAGGTCGTTGATGAATATCGCCATGATGATTGCGCTCAACCGTGGGCCGGAGTTGCGAATCCATATCGAGGCGGGACTGCGGAATGGCTTGACTCAGGAGCAGATCTGTGAAGCTTGTAGGCATGCCATGATTTACTGTGGAGTGCCAGCTGGACGAGATGCTTTGGCCGCTGCTAGCGACATATTTGCAGCGGTGGAGGCGAGAACAAAGAAAGGAAATTCTGCGAAACTCGCCTAAGTACGGCCGAGCATTACTTAGACTTGGGTAAATCTCATGGATTACCTCAAAATGTTCAATACACCAGAAGCCGGCTCGCGGGCCTCAGTTACCCTGAACAAGGTATCCCGATAATTTATTGTTGAGGATCACAGCCACGGTGACGGACTTACATAATATGAGCGAAGTATTCGGTGGTAAAAAAAATAGATTGATGAAATGATGAAATACTAAATAATCCTCATCTTGGAGGCATGCTGGCGGATTGCTCCTCTGGAAATATAACTGAAATGTAGACAATTTGACCGCCCGTATGCTTAACAGTCATGATGTGCCAGACTAACCCAAACAAAAGAAAATACCCTCAATGAAACCTAATAGTCCTCCGATGGACCAGCCATGTACTAATGATCCATACCAGGGAACCGAAGATGGAACTGAATGCTGAGGCACACCCCAAACTCCACCATGCAATGCAAGACACTAGGAAAGTAAGGCAAATCCGTAAACTCCAGTCCGATGCAATATGTTCTCCGTCACAAGCCTAGAACCCTTAGTCCGTCTGGGCCGGCAGCACAAAGCGGACCCTCTTCTTCGGCTTCGTGGACTTCTTCGCGCGTGCAGCCTTGCGCTCCTCCTCGGCATCGCCCACATCGCTCCGTGCCGCGACGCTGCTGCCCAGGTCGCTCATTAGCTCCTCCTCTGTCTCCTCCTCAATAGACCACACGTCAGGGCTGGGCTCGCGCCACACCTGGCCCGGACGGCGCCGCGACGACACGGTGCGCGCCGGGCCGTGGCCCCGGGTCCTACCCCGGGGCTGCGGGGACGACGGCGAGAGGTGGGTGTTGTTGGCCGACTGGCCGAAGGCGGGACTCTTGGGGCGAGTGCCGTCGCCGAAGAGATCGTATAGCGAGAGGAGGCTGTCTCGGCTGGGCGAGAAGCGGATGTAGTCCTCGTCGTCGTCGTCATCGTCGGCGGTGATATCGGAGCTGGTGTCGGGAGACACGGGGCGGAGACCCGGCTTGCGGAGGCCGTCGAGAGTGGACGGGCTGACGCTGCGGATCATCTCGCGTGGTTGGTTGTCGTCTTCAATACCAGCATCGAAGTCCATCATGGCGATGTCCATGTCATCGTCATCGATGTCCGGTGCCGGAGTGAGGAAGTAGGTGAGAGGATCGTCGTCGATATCCTCCAGCGAAGGCAGCGGGGACTTCTTGGTGGAGATGGTTGGCTTGAGGCGCATCTGCGTCGGGGGCCACGAGTCCCGACGAGACCGCATCTCGGACTCGGTAGGCATGTTGAGTTTGGTACTTATTCACGTCGAATGGGAGTGAGTTGTGGTGTGAGTTGGGTGTGGTTGGTGACAGTTGGTTGGCTCAAAGCAGGCAGAAGTGACGGTTCGAGGGAAATAAAAGGCACCACCGGCCGAGCCGGCGCAAACAAGGACCTTGCAAGCCTGAGGATCACCAAAGTAGTTCACGGAGTCAGAGTCATTCACTGAAGGCGACCTTGACGCGGATGGTAAAGGCCAACACAGGGCTAACTAGAGGGTGCCCGGGGCGAGGGCGAGGGCGAGCAGGCGGGGGTAATATATAGATGGACGTGCCGCTGTAAACGACGTCCAGGACTTCAGGCTGGCTGGCTGCGCAAGGCCACAGGCAGCATTCCCCCACCCAAAGAGTTGCAGGCAAGACACCCAAGACACACCAAGATGCCATAACGGGGCTGCGTTACAGTCATATCCGGGGCACCTTGAGGCACTTTGGGACACTCTAGACATGGGGCGGCACCTTGTGAGGCCCGAGATGGTGGTCATCGGCTCGCCGAGCGGGGCCACACGTGAAAGCGCTGCGGGCTGGCGAGCTGAGCAACACCCGCGAGAGCCTATGAGCTGCGCGCGCGTACGCCACGCGTCCGAGGCGGCGGTTCACTAGATTGATAATCGGGACTCGCCGGTGCTGGAAATGGAAGTCATGGGTTGTTGCGTTGAGCTGGGCAATTTGCGCGGGCGGGCGAGCTGATGGCCTGGGCTGGGCTGGACGGATGGATGGGATGGGTGGTGGAGGGTGGTTGGCTGCATCACAAACCACACAAAACCACACTAATAGCCTGTAGTTCAGTTACACAAAAGCCACTCGCTGGGCAGCCACTCGCTGGAACAGGTTTCCCTCCCACATACTCAACTTATCCCCCGCGGCAGCCGCCCAAAAAGATGGTCATTCCCAGCCCCGCCTAGGAGCCAAAGCTGCTACTACCGTAGCACTGTCGGGCTAGACGCAGCACTCCGGGAACCATCAACTCTGCATATCCGCACATCTTTGTCCTTGTGGCTGGCCCACTGGCCGGCGTCGCGTCGGCGGGGTCACCGTCCGGGCAGTGGTGAGACATGGACGACACCCTCACCACCACCAGGCCGGCCATCTGACTGTGCCTCCGCCGTGGTCAGCACCGGCCTCGCCGGCCTAGTCCAGTGAATCAAGGAGGCCCTGCTGATCCCAGCGAGATCTCAGGACGGAGGCCTATGGGTGATTTGCGATTCGGCAAACTGTGCAGAATCGATCAGAGAAGGCATGCATGGTGCCTTGCAGCTGTCTTTCCCTTCTTTCCCTAGGCCGCAACCCCAGGCGTCGAGCATCACGTTCGTGTGGGTCGAGCTGCACGAGAGACCCTCGGACGCTCGGCCAAGGATATAACCAAGGCGACAAGCGTCGGACTCGAGACAGACGGAGGGTCGCCAGTCTGAGTCACGAGGTGGTGCACGCTGATGAGGGAACCCAGCAGTGAAACCCCAAGAGATACGCACGCACGCAAACGCGGGGGGAAACGAAAGTGATCAGTCAGGTTGCTCCAACAATGTCGTCATAGCTCGAGCAATGGTGAGAAGTTGCCGTCTTTGTCGGAACTATGGATTACGTGTGTACCGGGAGCATTCCCAATATGGAAACGCGGTCATCAGCCGTGTCCGAGAAGAGATAACGATGACCTCGTGGTGGTTGCAGCGATATCTATGGCGGGGCACTCGTAAAACGCGATATATTGATTATGTTGTCCTCGAGTGGCGAATGTTGCGACTCGGAGTGTGGTCCAGTCGTCCCTCGGGCACCAGGAATCCAATCGTCTCCCGTTCCACAACAACGTTGCATCAATCATCACCCGCCATGCCTACTCGGCGCATCGGCACGCGTGGGAGCCACAAGCCACGGCGCGGTCTGGACTTGAATCATCGGGCTGAACAACCCCACAAAGCTGTCCTAAACGAGAAGCCTGCGCTGAAGAGGCGCTCCCGGAAAGGGCTGAATGCCAAGGGCGCACGAATGATGGATTCAACTTTCGTCATTCATACGCGTTGTCTCAGGCTGAGCAGTGGAGCCTCGGGTGATCTGCGAACTTAAACCTTTCGCGACCGAGATAAGAGCAGGCTGGGGCGTCCATGTGCCGTCCCGTTGTGTCCTATACGAGCCGTGGTACTATTTGTAGAGCTAAGCGAGACTGTACCCCCGGAGGAGCCAGCCGGATCCCCGCCCGGCGCAAGAATCCAGCCCGGCCGGGATTGTGGGGCTGACCTCCGGAGACCCACTCAGGTGTCGCTTGGCGAGTGAAGTGAGGCGTCCTCAGCGCTACTGTCCAGGCAGATATTGGGCTTTGAATGATTCTCTTGAATATTTGCGAACTGTACTGTCTCCCGAAGGCCCTCGTGTTGTCTCTCGTATTGTCTGTCATGTAATCTCTAAAAAAAAGCTGGGTGACGACGTTGGCAATTGCACTTCTTAGTTTGCTAGTTGAGCATGGGGTTCGTCTAGGCATCCTTCGATGACTGGACCAAGGCAGAAATATTAGGTTGCCTTTCTGATTGGTGATGCCTGTAATTTGCCGCCACCGAAGGACTTGTGGCTTCAATTTGTAGTTGTTGGTCTGCCTGGGCACACTTTGTCTAGCGCCCTTGTTCGGATACTTCATTGCCGAACAAGGGAGAAGCAGCCACACACTAGCCTGGCGAGGCTCCCTATCTGATATGTAACTAAAGTGGATGGCAGAAGTCCCATGTTTCGCCTCGGCTTTCTCTTTGCTCGCGCCCTGCCATTTGGTCTGTCGCTTCCAAGTCCCCACCTCTCCTCCTACGTATATGGGAATATGTCACTGGTTCAGTTGTGGTAAGGAGTTTTTCTTATGAAGAGGAATTCTTCTTGCAAACGACTCGAAAGGTTATCCTATATTGAACCATCTAATGTCGAAATGTTCCACCGGCCACCACAGCCTTGTCCAGTGACCTCGCTACGCTAATCCAACATTTGCTTGATGCATTCAAAGATGGTGGTTCTTTAGAATACGACGACTCTAAGATGTTGGACCTATGGAATGTATCAAAAAAGGTGAACAATGCCTCATTAAAACGGTGCTGGATGACTGGGGGCCTGTTTCAGTGCACGATGCCATTGCTCCTCTAACTTGACCAAGTTACTGGAACTTGTGTCTAGGAGATCTCATCAGGTGTCCAAGACAGCACTCAGCAACTTCCTAGAATTTTCTCGAAGAACTAGGCTATATTTAATAGTAGAAGTATCTGGTAGAAGCGTTTGGTAGGGACGCATTGGCGATCTACCTTCTCGGCTGCATATGCGCTGCGCTTATGCGGAACGGCTTTGAGACCATCTCGCTGAGAAGGGAGATTATGGAGAAGAGAGAATAAGATACAGATTGTTTACAAACAACGAATATAGAAGAACTGGGTTCAATGCTAGCGTGGAAATCTTTTCACAGAAAGTGGTCGCCGAGTGGGATACGAGATCATGGCTCTGGAGTGCTGGTCAAGTTAGAGTGCTACAGCATAAACAGGTGACCTTGAAGGTTATAAAGATATGTATGACTGAGAACTTGATTCAAGATCCCATGAGAATTATTGTGATAGCAATGGTGTCTGCTATATACGTCATGGAACGCGTCACGACGAATACATGGATCGGACAACAAGATAGTGAAGGAGGCTCAACAATTTACGAATTTTGGAGAGAAAATGGTTCGCTTTTGTATGAAATAGACGTGCCTCATAATATTCGATTGGTTCTGAAAAATAGAGAGCGAAGAAACGGGGACTTTCTGGCGGAGGCAAGTGTGTTCGGTATCATCACTCTTGAATTGAGCCAGAACCTTTTTGATGGAGTCGTTGAATTATCCCTACTGTTCAGACATGCCACCTTGCTATGAATATTGAATCTATCAGATTCGTGGCAAGGGATACAGCTCCGTGGCCGCAGGGTCTTCGGTGGCCAAAGGACGTCCACAATTGGCGCTCATCACGAAGCCCTATGGTAAACAGAAGAAACCCGACCTTCACAGCAATCAAAGATCCGTGAACCGCCACTATTTTTATAGGAAGCGGATGGTGGGTTCTTCAAACCCTCGCTATGCATATCATTCCCCATATTCGAAATCCCTGTTCCGATGCTGGGAGTACTGACTTGAAAGAGAGACAAGGGCTCATTTGGAGTACCACCTCCACAATCGATGGCGGAAAGTGCTTCGGCAATGAATATATCTTCGCTCTAAGATCTCTGTGTACTTCATTCCTTGGCCATGTTTGTCACTACAACGTGCTTCAATAGCATTATTTCTTATCCTTAAAATGCAGGATTGGAGCCAAATCTGTGTCACTGGACCGTTGGAATGAGGTCTTGAGACACACACTCCGAACAAGAATGCTCAACATACGTGAGAACTAACAAGTACGACTTGCAGGGGCAGTATACGTGCCCATCTTAGACAGCCAGCTTATGTTCTCCTAAGCGACATGTTTGAGCTGCAAGGGAAGACGAGTTAATGGCGCATCGTCGGACCGAATAACATCCTAGTTGAAGTCGATCTTTTTTTTTCTTCTTCTCAGGGGCTGAAGACTCTAGGGAACAAATGCACCTGGTCATGCTAAGCGCCGTACTTGGCATCTCGTTCTTTGACAGTGGTTTCAGAGTGGTTTCCACCCCACCACCACCAGAACCTGCATCAGCAGGAACTCGTCGCCGATTAAATTCGGGTTTCACCTTGGATTTTGAAGCAGGTCTTTAAAATGGGTCGATCCACCGTACCCTATTGTACCGACTGGATACTCCCCAGCCCTGTAACTGACCCCAGATAACTTGTCCGATTCCAGAGCTTGATGCTATTCACGTCTCACTAACCCTGATCAGGCAGTCTGGGCCGCACAGCGGGGTCAATCTGGGGAAACACGTGACGTCACATCAACCCCCGAACCATCACTCCACCATCAACCTTCACCTTGAATGGACGTGCCTTGAGTGACTTGTATAACTTCGCTGAATCTCTGATACTGAAACCGACTGACCCTCCTGCTCAGAAGCCTCTTACTCACCCTCCTCCTCTTCTCTACCGTGCTGCTCTGCGTAGCTCGTATCTACAACCAGCTCTTTGACGTCCCGCCCCCGCATCCCAGCCATGACCAGAGTCGACGTCCCAGCCGGCGCCTCATTGAAAATGAACCTCGTCGCTCCGCCATCCCCGTCGAAGCCGAAGCCGGCCACGATGCCCCTGCGCATCATCACCCATAATATTCGCTACGCAACCGGCAACCCCGTCATCGGCGAGCGCCCCTGGTCCGTCCGCTGTCCTAGGCTCATCTCCCAGCTTGGCTTCATCACCGCTGGCCATGAGAGCCCCTTCATCTGCCTCCAGGAGTGCCTCCACGGACAGATTCAGGACATCCAGGCGCAGCTGGGCGAGAGTTGGGCACATATCGGGCGTGGGCGTGGGCAGGGCCCCCGGGACGGCGAGTTCTCGCCCATCTTCTACCGCCCGGGGACGTGGTCCTGCGAGCGCCAGGAGACGCGCTGGCTCAGCAAGACCCCCGACAGGCCGTCGCGGGGTTGGGATGCCGTGCTCAACCGCATCGTCACAATGGGCGAGTTTTCGCACGTCGTGACAGGGACACGCGTCATCGTCATGAGCACTCACTTTGACCATATCGGCGTCAAGGCTCGCCAGCACAGCGCGGAGCTGCTCATCAAGTTCGCCAAAGAGTGGAGCGTCGAGGGTGACGGACCCGCTGCCTCCGTCGCGCTCATCGGCGGAGACTTCAACAGCGAGCCTTCCGACGGGGCGTACAAGGCCATGACGGCGCCAGACTCGGGGATGGCGGACATCTCGGACCTCGTCCCGGAGAGCCGGCATTATGGGAACCACATTACGTACACGAGCTTTGGGGAGCCGCGGGAGGTACCGAAGCGGATCGACTTCCTCTTCATCCAGGAACCCCGGACTGCACAAGTCAATACGTTTGGCGTCCTGGCAAACAGCTTCGATGATCAAATCCGCGTGTCAGACCATCGGCCTGTCGTGGCAGACCTGGATATTGTAATTTGATCGACGCCGTTTGGTCTTTGGGTTACAGCAACACCTTGTCAGAGGACTGAGGCAGTGCTATCTAAAGACTATGACTGGGCCGCGTTGAGCCCCAACTGACAGCGCACACGTGAGTCATTGAATAAACAAGTTGTGAGGAGACGTGGACGAGAGAGTAGCGAGACCCTATGCATGATGATTAGGGCGTCAGGCGACATGAGCTGAGCGTACGGCTTGCAGGACCATACGCAGGATGAATGTCGCCATTCTAGAGAGGAGTTCGGCCGCTCGAAGGGAAATGTATTCCGGTTCCATCAGGTCGTATGTGGTGGCGCACTAATTCAAGGGTGACTTGGGGAGACGTGGCTATCAAGGGAGGTTTCTTTCAAGAAGGCGAGTTCAAAGGCACCAGACCCATGACGAAACCTCGGTCAGAGGGAGGAGGACTTTTTGCCGAATCCTCCCTACATGTCTATCTAGAGCTAGAGCAGTGTACCTATCGTGGGGGCAAAGACAATGCCACGTCGTGTCGTGTCCACAGAGTCATTGGCCACAGGGAGACACGGCACAGCAAGTTGGTGAGGACCGCGATTGGGTTGATAGTGTATCCACATGCTGTACAAATCTCGGCCGGCCGTGAGCAGATAGGCAACCAAAGCAAGCTGGCAAGCCGGCAGGCCGCGAGGGCCACCGACCTTGATCTTCGCCTCGAAGATATGCAAGACATGCCGGATGGGGAGAGCAGGACGGGGAGCGTCCATTGGAGCTTCTCATTGTGGCCAGTCAGCTCAACGTGATGCCACTACGCTGACATATTGAAGGTCACATGGTGCTAAATGATATTGCCATCGTGAAGTCCTCCCAGACCAGTGAAATAGCGGGAAGTATAGCGCCGAGCAGAAGCTCTCGCGAGTTCCATGAAGGAATGAATTCGGGAGTTATCGATTGCGCCAGGGGAAAAACGACCATGGGATGGGTGCCACGGGGGATTTCGAAAGAGCGGTGTGTGCGGTCAAGGTATGATGGGGGCTGCGGAGGAGGGGTTATACGATAGGGTTCGCCCCCGCGCTGCCGCCATCGTTGGGTTAGGACGGTTATCAGCGTAACGGCACGACTCGGGATACACATGGGGAGGCCGGTACAGATGCTGGGGAAGGGAGCAAGAGCTCCTCCATGACGAGTATCTCTGAGGGTGGAGGCTGGAGAGTGGGATCGATGATGGCGAATCGATCTCCGAATGGCGGCATGCACTCGTGATTTCGTGCAGGTGCGGCAGAATCCAATTCTTCACCAGACTACTGTCGAGTAACTCATGATGGAGGGTGGGAATCGAAGTGATCGCTCGCTTGAGCAGTTGTGTTCCCCAGTTAAGCCGAAGCGAGAGGTGATAGATCGCTGGGGAAACCTGTGCGACTGGATCGTTCGGTGCTTGTGATGGATGTGTGTATGCTTGTCATCTTTGGGGAACGCTCGACTAGCATCGGGCGGCGCGGGCTAGTTTAACAAAGCCTGTGATGGCGGCGCAGTGACAAGCGCCATTGGAAGCAATGTTTAGGATCCCTATCATCGCCCACTCCATACGGAATGATTGTGAAGCTGGGCACCAGCCGCGGCACTGGCGATGATCGGAAGTGGGTATTTTGTCCGGCGTTCCCCAGGAGGACTGGACCGGGTTCTAGTGGAATGAGGTGGGCTTCAAAAAAGCTGTGAGTGTGCGGCACCTTTCCCAAAACCCTGTAGATGCGTCAATGCCTTGGATGCGGTTTCCCATCCCCCCACAGTTAGAGTGCACTCCGAGGAGGGACTGGTAAGCCATCCAAGAGTTTCAAGCAGGGGTGTTCCCGTCAGGCACACGGGACGCCATTACCGGGGCTCTTTGACACTTCCCTTTGGCAATCGGGACGCGAGGACGGCAACGTTGTGTTTGGTGCGATGAGCACCGCAGAATCAATTTAGAGCCTGGAACAGGACGGAGGGTTCGTGGAAGGCAACGCGTGTCAACGGAACGCTCGGAAGGCATTGCATCGCCAATCAACGGGCATGCATTGACCGGTTTTTGCATCGCAAAAGCTGGCAACAGCAGCTTGGCCAAAGGCGAGAGCCTGTGTGCGTGAGGGTGCGAGTGTGCATCTGTGTGAGAGCCATCCTGTCCATCCACAACGTCAATCCACAGCGTAACGCCAACCTTGGACTAGGCCGCAGGCTCAGCTTTGGTGGGAGGGTGTGAAGCGGAGGGGTGCCCACAGAATCCAGGATGACCACATCGCAACAGCTATGGTGCCTGCGGGCATCGAGTGAAATGCTGCGGCGCGTCGGTCGGTCGGCACCGTGTCAGGCAGTTGGGATGTTTGTTGACACCGTGAGTCTGGGAGCATTCGCTGACCTTGTGGGCTTGTCGATACGGTGACGAGGACACCACCATATCGGTACGATTGTCTCTCGATTGGCGTTGGGGAGTCCTGTGAGCAGGGAAGAGATTGCCTGCCAACACCGACTCGGCACTTGCACCGAACATGTTCAAGCGAAAAAAGGCGAGGTCACATGCGGACTTCGTAGGGAGGACGTTGTGAGATCTGGCGTCTCGTTATTGGGGGACAGAGGCAACAGCGTTGTCGAGGCCCGGAGGCCATCTCCGGCTGGCGGGCCGAAGATTTCTGGTGATGGAGGCCGAAAATCGGGGCATAATCCAGGCAGAAGGGGGATTAACCGGAGGGGAATGTGGGGGGCCTCCGGAGACGGTGGTGCCCTAGAACGGACAAAACACGATGGGCCAGGGCAAGGGGAGAGCGAAAGCAGCTTCCGTGACGGTCACGGTGACGGCGATGCCAGCACTCCGAGCCTTAGGGGCTCTTTGCTCGCTGGTGGCTTCTCGAATCGTCCTTCTGGCGATAGCGCTCCTGGGGGTTCCCGGAGAGACTGATGCATCTTCACCCGAGAAGGGCATGACTCGGGGCGTAAGGACGGAGGGTGCGCCGCAGCCCTGCAACCTATTTCCTGTCGACCTGCGAGTCTCGCAGACGATGAAGAGCTGTGAGCCTATGAGAGCCTGCGCTGGTGACTCTTGTTGAAGCAGCCAGCCGAGAGGGGGTTGGGCATCAGGCGTGTGCATGAGCAGCCGTGGATCCATGGGGATATTAGGCCCTCGACGATTGGGTCTCGCTCGTCATCGTCGTGAGATGCGTTGGCCCCTTGTCGTTTCTGGTCCTGTCAGTTTCGATGCTTCTAGGTCCGGTACGTAGTCGTACGCAGCACATGAATGACCGCTGGGCAGCAGAACGGCACCTTCGACTTGGAGGAAACAGGAGGGGTATCTGTTCGTGACGAAGGGGTGCGGTGTGTCGCTTTGGGTGTTGGGCGCCTGGTGAATCCCATCCGAGGCACAGCGGAGACACGGGTGATTCACCTGCCACAAATCCACATTCCACAACCAGAATCTTTGGACTCAGCTGGCTTCTTGATGGCATTGAATCGACCCTTCGTGCGCGGTTGGTTTTGCGACGTGTAATTCCCGCCGGTGCACCCTCCCTTGTTGTCTGTCGCTGCTCTCCCTCACAAGGCGAGTCACACGTCGGCTTGAGTCACTTGTGTTGATACCCAAGCCAGCAACGTTCCCCGCCAAGCGCCGAGTCGGGCACGGAGTGAAGCCCAGCAGAGCCTCAAGAGGGTTGGCTAATCCAGATAGTCTACTCCATAGCAGAGGCCTACGTAGTAGACCGACGAGAGGCCTTTGAGCCGAATGGAGGCACACAGAAGCTTGCGGGTTGAAAATTCGCCTGAAAGGGTGTCTGGCAGGTTGGGAGTCTGTCACTGCGAACACCCCACCCTAAGGCATGCAAGTCCCGACATTGGCGCCTTAACAGAGCCCAGTCTGTACCCAAAGCCGGAACTTGAGACGACTGGAGCCACAGCAGACGTCCGCATTCGCCATCCTGACGCTGATGCGACGATGTCCATTATTATACCAACCTTAACAGCTTAGCAACCTAGGGTCGGGTACCACACGATTGTGAGCCCTACCTTATCCAACTCCAGCCAAGGTAGCCAGGGAGTGAAGCCAAGACCATGAGCGAAACCCTGGCTCCAAACGTTGCTCCTGTTTTGGCTCACCCCCGCGACCTGCCAAGCCTGCGCCCCAGGGTTTCGTGGAGCACCAAGCACCGAAACCTATCACTGACTTTGAACTGGGCGAGTCCGACGCCCGTGGTGTTGACATGTTGATAACGATCTCCTCAGGCCAATCCTATCAGATAGACGACCCAATTACTCAGCCATCAACTGGCACGAGGTGCAGTGTGCAACGTTGGGCTCTTGTTCGCCCGCATCGTCACCTCCATCAAAGCCCAGCCCCTGGAACTGTTTCGAGATTGCCGGCTCGTTAATCAATCTATCTGCCACTTCCGTGAGCTGGTGGGTCGGTCTCCCTACCCAAGAGCCCGGACCCTTCCAGCTTCTACACCAGCTTCTTTTTAACCTTCCGGGCAGGGTGTGAGCTGGAAGCTGGCCCAGAATCCAGGATGGGCACGGCGGCAACACCGGGGGTGTGTGATGAGCAGAGTGTGTCATCGGCGGGAGGGGCGCGGTTCAGTCTGATCTGCTGGAACCCGACCCAGCGACCTGGCCTGACGTGACTGGACCAACAAGAAAAAAACGGGGGAACTGATTCAGAGTCGAAGAGGAGGCGGCGGCGTACCAGAGCAAGAAGAGCCACCCAAAAAGCAGGCGAGAGGGAAAAAAAGAGCGTTGGACGAGGCGGGCCGGATGCAAGCTCCACAGTTGGGCCTGAGTGCTTCGCCTGCCCTGGAGGCTCTTGAGGGACTCCCTGCCAGTGAGGGCGCTCATGGCCGCTCGACAACGCTCAAGAGACCCGTGAAGGCGCGGCAGAGCGGGTCCCTGGGACACCATCTGGGGTTGCGTCGACAGATCAGATCCATTCTCGGCCGCGTGGTTTTCGTGGGTAGCCTGACAATGGGCTGGGATCTGGGATCCGGGGCTTAGCAGCGCCAGCCCGCCTCACTCAGGTCGCTCGCTGTCGTGACCTCACGGGGCCACCCATGCCGTCTAACTCTCTTTGGTTTCTCTGGGGGGAGTGTTGAGACTTGACGCCCTGGTTTGGATCACTGGCCCCTGGTTGACAGCGCTGGGGATTCTCTAGGTTTGTCCCAGCGGGGTGGGCTGGGACCAGAAATGGGCCGTCAGTGACGAAAGGGCTGAGTGCTAGACTGGTTGTGTCGTTGCGAGATAAACTGGAGGGTTGAGATAGGTCACGATGTAGGATTGAAAAGAAGCAGCTCGGTTCGGGGGCTGACGGTAGGAGGGCGTAGTCTGGACGCAGGCCTAGGCGTGCATATCCAAGTGTCCGCAAAGGAAAAAGACAGAAGGGCGAGAGGGTCTAGTATCCAGCTTCTCAGTTTGCCCATCATTCTGTACCCGTCCGACCAGAGGATCCATTCCCCACGACAACACATGGCTTCAAGCCAGCCACCCCCCCTCTGTCTGCATCTGCCTCGACTCTGTGCTCTGTGCCCCTTTCTTGTGCTTCAATCGTACACCCTACCTGGGTTTGGAGTGGCACTCCCGCCGCCGTGGCCCGCCGTGGCCGCCGCCGCCGTCGGAGCGGACCAAAGAGCTCGGTAAGCTAAGCGGCCTCGAGAGTAGGCCGGACGGGAGCTGGTCTAGTCGGCGATGGACGAGGCCAGAGCATGACCAGGGCGGGAGAGTTCAATACATGACATCAGTGAAGGGAGGCTCGGCGACTCAGGAACGAGCAACAGACGGTGAGGTCGTCTAAGACAGGCTCACTGCCCATCACCTGTTATCCGCCGGCCGTTGTCCGCCATGTCCGAATTGTCAACATCGCCCGCTGATGGCTTGCTGACAATTGTCCGTGTTTGTTGAGCGACGAGAGAATGCTGACTGATGGATGGTTGGCGGTATGCTGCAGGCATCCGCCACCGGTGTGGTGAAGGGTCCCCACCGACACTCTCTGCCGTTCAAGCCCGGCAAGACAAGGTGGGAAGGAACGGAGCATGCTGCCAGTGCGAGCAAGTAAGGAGGCGCCGTTTCCGTCTGCATCAACACCAGCGCCGGCGTGTGTGTCTGTGTGTCTGTGTCTGCCTCCACTGGTGTTGCTGTCGTGTTGTGCGGTGCTGTGTTGTGCTATGCTGTGTTGTGCTGTGCTGTGCTGCGCTTTGCTTTGCTTTGCCGTGCTGTGCTGGCCCAAAAACGCACCCACGATGTTGCGTGATGCTCAGATGCGCGCTACGCTAGACACACACCCGCATACCAATTGCATCCCTCGCCCTCGCTCCTCGCTGCTGTCATGCCCCCTGCTGAGGTGTGAGGTGCCCGGCTGGGGTTGCACCTGCCCACACACCCACCTTCCACACGCCCGCCGTCCCCGTCTCACACACATTTTCTCTTTGGGCGGGAGCGACCAGCGCAGCGACTGACGACTGGCGACCGGCGACTGGCAACTAGCGACTGGGGCCCTGGGGGCGGGACGACAACTCCTCGCTACAGGCTGGACTCGCAGCCGCTGGGGCGCCCCAGCCAGGCCATGGCGGACCATGGCGGGCCACTGGGGCACCCCCTCCCGTGGCCCTGCAACTGGCACTGCTTTTATTAAAACTGCCCATCCTTCCATCCATGCTCGTTGCTCCCCTCCTCCCCTCCTTCCCTCTCCAAGAAACGATCCTCGACCTTTTCAGCACCTTGCTCTTCCGGCTCGACCATCGCCACCAACACCAACACCAACACCAATATCCTTATCACCAACGACGCCATCAATATTTGGTTCATGCCAGCTTCACCGTCTACTTCGTTTCAACCATCGACCCAGCATCACTCCGACGATATTATCCGTCTGCGAGTCCGTCCCACACCAACACAGCCATCATATGCCCGCTGCTCGACTCGAGAGAAAAAGACGCCCAAGTACCAAGACTTCCGTCGCAGTCTCAATCGCCATCGCCACCCGCTCCCTGATCCCATAGACTTTCGTCCCGTCCCGCCCTAGTGCGGCCGTTGCTGGAGGCTGACGAGCCCACCATCACTTTAACGCTCTCTCGGGGCGACCGAACCTTGATCGCGCCACCTATCGCGCCACCCCACGATGTCGTCAAAGAAGACCGACTACACCACTTACTGCGAGGACGCCGAGGAGGATTCTGGTAGTTCAGTCGAGGGCATTGAAAGCACCCGCATCTACGCCAGGTCCGAAGTCCAAGCGAACCCTTACAAGGAGCGCCCCAACACGGGTAAGTCCCGTGGTGCCGACAAGCGCTCTTCCAACCGAAAGTCCGACTCCTCTAACACCCTCACCGACTCCGACTCTACGCCCCGCTCTTCCAAACGTGAGCGTGACGCCCGACGAGAATACGAACGTGAACAGCGAGAGAAGGACCGCCGCCGCAAGGAGCGGAAACAGAAGGAAGCCGCCGAGCAGATGCAGCGCAAGGCCCGTTCCGAGGCCAAGGCGGCGGCCAAAGAGCGTGAGGCAAAGCCCGCGCGAAAGCCCCGACCTACGTCCCTCACCCAGTCCAGAACCGACCCCATTGTTCAGCAGTATCGACGGGGTCACGTCGAAGACCCTTCTTGTTATGGCGTCCAGCAGCCCGCAGCCTCGGGCATGCGTCCTCGTGCCCAAACACGCCCCAACAGCTACTACCCAAGCCAGGGCCCTCCCCCCTCAATGGCCCCGTCCGGTTGGCACCCAGCCCATGCCGGCCAGCAGCCTTCAGGATACCCCGTTGGCTCCTTCCCACCACCTCCTCCCCTGTACGGAGGAGGCCCATCGCCGTCCATGATCGGGGTTCCAGCATCACCTGCACGTCATTCCCAAGGGTTCTTCGACATGACCATGCAAAACCAGACGGCTCACCTGAAGAACCGATTTGAGCGACCCGCCTCTGCCATGGGTTTCCAGCAGCAGCAGCAACAACAGCAACAACAACAGCGGCAAGCTCATGCCCAAGCCGCGGTGGCTTACGGTTATGGCCCCGGGGGTTACGAGGAAGAACCTGACCCTCGTGTCTCCCGGCGTCCTTCCCGATCCAAGAAGCAGACTGACGACGATCGGAAACGAATGCCCCCCCCCGATTTCATTCCTCGACCTCAGTCGGCACTGCCTGCTGGCACGCCCTTCCGCCCACCACCAGCTCAGAAGCCAGCAACTCGACAGAAGTCTCGACCCCCAACCACTCGTCGGGGCGTCGGCTTCGCTGATCAACAGCGAGGCTACGAAGACGACGATTTGCTAGGCAACGAGGAGTACTTCACTGATGTCTCCCCAGAGTCCAACACCTATGACCGTCGCACAGTCTTGGCCCGCACTCGGCGAGGATCTGTCGCCTACGAGCAACAGGGACTCGAGATCATGCCAGCTTCGCGTAGCCGAAGGGACTCGTTCTATGGACGTGACCTCGCCCTAGGTGGTGGTGGCGTCAGCTTGGATGATGACGAGGACAAGTACCTCACTGCGCTTGCTTACCAGGACGACGTGAACGGTGGTACCCCGTTGGCATTGACTGCTGAGGCTTTACGCAAGGCTAGCCACCGCGCTGGAGGCGGCAGCAGCCGATCGACCCGCAGCAGCGACAGCCGTGATGAGAGCGAGTATAAGCGAAGCAACACTACCGGCATCACTCGATCATCATCCAGCGACAATGACAACGTCACCATCAAGGTCTCCGGCTCAGCCGTTGTCCGAGTACAGGGTGCCGAGATCGAATGTGGCGACGGAGGCGAGATCACCTTCAGCGCCCCGAGCGGCTCTCGTATTGGCAGCGGCAGTGACAGGGCCAGCACCGTCTACCAGATTGAAGATGGTCGAAGTCGAGTGGAGCGTAAGGCATTGGCTCATCGGATTCGAGCTCCCAGCCAGTCTGACTCGCAGAGCCGAGGCTATGCCCAGAGCTATGCTCCCTACGATCCCCATTTTCTCCTCGACGACTATTGATGACGATTTCTTTATGAGAGATGACAAAGTTGATGATTAGCGTGCGATTTGTTGATTTTATTTATTTCTTATTTTCTCTTTCCTTGCCTCCTGTTCTTTGATGGAAGCGAGCGGCACGCATTGTCCTCCTGAATCTTTGATCAAAATTGGACATGGCAGGTGCATTTGATTGGACAATTTTTTGTCGTTTACATCATGCTTGCAAGTTATGGTTTCCAATTTGCATGGAATTTCTTGTATCCCTATGCTTTGTCTTGTGGGTCGAGGCCCGGTCGTTGGCTTGATGGCAGGCAAAAGTTGATACCCCCAAAAGCGGTGATGATGGGAAGACCAGGAGTGTTGGGTTCTTGTTATGGCCTGTCCCCTCGAGTCCCCATGCATCAACGACGCATATACTACCGCATCTTGCCGAGGAAATCATGTATACCCTGAGGGGCTGTGTTGTTTTTTTGGTTGAAAGTAATGGAAGATTGTCCTGAATGTGGATGGAAGATTGTCACTGGCTGCTGTTTACCGACTCGATATTGGAGGAAGGTTGGGGCTACCTGGTTCATGACGGTCCCCTGTCCCCTGGAATGGGCTGGGGTGGGTTTGGACCTCCCCATTTGTTTCGTTCTTGTTACGTTACGACTGGATTCACATGCATTCCCTGGGGGAAGCTACTGAGAGCCTTGGTTCAGGTTGCGGGTGTTATATATCGCATTGTTGAGCATGGCGAAAGAGGAGGAACTTGGCCGGGCTTGGACACACTTCCATCCCGCGTCACCAAAGCGATAGATTGTACGGGCAAAGGAGGTTCGCGCTTCCATCTGCTGCCCTGCAGAGAATAATCTTGTTACGACTGGCATGCGATCTGCGTCTGGGATTTCCGCTTCTGATGTCGTGTTACTTTGTCTTTTCTCTTTCCTTGAATCGTGTTGGACTAGAATTGTGACGGTGTGTGGAATCCATGGCCCACAAAGTCTTCGGGCTCGGGTCAGCTTCGCACTGGCTACGATGACAATGGTTTAACCTCTTAAGTTTGGGGCGGCGGATACATGGGATGGATGAACGGACAATGGATCGGATAGAATCAGATTGGGATCCCGGCGCATGGATGCAACGGGGATTTGGGCATTGTCGAGGCATTAGTGTAGATAACATTGCGTGTCTTGTTCATGGAAACGATAGGAGCGATATTAAGCCCGGGAGCGGGACAAGTGTTCGTCTCAGGTAGACAAAATTGACACGACTACAGCGATGAAGCTTATGCGTTTTTCATGCCTTCGCCCCCCTGTTGTTTAACCCGTGATTGTTCAAAGTAGTCATAGCTCCTAGCTACGTAGTGGTAAGCATTGTGCCAATGTAGATCGTTATGCGGGAGGGTTACACGGGGCCGAGCCGAACCCGCGCCCCTGCGATCTTGCGTGTCCTCGAGACGTGATGCCGACACCGCCCAGGAGGTTCTGGGCGCCCCCGCCCCCCGGATCAATTTAGCGGTGAAATGAAGCCTGTTGACACACCCAAGTGGGATAGCTTGAACTTGACGGAAGGGAACAGGTGAGATGGAGGATAAGACATGATGATTTTGTGAAAGAAACACCACATCGGGCCTCAGGGATTAACAGACGCTTTGATAAAAGTAGACAGTTAATGCCTTGGTTGTCATTAGATAGCTGGCCGTCACCTCCACCGACTGGCTTCCGATGTTGCAGTCTGCTTAGTCCAAAACCACGCAAGCCTCCAAAGGCCATCACAACACAAATACACATAGCTGTCCTGTGTATTTTATCCATTTTCATAAATATATCCCTGCTAGTGAGCGTTCGTTTACTCAGCAGCTTTCTTTCACTTTCGTTAGAGTTGGCCATGAAACCGGGAGGAAAAAGAAAGAGTTGCCAGAACAAGCAAAAAGATGTCAAACTGCTGAACAGTCGTCGCTATTGCGTAATCTGGGAATCGAACCCAGGGCTCCCCGACGCTGCTCGAATGGCAACGGAGAATTTTACCACTAAACCAATTACGCTGGATGCTTGGTGTGAGGGTATCCCCACTTGATGGACGGCTGGGACGCTGAAACGCATCATGGTGTGAAGAGGAGCGGAAGCAACAAGCAAAAGGAAAGACAAAAAGAATGTACCTCAACACCGGATTGAACTAATGCGTAATCTGGGAATCGAACCCAGGGCTCCCCGACGTTGCTCGGATGGCAACGGAGAATTTTACCACTAAACCAATTACGCTTAGATGTTGTTGTTGCAGACACAGCTTCAAAATGAGGCATATATGCGCCATACCGGAGATGTGGGGCCGGATGACAGGCCGCGACTCCCGAACTCGGCCCTCTTCGTCTGTCCATTGGAACAAACTTAGCCCTCATACAACAAGGCAGACTCCCTGTTACTATCACTGTCCGGGGGTCTGTATTAACACCCAGATCACCATCCTGGCCTAAGAGACAGCTTAAATTTGAGTAATTAGCTCCATCGCCCCCTGTGCATTGCATCAAGACTGGTAGTCACCAGGGCATTGAAACGGTCGACCAGGTCAGGGTTTCAACAAGCTCTGGTGTTCAATACCTACCTCTTCGTAGATAGAAGCTAAAGGCTACCATATTCATTGCCTTTTACAATATCTACCCAAGAACTCGCTTCTCTAAACTCGTAGCGAAGTAGGGTAGCCAGTTTCCTGCGTTGTACCATATTCTGGCATCTCCCACAGATCCAGTTCTGATAGGATGACTTGCTGGGAGGTGCAGTACCTTGCAACATTATTGCATCTATACCTGCTATCAAGGTTGGGCGGCCCTTGCCTCCCTTTCTGGTCCGTCAACCTTATCGATCTCTCACAAGCACCCTCGAATTGACTCACTTGTCGGGTTGTGTAAGCGAACCTTTACTTCTTTATGGGACCTAATATAGATATCCCCCCCCCCCCCCTCCCTTTTAATTTGGGGCTCAAGTGATATTTTCAAGCTTCAATGCTATCCCTCACAATCGAGTTTTATTTACACTACCAACATCTTTCCATCGATCTGATTACCGTCTCAATATCGACTTTTGGCTGAAATGTCATATCTCCTAGTTCAAACTAAATGGAACCTGGCGTCTAAGTTTTAAATCTCCAAACAGGTCATGTGCGTAGCATCAAGTGACAACCTCTAGGCCGGGGCCATTCTTGCATGTGAGGAGTCGGGGAGCACTCTTGGAATTAACACTATGACCGCTGAAAATGTCATGCATACCGCCGTCCCGGCCACTAAGCCCGGCTTCAATTAGCTTCTTAAAACAACGGTTGGCTATTCCGCAGATGACTGCGCAACTCAACTTAGTACTAGCCAAACATGAGTCCGTCTTTGGGGCTAGCAACTGCCGTTGTTACGACTCTTGGAGTCATGCCTCAGAACTCAAAGGCCACATTACTGGACCTTCTGTGCACCAACTGAAAGATGATTTGAGTAGCCTTGAAGTTAGGTCCCTTCGTTGTGACTTGAGTCATTCCGCCGCGGGGTGCCAAACACTGTTTTTTTGGCTTGCGATGACGTAGGCCCATTAGTTAGTACCGGCGCCGGTTCACAAGGTATTCCACAGGGGATTGCTCACTCAGTTGATGTTTTCCGCCAAGCGGGTCAAATAAAGAGCTGGACAGTAACATGGGACACTATTTCATGTACTCTTTGGATCCTGGCTTTCTCGCGGTGGTGTCTCGAAACACCACCCCCCTTTATTTCGAAAGCGATAACATCGCTGCTCTTAATCAGTCTTGCCCTTTACTTCTGGTCAACCCTCAACTCACACCACCCCAAGATTCCCGCTACATGAAGTACTCTCGGCCGACATCATCTCTCCAAAGAGCTACAGATAACATGGGGGGTTTCTACGCAAGAAAATAAGGATATAAAATTCTGTTGATTGCTCGCTCCCGAGAAAAAGAGGCTTCCTTGGTCAACAGACTCCATACACATATAATATTATCCTTAGGGGATATATTGCATCCTCTCAAAAATTGCGCATACACCCAAGGTTCAGGTTTCTGCTTGCACCTCAACATTTCCAATTCTGCAACCCTTGGCATCGATACGCTACTGATGGTGTCAGGTACAGGGCCTGAAAATGCTTGATACGACCAACTCCGATACTATTAGATACCTTGAGCTTGCTAGAAGTTGCGTGAACTAATGCCAAGATTACGTTCTGGACGTATCTGTCCCATTTCAGTTCATTATTCGCCAATCGGACTGTGTGGTGCGCTCTTAACTAGTTTGCCACCTCGCCAAACCCGTCAGACTAAACCATGAGAGGACACAGCTAGCCACGTCTTAATATTATCGATTTTCTAGAAAGGTTTTTCGCTCCTCCAGGGCTTGGTGATAAAGCGGTGACTTTCCCTTACACCCTTGACACTCAACTTCTGAACCCCGCGCACCTCATGTCCAACCCTTTGCTTTGACCAACATCTGGATAACCTGTCCCAGCCGAGACTATCAACATTGTTGCAGCGCTGCCAACCAAAATGGGTCAATCCTTTTCGGTAGCAAGCAAGGAAGTTTAGCTTAGTAACGATGCAGACAAGACTGAACAGCTTCTCATATGTCCAAAGTCATCCACAGAAAACTCAATGTGTACCGTATAGGAATTTAAGATCTGCTGACTTTTGGCGGATTTGTAGGAGATTCTTCAATTTAGACGTGAGGGCAAACCCTATGCTTATGCTTATGGGTGATAGAGCCATAAAATGGGAACGGTATGCGGGCTTCAGCATTTCTGGGGAGTTCAATGTCTGACATGAGGCCCTTCTCTGAGATCATCTTGTATGCTAATGGGGGTGTGTCGGGTTCTGTTGACCATGAAATTGATCGCTTTCTAGGCCCCGTTAATGACGACAAAGAGAAACCTATTCTCAACGGGTTCAAGGTGTGTTGTCGGACCTGATGCGTGGTCTAATATTCACTCCCAAATCTCATGTGCAGGATGTTGTTAAATCTGCTCTGATGGCCTTCCTCGGGCAGGCTAGAGGTGTCGAAAGTACACACGAGGAATACTTCATCTACATAATCCACAACAGCCTTATGCGGGTGGACCTCAAGGTAAGAATTCAGAGGTGCCAGCTGCCCAGTACCAATCAGCTAACTCTCAATAGTTCTTCCGCTGGGACTTCACCAGCTCTGGGATGTCACGCGCACACAAGAGCTGTTTCGGATGTGAGTCTCCAAAGCTGCAAACGTGACAAGCGCTTGATTGATTTGAATGTAGACTTTGCCTGTCTCTCCAATGTGTCAGACGACTTCGTTTATATCCTGAGCGAATCCGTCAGTAAGTCACTGTTCTCGCAGCGCATTTGGAAGCGTAACTCAAAGTCTTTTCAGAGGGAGCGACAACGAATATACTAGCCAATATATTGATGCCATGCGAAAGACCTACGACCAAGCCCGGGCCGGGAAGTCAACCAGGTTGCCCGCAGCCACACATCGAGATACGTGAACTAGCGATCAATGTTGTAGAGTGCACGCGCGGCTTGGATATTTCGGGAAGAGCCTGGACCACAAAGGCATTGGATCTACACGTAAAGACTACCCGGGCTCTTTAATATAACGTCACGAGTCTTTGTTCTGGTAGGCGGCGGGATCACGGGATGGAGGCACGGCGCGAATCTCCACAGAGCCGACCCGGGAAGCCCGAGCGGGGCCTGGCTGTCGGCGGCTGTTATTGGCCAGATGAGGTTACGTCTCCACTGGGCCTGTGACACGAAGCGTTGCCCGGCCAGCCCCCGGATTATTTACTCGCGACGTCATTTTCTGGATGCCCATGAGGTGGTCGGGCGGGCGAGAAATCTGCTGCAAAATCAGAATCCAAAGACTCAGGCCTGGATGAGTTTTGGATTAAAAAGTGAATGTAAATTAGTTTTCATCCGTTGTATTAACTTGTTCCCCGTCTGTTCCTACGCTGTTTTTGGACTGCTGCTGTTCGCCGCGATTTGGTGAAACCCCCCAGCCTAACCTCGCACCCCAGCCACGCACCTCCGGCCTTGGTTTCTGTGGGAACCGCCCGGGCCGCACCAGAGTACACATGCACTCTGCGCGTCCTCTCGCTCTCTTCCTTCTATCCCAATTCAGCTCACCTTCACCTCACCATTTTCTACGAAACGCCACTGGGGATAGAAAACCCCCCACCAACACGACGACTTGTTGATTCTTTTTGAAGGCTCAAGACCGACCTCACTGGCCCTGAGGATCATTGTTCACCGCTTTGACGCTTGGCCGGGGCAACCAGCTTCCTAGGCCCAGCCTCCATACCTCGTTATTTTCCGGCCGAAACATCGACATTCCAATCCATCCCAATATGGCTCCCACTTTCCTCACCACCCTCCGGAGCATCGTCTCGTCCGCTCCATCCGTCCCCCGCTCAGCGGAAGTCCTCGCCACCGTCTCGGAAAACGTTGCCGAAGTTCATAGAGTATTGGAGATTCGAGATTCCAGCGAGACCAATACCCGGCACCGAACCAGCGTGGACCCAGATAATGGTGTACTAGACCCCCATGACATCAACAACGTGGGATTCTTCGTGCTGTTTGCACTCATCGGAGTCGCCTTCGTCCTAACTGGCATCTGGTTCTTCTTCTGGGCCAAGAACGGCGGCTTCCATATCAAGGAGAATGACTGGGACGACTACAAATCCACAGTACTGCGCCGCAAGGGGCCCAACGGCACCCTCCTGTCTGGAGCAACGGCCTCGACCAATCTGGGTGGTGGCAGCGTGTATAAAGATGTGCATGATCAAGACCACGACCACGATGCCGATGATGATGGCAGGACGGTCATCACAGAAGCCACGGCACTAAGTGGCATCACCGCAGGTGCCAGTGATATTGGAGCACGAGAGAAGCGCCGACGCAAGCAAGAAAAGCGAGACCGTGAGCGTGAGAAGCGAGGAAAGCGTACCAGCAAGAGGCACGTTGGTGACCTTGGCGTCATGGATGAGGAAGCGGAGCACGCTGCCAAGGCGGAACTACGTAACTACCGACACGAGAAGGCAGCACGCGTTGGTGGCCTGAACAAGGAGAGCGATGCATCGGAGTGGGACGGATCGACCAACGCCGGCACCGAGTCAAATGTGTCATCGAGCCTACTCTCCGACCGCCAGAAGACGCCAACGGCGACTCCTACTGCCACCCCTGCGAAGAAGACCAGCGGTCCCGGAATCCGAAAGGTGTACTCCGTCGCCGACCGACGAGACGAGCGGGAGACGCAGCGGGAGGCCCAACGCCAGCGCTCCGAGGCTCGCCGTGTCCGGGAGGCCGGTCGTTCCTCGCGACGAGACTTTAGCTACCAGCGGACTGACCAGTCTCAGAGCGAAAGTCTGCTGGAGGGCTACAGTAGTGTTAGTGGCAGCCAGCTGACCGTCAGCACCGGCAATACTGGCAGCGATCTGGGAACCAAGAGCTACCACCACCCGATGCCGGAGCTTCGGGAGCTGGAGCGTGAGAGGGAGCGAAACCGGGAGGAGAGGAGGGCACGACGGGCCGGATATCGTCGTGGACGACAGGACGAGGAAGATGACTTGGTTGAATGATTGGGCGAGTTGAAGCAGCGCTGAAGGTGGACGCACGCAAGACTGTATCTTGATTTGGCATTTGGGTTGTTTAGCACTCTGGTTCTTGTCTTTTATTGCTGGCTGGATATGATGCTATCATGAGGGTCGAACGGTCACGTCACGGTTGATAGGTTTCTTGTAGAATACGAAATAGTCGGTACATAACGTACAATACACAATGGGATTCTGGATTAAACATAAGCCCTTCTTGCTTGCAGACTCAATTAACGGGCCTCGATACTGAAATGGGTTCCTGTTCGTTTGGCTGATGTCCCCGATACATACTCATGTCATCGCTCCAAATAAGCGCACGGGTGGGCGAGGGCGGCCACCCGCAAGGACCACTAAGTGGCAAGGCAGGGCGATAACCAAGGGAGATGTTGCTGCATGCAGAGTAGCAAAGGGATTAGTTGATTCTCCCTTGCTCTGATTTTTTCTTTCTTTCTTACAAGGGTTACGGAATTGTCGGCTGCGAAAAGAATTGGCGCCAAGGAATAAGTTGTGGGAGAGGTGGATGATGTCTTACATCCCTCCCGCGTGTTGAGTTTATCTGCTGGCGGTTTGTCTCAGCGTGCAAAAGTCTCACGCGACCAAAAGCAACTACACAAGCAGGGCTTGACACTAGGGTTTTCTAGTAGGATCCGTATTATGGCCAGAGCTCACTGAGGAAGGCAAAAGGGTACTTGTGGAGAACGAGTTGCAAGGCATATTCATGCACCCGCATCTTGAACCATGAAACACCGGATCTCGGCTCAAATGCCATGATTTTCAGTTCATTCTTGCTGCAACTGTATCCCACAATGGCTACCCATTGACTTCGGTGAGGGGCAACCCGTGGCAAACGCATCCCGTGGTCGCAGGGCGCGTGTCTCACTTGGTGACTTTTGTTTTCAAGCATGTCGGTAAACGGTTTTACCTGTCTCAGCTCTAGTGAAGGAGTCAACGGTAGTCGCCGGGAACAGACAGAGAGGCCTGCGATCAGGCCCAGAACAGGACGCAAGCGCCGAAGTCCAATGAAATAGGCAATTGCCCGCAGCCGCGTCTGATGATGATTGATCCATGGCGCACTTTAATCTGGTGCAGGGATTGCTGGCAGAAGACGGCAGTGCTGGAGGCGGTGAAATTAGCAGCAGCCGCAGGGCCAGATCCGCCTTGCGGGGGGAGAACAGTGGTCAAAACAGTGGGAAAAGGGTCAAGCCATGAAACCCGGGGCGCTTCAGCCGGTGCAAGTAGCCGCCAAGCTCCCAACAGCGTTTATGCAACCGGCGCAAGGAGGCATAGGTAGTTTTGCCACGCTTGTCCCTGGCGTCTAAATTGGAAGGGGGAGTTTGGGTTTAGAGGCAGGGCAGCAGTGCATTGCAACCTCATTCGATGGGCGGAAAAGGCATTGAGACCAGATGTTGGGGGAGATGCTAACAACCAGACTCGGGACCGGGATCTGGTTCTCCATGTCGGCGCCTACGTCACCGGGCCAAGAGCCGTCGTCATCCACTCGCGACACAAAGAGTGAAGGATGAGGCTTAGTCAGGGTGTCGCCAGGGGATCCATGAGGATCTCCGGGCTGCACCCTGGGTCGCGCAGGGCACTTCTCAGCTGTGACAGGCGATTTGCCTTTGAGTTGAGCACTGGGTTGGCACCGGCATTGCTGGAAGGGAACTTGGCGCGTTGCAGCGCCATCGCAGGCGGCGATCCGGCGGTGACAGGTACATGCGATTCCCCGCTGGAGCAATAGCGGGATGCGTGGACGGGAAGTGCGCGACTCTAACAAGCCACAGACGGCGGCGAGGTATCCCCCCATCTCCCGCCGAACGTCCCGCCGGTTCCGTCGAGTCCTGGGGCTCTCCGAGACTTCAAAGGGGTCCAAGGGGTCCAACCTCCAAGTGCGCCGGAAGCCTCCATCCCTCCACTGCTGATTCAGTGGTTCAGTGCGTTAGCCCGCTGCAAACCCACTGGGCTTGACCCCTGGAAAGCCCGTAAAGGCGCAGGAACGGGAGCCATGGTATGAAACTGCGCTGCATCACCAGCTACAAAGGACCAAGCACCGGGACACCAGGCAGATGAGCAAGAAAAATACTGTTACACTGTCCTGGAATCTATTTTCGGCTGCAGAACGGCTCTCTCTGTTTATCCTTCTCCCCTTTCTTGATCCCCTAACTCATCGCCTTGCACGCCGAGTCAGTAGCAAGCAAGCCACGGCGTTGAGTATTCGCTGCACTGTACGCCTGGTTCTCGACTCGTAACTTCTTGTTCCGCGTATGCGTGCGCGTGCGTGTGCTGTTCTTCCCTCCCATAATAGTGGCGACTTTGCGTGGGCCAAGCCTGAGCCTCAGTACTCCGTACCTTCTACTTACTCCTCCACTCACAAAAGTACTCCTCCCAAAGTACTCCTCCCACTTCCCACTGTACCAACCACCCTTGCCTCCTCTCCCATTCCCCATTCCCCGTCTGACGGCCCGCCATTCTCCTCATCCTTCCTTTCCAACCGCACGCTTCAATCGCACACATTCCCTATCGCCTCGTCGTTTGGTTTTCCGCGCCTCCTCCGGTCCGTCCTTTTCGCCCCCGCGATTGAATCCTCCCGAATGCTTCTGTCGCGGCGGTGACGGCCGTCCGCCTCTGCTTGTCGCCTCTCTGCCCTGTCGTCTCTACTTGTCGCCTGTCGCCTGTCACCAACACATCGCCTGTCCCCGTGCCCGACCGACCCGGCCGATACGAGACGCTCTCACACAATCCCGCGACTCGCTCTCTCACTCCCTCATTCACACCCCATCCATCCGCCATCATGGGGCTCAACTCGACCCCCTCATCTGCCTTTACCGGTGTCATCATCGGCCTCGTCTCCTCATTCGGCTCCATCATCCTCATCGCCCTCGTCATCTTCATCTTCTGGGTATCGGGCTGCGCAAACACCGGCCGCATCATCCTCGACCGTCTCGGCCGCCCCGGCGAATACGACGATGAGCAAGCCTTCGCCCGCGACGAGGCTGAAGCCCTCGAGTCCATGGACGACATGGCCCGTCAGGAATATCTTCGAGCAAAGGGTACGTCGCGTTCTCCCCCTCTCAACAAATCGGTTTACCTCCCTGGTGTGCTTATCGCCCGGATGCACGTGGGTCTTGGCTTCTATTTACTAACATGAGTCCTCCATATAGCCTACGTCACTGCGAATCCCGCCGAGTCTCTCCAAACCGACATATCGCTCTCCCAATACCTCGCCATCCAGGAAAAGGGCGTTTCCGCCTGGGAATTCGAGCCCGAGCTGGAAATCGCAAACTGCTTCGTCGAGGGTCGCACCGAGATTGAGTTCTTCGACTCCGAATGTACCGTCATGAGCAACCTCCCGGTTCCCAAGCAAAACGACGTCTACTACTGGGAGGCCAAGATCTACGACAAACCCGAAAGCACTCTCCTGAGCATCGGCATGGCTACAAAGCCTTATCCTCTCTTCCGGTTACCTGGTGAGATCTCGTCACACCTCCTTGTGCCGTGCCGCCATGACCTGCTAACACATGATGCCAGGCTACCACAAGTACTCCGCTGCGTACCAGTCCACCGGTTCCCGTCGCTATAACCAACCATTCAACGGAACCCCGTACGGCCCGCAACTAGTCCAGGGCGACGTTGTTGGCGTCGGATATCGTCCCCGCACCGGTGCCATCTTCTTCACCCGCAACGGCAAGAAACTCGACGAGGTAGTCCACGGCCTCAAGGCGCAAAACTTCTTCCCAGCCATCGGCGCCAACGGTCCCGCAGTCGTCCATGTCAACTTTGGCCAAGCCGGCTTCGTTTTCATTGAGGCCAATGTTAAGAAATGGGGACTGGCTCCCGTCACTGGCAGTTTGGCTCCTCCGCCCCCATATGGCTCCGAGCAGGGTAGTATTCTGTTGGAAACCGGGACCAAGGATGGCTATACCTATCCTCAAGGCCGAGGGCACAGCCATTCGATCACTGCCGGTTCCTATAGCACTCGCAACCCGACCAACAACACCGGGAACAGCAACAACCTGAATCCCCAGCATGGGCGGTCACGTAGCGGCAACTTTCGCATCCTCCCTCCGATGAGCCCCGGGCCGGTTAGGAGCCCAACCGACATCTCATTAGCACGCTTCGTCCCTTCTGAAGAGAGTGGTGAAGCTAGTAACATCATCAGCGCTCAGCAAGAAACGCACGACCACAATCCTTTACACCTACAACTCGAAGATGCGACAAATCCTCCTCCGGAATACCAGAGCCCGAACCACTCGGACGACGAGGGTGGCCGGCGATATAGTACCGACAGCGAGGAGAACACTCCCCTTATCCGAGTCCTGAACCGAAGCCGAGGCAACTCTGCAGCCACCGTCATCGCCACACGCCAGAGTCAAAATCGGCATAATCCACCTGTTCCCAGCTATAGCGACGCGATGCGACAAGGTGCCGGGCGAAATAGGAGCGATAGTGCAGAGCCAAACCAAACAGATGAATCTACCGACTCAGAAAGCAGCGGCGATGGGTCCATCTGAGTCTTTCGGTCAGCCGTTCTGGCCACAATTCCCTCTGAGAGGGATTCTCCACCAGACTGGGATGGGCATGCCATTATAAACATGTCGAGAAACCAGTCTAGGATGAAGCATGACACATTAGCGAGACGGAGCCCTGGGGGAAGCGTCATCAGCAAACCACGATAACCGGAGTTGAGGGGAAGGAGTTGGTCCAACACACCATACACACGACACATATCAGTCTTTTTTTTTATGCATAGGCGCCACGGAGTTGAATAGCATCAGCAGCAGAAGCACTACGGGGACCCTTTCCACTCCTCAATGTACCGTGCTGCGTCTTCGTTTCTTGGGTTTTCTAGACGGGGAAAGTCTTTTATCTCCCGGGAAATCCGGGGCGGATACTTATTGGGTCCGGAGGGGGACTAGGGAATAGTGATACCAATCAAACCAGCCTGACGGACTGCGCTCGTTGTTTCAAGTCTTTTTTGTTTTGTTTCCGTTACTCGAGTCTTTTGACAAAGACGGCTCCCTAGGGAGGAAGGGATGTTTACTAGGGGAGAAAGGTGTGCATACATCTTCACGCGAGAGAGTCACGAGCATGTGGATTGCTCGCCTGAAACAAGTACGAAATACGATTATCAATCTGCTCACCTACTGCTTTGAATATTTGACCAGTGACGCCTTTCGCGAGTTGCCTCGTAACACAATTTTTGAAGTGGGATGCTGAGAAGATGGGCCAAGGTTCGAACCAGAGTCATCGTTTGGGAACACTGCGACAGATGTTCAAGAAACTGGTCGCGCAGAAAGAGCATTTGACTTCAAATGCAATCGAATAGCAAGCCAGAGCCGTCGACTCCTGCAACTTTCCCGCGCCCATAACCCTCCCACCTGTGCAAGGACCAATCACAGTAACCGTCGACAGTCAGGATCCTCCATTAAACCCACACATACCTTTCTTTATACCCGTCCTATGAATCTAGGCCGAGACTCACTATCCGCCTATCCCTCTTTTGCATCTCTCACCCGCATGGGAGTATCTGTGACTTATCGAGGGCGTTGTGGTCTTGTGTATATGGCTATACAGCGAGTCGATTGTTACCTACAGACAGTAAGGTCGTTGACCGCAGACAGCAGGGTTGAAGTCAGAAGGGTTGAATTGAAGCTCAAGGCAAAGACCAGCGTGCAACAACCTTATTACTCAGCTACTGTTTCTTCTGGTGCTGGGTGTAGCACTTACTGTTTGTCTCTACTGTATGAGAATACTACATGACTTTGATCTATCTGATGATATTCAGTAAAGCTAAAAATACCAAAACAGCGAGTCAAAAAATCTAACTTCTATCCAAGATACGTTACCTTGGTAGTGGAAGATGTTCTTCGTGCAAAACATACCCAAGAGGCAGAAGAGGTGATGTATAGTGGCCAAGTCAAGAGGGAAAGACAGAGTCGAGCTGGCACCTGGAACACTAGATTTATATATTCTGGTAGCAAGAAGGGAAAGATAGTGATAAGGGTTGATGCGACAGCTTAAGTGAAGGAGGAAGGCAGACCAAATGACTCGCTTGCTTGTATTAAAGAATAAAAAGACATCTCCCTTTCAAGTCTTGGGAGAAGCCATTTCTTAGGTAGTACCTCCCTCAAGCTAGCCACGGATCCAGCTTCAATAACTCCCATCCTCAAGTGCTTGTCGACAACATGAAAATGCCGGTCCTAACTGAAAGTGGCGAGGTGTTGCTCTCCCGGTCAGTAACTCGGCCAACTTCCGCCTCTCTTGCCATGGAATTGGCACTGCAAGGAGTGAGACGATTACTGGGCAACGAAGACACACCAGGATCTACCAGGGGGGGCTGGACGGGGTCTGATAAATACAGATCTAAGTCTATCTACGGGCAAGACCGAAACTGAACGACTCCTCCGAAATTCGTATTGGCATGAGGGCTTTCTAAATGTCGGCTAGAAACCGTCGATGACCTTAGGTGGCTGGTCTTTACGAGGTGACAAGGGCAGCCCTTCAATCTTGAGAAAGATCCAGGGTCTCTAAAAATAACCTTGATACTACGTACGGAGTATACGAACTATTGGACTATTGATCACAGGCTACGCCCTGTCTCAGGTACCCGCTTCAGCCTCACCCAAACGCCATCAACCTGCCATGTTTCCCTTCCTCATACTCCACCATCTCTAAGCCTCCCCCTCACAAGTCTTCAACCCAACCACCATCACGCTTGAACGATAACGCCTCCAGCTTATCATTATGGCGCCTATTTCTCCCTCGTAGACTCGTCGACTGGATTCGCGCCCATGGGACCTAGTCTGGCCCACGTAAGCGAATACGAAGACCTCATTTTGCGCCGACGGGGCGAAGCAACCCGGCACCAAGCCACCACCACTAGTAGTGGCTGCAAGGGGCAGGGGCATCGGGGACCAAGAAACACAGTAAGACTGCGACACAATCACTCGAGCAAGAGGGGGGGGCCGTCTGAGGTTTGCGCATCCGGTCGATTATCATTAATCTCCAGGCACAAAGCTGTTTCCGACTACGGGCAGGCATCAAGCCTAAGCCCAGTAGACCAGAAATCAATGCGCGCCAAACATTCTATCTCGCGCTATCCCTTGCGTTTACCCTTCCTTGCAAACGTACATGTTGCTCTTCTCGTTCCTTTGGCAAAATCAAATCAAAATCAAAAACATTTCCAAACACATGAGTCTGTCCCATACTATCCTTTCGCTATTGCGGCCCTCAAAAGGCGCCGTTGCGGTTCCAAACATTTCGTGAGCAAATACTCATCAATCAAAAACAAAAACAAACATAAATCAAAGCGCCGATCCAAATGCTTCCAAAAATAACTCCCATCAACGCCAAGCTTTTATGGCGTTTAAAACACAAACAACAGTCGCTATGCAGTTGGGACACGGTGCTTCCGTAGCCGGTGTCGGTATCCATAAGGAGTGAATCTATGCCGATGAATTCGTCGTAATATCGTAAAAGGAGTGTCTATCGGGTATCATGGTACAAAAGGAGTGTGTATCATCTTCGGAGGTTATCGTAAGGAGCGTAAGGTATTATTATACAAGACGTTGACGTCTAGGTGGTTGATTTCGCGGGTTTCGTAGTAAGGAGTGTGGTGGTAATCGTTGGTAAGGAGTGTCGTAGGGCCAATGGACCAGACTGGTCATTGAACCCGGTGGTAGCGAGCGTCGAAGGAGTGTGATATACATGGCGTCTGTGTCGATCGAAAAGCAGCGAGCGGGGTCAAATCAAATTCGAAAAACAATCGACAATCAAATGGCTCAAAGCGATGGACGGAAGAATCGAAACCGAGGGACGAGCTAGGTGGCTCGTCGTCGGCTGTTGTCAGGGTTCTGCATCAAGTGAGTCTGCGCCAGCGGAGACGCTGGATGAGGACCCGATGACATGGATGCGGTGTGGCGGTGTCGGGGGAGAGCCGAGTTCGAAGGAAGCGGAGACTCGGGAAGAGGGAGCATGCCCAGCTGTTCCGGGTTGAGGTACGGTGATGGGGCCGATGTGAGCGATGCCATATAGGAGGTTGGGTCCTCGGGAGGCGGATATTGCGGAGTGGTGGTGATCCTGGGTGGTAACGGTCAATCCCTTATTGTTCCTCGAGCGAAGGCCGGTGTGATTCCTGCTAGATGCCTAGATCCACACGGTCTGGATGGGAGTGACGAACCCGACGCCATAGTTGTGAGCTGGATCGTTGACCATGGCTGGAGGCCCTCCTTGCAGGGCGCTCATGTCGAACGATCCGTATTCCTCAGTGTCGCTGTACGCAACGGAGCCCTCAAAGGTCGAAGAGGCTGGGCTGTAGGCACCTGTATATGCCGGAGATGGAATGTTCAGGTACTGCTGACTGGGGAATGGCGAAGACAGGACCAGCGGGCTGACGGCAGAATGGGGGGGCGGTCCAGATGCGTTCAGCATCGGCATCTCCTCGGTGCTGTAGCTGAAAGCCGGGTTCCCGTATGGCATGTATGACTCCGTGGTAGCCGGCATCACCTCATGAACAGGGAAGTTGGGAGGGTGGAACTGAGGGAACGAGGGGGTCCTCTCCGGGTGGATCCACCCCATGCGCGAACGGAACTCGCCAACGGTGTCAATAGGGAACTCCATGAGTGTGAGCGGGGTTTGGAGTTCGTCCTTAGCATTGCTGGAAATGTTGATGGACATGAGTCGTCGCGCAATCTCCTCGACAGGCGAGATGGCAAGGCTACCAAAGTAAGCAGCACCAATCTCAGGGAACAAGCGCTCCATGAGAAGAGCCACAGTGTAGAGGTGGGCAATGACGATGAGGGAGTTGGGGGAACCGTGGTAGTTCTGGAGGTAGCCGACGGGCATCCAAAAGAGCCATGTCCTCAGTGGCTGGAGACGCTCGAATTGCTGGGCGATGGAGAGCGTAGGGCTGATCTTACGAGAACCCCGGAGGAAGCCAATGAGGTGCTGGATTTGAGTCGTGTCCTCCTTGTGATGCTTGAGATGAACTTCCACCTTCTGAATCTGTTCAAGGGTGCGCTGGAAGGCATCGAGGTCTTCGGGCCGGGGCTGGCTGGGACGGTGATCCTTGCCAGGCGAGGGTGGGGCCGTCGGGAACGTGCTGCTCTCGGCGATGAAGTCTCCGAACTGAGACTCATGCTTCCAAGGATCCATGGCATCAATGACCTAGGCGCGGTTAGAGAGTGTTTTTAATTCGGTATTGGCGGGTACGTACAGATGAGGTTCCCTGCATCAGCTGGGTCCAGCTGCGCCTTCAGACGTCGTCAGCACTTTGAAGAGGAGTGTCAGCGTTGCACGAGCTTACCAGTCAGTGGCTTGCCAGGAGAGGACAAGGGATGCCGCAAGGATGGCATCGGAGGTCTCTCGAGAAAAGGAGCCAATCGCCTCCTGCAGGCCATTGAGAGCAATACCACGGTGCTCGTAGGCCATGCTACCGACCAAGGGGCAGTCAGTAAGGAAAGCAATGTGCATAGCCGAGAAAGCGAGTAGAGCGTGCATGACGTAGGGCGTTGTGGCTCCGATCCTGAGAAGACTGTTGGGCCAATGTCAGCAGTGTACATGGGGCACCAAATGGGGCAGTGCTGGACTAACGTGGGAATGTGGCGGGTCCACAGTGTAAAGTTGTTGGCGTCAATGGACGCCAACTGGCAATACAGAGTAGCAACATGATAGATCAACCGGAGGTCCTCGAGAGAGTAGAGATGGGGCATGGGAGCTGGATATAGACCTAGGCTCGGCAGAGGGAAGATGCCCGTTCGCTGCCACTCGGCGATGGCGGCTTCGACTTGGGGCGTCCACATCAAGTCGGGCTTGTCGGGGGTTGTTGAGCGCTCAGCATCGGGTACCTGGACATCGTTGTACGGGCAGCGGATCTTGTGCTTGGTGCAGTTGCGGCTGTAAAGCCTTGTCAGTGGAAAGCTCGTGATCAAGTAACCCGGGAACCAATTCACCATTGAGGAAAGTTTTCATCACAGCGGATATGTCGTCGCTTGCTGTAAGAGGGCAATGGTTAGAAATGAGATCCTGCCAAAACAGGTCGGAAAAGCAATATCATACCAGGTATCACAACCCTTGCGAGACTTGGTGTGGCTATAAGATCGAGTTAGCAAACTAGACAGAGAAAGCGAACATGACGTCAAGAGTACTAACCTGCGGCGAGGGGGACCACCACCGGGGCCAGCCATTGTGTCTGATGTTGAAGGAAGAAAGTGTAGCGAAAGACCTAATAAGTTATGGTGAGTCCTGTGTCGTCGCCAAACGAGGAGGGGCAAGAGCATACGTGAATGTATGTCCACAAAGACGAGCTTGCGGACAGAGAGCGAGCGTGGAATGGGTGGGCAAGCGGTTGTTGATCTAGTCGAGCTTGTTCGGAGTGGACTTGCTGAACAGGGTCAGGGTGTGCCGGAGAAGCTTTAAGCTAAGCTCGGGACTCTCGGAAGGCGAGGGGTTTCGAGAATCCGGACTTGGGCAACGTCGCAAGCAAGAAGCAGTCACCGTAGACGAGCGATGCCACGGTGCAGAGACGATTCTAGGTATCAAGCGGGGAGCGATTGGGGTGGCGGAGGAGCTCTACGATGTTGATGTCTCCTGGTATGGTTGGCGAGATGGGACTCGATGCAGGATCTTGATCGAAGGTTGTTCTTTGGAGCAGCTTCCAGTTTATCCTCCTTTCTTCTTCCCTAGATGCGGTAGCGATCGAATGTGATAGTTTGGTTTGAATTTTTCTCCTCTTCAAGTAAACTTGAAGTGGTTCAAGGAAGCGAGCGTGGTTGTGCAGATGACGAGATATCAACTAGACACAGAGTCGAGACATGGGCATCCAAGCGGGGCTTGAGATGATGTGGGCTTGTCGTCGAAAATCTTGGAGATCGGAGGGTAGGCGGGAGTCAAGATTGTCTAGCGTGCTTCTTCTGTTGGATTTGTCTTTGTCTTTGTCCTGCACAGAGCGGCGATTCCTTAACAGTCCAGAGTATGGTGGTGGTAGTAAAACGACCGGTTGGAAATACCCTGGAAAGGAAAATAAAACAAAAACCAAAGCACCGTAAAGCGAGTGACAGGAGTCGACGAGGACTTCCTACGGGGAGGAGAGGGAGAAAGCGAACGTGGGGGAGATGGTTGATAGGTTTGCGAGGTGTTGATGATGGCAGATGGAGTTGACCAAAAGAGGGCAGAGGAGGGGACTCGGGAAGGATGCTGGGGAGACAGCTTTGTTAAATACAGGTAGGCAGCGGGGAGGCGTACCGGGGGGAGGGTGCAAGGAAGGTGCGGCGGGAGGAGTGTACAGGAGTGTACCGCAGCGTACCGGGGAGCAGAAGGTGGGAAGGCAGGAAGCAGGAAGGCAGGAAGCAGGAAGGCGGGCAGGAACCTGGGCTGGGCTGGGCTGGAGACCGACTGCAGACTGGCCCGAGACTGGCTGGGGCCCTTTGGGAGCTTCTAGACTGGAGCTTGGATGCTGGAGACATTGGACTGGAGACTGGAGACAAGCCGGCCCCGGGGCAAGCACTGGCAGGGAACCTTGAAAAGAGGGCTGTGGCCCGTGGCCGTGGGTGGGCACCCGGGACTGCGGCAGCATCGCAGTGGTTCCGCGCTGCTGAGCGGAGGCGCTAGACTGGGTGCCACAGGTACCACATCTCTCCCAGGCTGCCCAGTTCGTTCACGTCTCGGACACCCTTCTGAAAAGTCCCTTGTTGCGACCTGGGCGGGCACGTCCCTGGGGCTGGGCATCTGTCATCCATGCGAGAAGGGGACCAGCGAGCGAGCAAAGTCAGTATGAGGCGAGAGAAGGGCGCATGGAGTCCGATCTAGGCACAAAAGTCCGCCGCATCCATGCCCAATACTTGTGCACTCTTTAGGGATAGCATTGCTACTGCTATTTAGGGGACCTGGGGACTGGCCATGGCCTGTTTCTGTGGTGGCCCGGACCACGTCGAGTCGACAATGTCCGGCCGGTGGGCTGGGCTGGGCTGGGCGTGAAAGTGAGCGTGTGATGGGCGGCGAGCTGGCTGGGCTTGCAGCTCCGGATGGCGAGCATTAGTGGGGGTGCCAGCCCGGGACAGGCGGCGAGCCTCGGGGAGTCAGAGGTGGCCGATGATGGGTTGATGGGTTGATGGGTTGGTTTGATGGGTTGGTTGATGGCAGGTCACAGCAGGTCACAAAGGGCTGCGGGCACTGTACTGTAGGTGGCGAGGCCCTGCGGACAGGCGCCCAGTGGACAAATTCCCAGCGGCACGCCAGGTGATGCAGGTGCCTGTGGCCGGCAGCCAGCAGGCAAAACAGCGAGCAGCAGCGCGGTGATCAGTGGATAGTGGCAGCCAAGCGGCGGTCGAGGGAAGCATGACGCACATGGCTCGCAGCCCCAGGGAGGTGTGGGCCGGCCGTCCGTGAGCCGCGACGGCCAGGGGGCGTCCAGTGGAGGGCTGGAAGGTCGCGGGTGAGTGGACAAAAACAATGCGTAACAAAGTAAAAATAACTTTTGGGGGGATCCGTGCTGCCAACTAAGCCGCCATCGTTCGTTCGCGTGTCCCACAGGGCCGGGGGCGTTGGGCGTGGTGGGCGTGATGCTAGGGCGTGGGCGGGCGGTGGTGGACGGTGGGCGGCGGTGGAGATGCGTCATGACAAACCGGGGGGGGGGGAGGCGGACGAGACAGGCCAGGCGACATGTCGGGCGGGTTGCTAGCGGGTTGGCGGGCATGACATCTCCCTTGGATGGAAGGTCGCTGTGGGCAGGGCTGGGCTGGGCTGGGACAATGGTATCCATGTGATGGGTATGGGTGATGGGTGATGATGGGTGATGGTTGGGGGTGATGGGGGATGAATGGGCCCGGTAGTTGCTCAAAGAGTCGACCGGCCGGACAATCGACCCCGACCCATCATCCACAGTTCACAGTTCACAGCCCATGCCGTGTCCCAATACGGCATCACAGGCCACAACAGGCACGGCATGTCATCCATTGGATACCAGTTGGTGAGAAGCAATGTTAAGACTGCCGCCGGGGACCTCCTGTCCGCCACGGCCCTGCAGTGCATTGTTAGCTACGTGACCGTGGACCGTGTCAATGTCTATCTATGGAAGCATTTTGGAATGGGAACGTTACCTGCCCACCATCCACGCCAGCCTCACTGCTCTGCAGGTGAGACGGGGCCAGTGAGATCGCAAAGGCCCGTCTTGTCAAGCACCTTGACACCTTGCCCAAGGCCGCCACGCAGCCGCCAGCATCGCCAGCATCGCCTTCGTCGCCTTCGTCGCTTTCGCCATTCACAGTGAGCAATACCATCCGTATCAGCATCAGCACCAGCATCATTGGCGCCAACATCAGCCAACTTCGTCTCAGCCTTCATCCTACGTCTCAGTGCGAAGTGCCATCATTCCAAATCTGCTCCACCTTTCCGCCTCTCCGTGTCTCTACGCTCCTTCCAAATCTCCATTCCTGTGATGTGCTCTCACTTGTCCATCTGGTTCCTCCATTCACCCACCATCAACATTCGGCGACTATCCACTCCCACTCCACCTACATGCTTACTGACTGACATCCGGGGCGACCTCGGTTGCGCTCAGGGTGGTTACCAGGCTAGAAAAGGCTGGTAGTCAGAACCAAGCACGGTACAGTCCGGTGTAGTCTTCGGCGGCCCTCAAACACGACGCCGGTCATTTCGGACCCCCGGGCGTTTATGACGCCGGGCGCCTAGGATCGTCACGCCGGACCGGCGTGCTTTGCTCAAGCGTACCCAGATGTGGTAGTAACTAGCGCCCTACAGATCGCTCAGGATGTTTGAGATTAACAAGACAGGCGGGAGTAATGATGGATGTCGCAGGATTAGTAGTGGAGGCGGAAGCGAAAGTGTCTGTCAGTCATCGGGGAACAGTGACAGCATGGGTCAACCAGCAAAATCGCCAGCGAAAGTCGCGGCCGCCCATTCCTTCTGCCTCCGAGGCACAGTACCTGTGATTGCCGGTGAGCTGGGTGACTGGGGTTTGGCTACCAGCCGTCCAGCACCTTGAGTAGCCGTGGCGAATGATCTGATGCATTGGGAAAGTCTCCATCATGAATCCTCGGCGTTGGTGGTACTTCCTCTCAGATGTCTCTCCCCGCCTCTTCTTCTCTCCTCTCTCCCCCTTCACTCGCGACTCGCGCCCCAATCTGTGTGATTCGGAGTCCGGGCAGACGCGGGTCGCCATCTGCGGACATTGTCACCCCTCGAAATTCTTAACCTTGATGCCGGTGTGTGCCCATGCTGACGGGGCAATGGTTCCCGCCTAAAGCCAGTACCACACTAAATTTTGTCATTCAAGTGGGTTGCTTTGCTGCAGTCCGTCCAGTCCAGTCCCGCCTCTGTTATCTGTTACCCTTCTCGGTTGAGCCAGCCGGGCGACCCGACGTCATGGCTGTTGGGAAGTTTGTTCACGAGCCGCAATTCTAGACCCTGTAGCGCTAGGCCTCTACAGAGTTCAGCAGCTCTGAACGGCATCACGGCACGGAACCGCACCCCGAAATGCACATCATGGCTTCTAAGGATAGAGTACCGTTTTTAACGGCGTGGTGTAAGCGCCTGTGGTTTTTCGCCGGGCCTGGCGCGCCCTACCAGGTACCTCAAAAAGAGAGGCTTGCTGGTGGTTAGGGCCCAGTAGAAGACCCCAGAACCAAAGGCCAAAGGCGATGCCTTATACAGCCTAGCGTGAGCCCGGCTGAGGCGGAGCACCAGCTGGAGGAGCGCATTTTGGAGGGTTGGAGGCTGGAGTTGAAGGCGGAGGGTGGAGGGATTTGGAGATGCTCGGCGCAAGGTCAAGCAGGGCCAAGCAGGGCCAAGCAGGGCGCCGACAGGGATGGGTGGCATGGAAGGAAGGAAGCCCAGAGAGTCCAAAAACTGCCTGGGTGCTCCTCAGCCATGGGTCCCGCCAGATCCACGATGGTTGACCTTAATTGACTCTACCGACAAGCATTGCAATCCATCCTGGATACCTTACACAGCTTGAGCAGAGCAGGGGCGCAAATTCAGGCTCAGTCTCACACAACCAACAAGCTTTAGATAATGTTTTAGTCTCCTCTGTCAGCGTTTGTAAGTCGTCCAAGAAATGCACAAGTCTTGGAGACGTGTCTCACTTGAGAGAGTTGACTCCCCAACACAGGGTCTGCCCCGAGTCAAGTAGCACTCTATGGCCCCATAAGTCGGCCCTGAGCAACTCTTC